GGGATTGCACAAGGTCGTGTAACGCACACAAACATGCTAGCATGTCCCATGCACTACGAGTGAGGGACTACATGAAAAGATGTGGTCGCATGCATAAGTAGATGTGTGCAGGCCTGCAAACCAGGAATCAGCTCCTCCTGAACATAGAGCTCTGCTTGCACAAGGAAGAACTGCTTGAAGTCTGCAGTGGTCGTCACCGAATCATCCTCGTCAAAGGCGTGCTTGGCTCGCAGCCAGTACTCGTACTGCACAGGGCCAAGGGCTATGTGACTGAATGCAAACATGACGTACTACGAATATAAGTGCTCATCACACATGGTTTACAGATGCTTGATCCTATGGTTCATGAACCCTCAAGCCTCACGCCGGGTGCGGGATCGATCCAGGATGTTGGGGCGAATGATCTCAATAAAGGAACGCACGATGTGTCGCCACAACAGCCAGCCCTTGTTGCCCTCAATCTGCGGACACGGTCGGCCTGCAAAGGTCTTGGGGTAGTTGAACTCTACATCCAGGTCCAGAGCTGGGGCACCCTCTACCTCCATCGGCACTGGGTGTGGGGCATGCTCTTCATTGTCTTCTCCATCATTCGCAGCATGACGCACTGCCTTGGATCGCTTGCGCCTGATCTTCTTTCCCTGCCTTTTCACGGGTGCTGCAGCAGAACCCGTCTCTGCGGAGCACACCGCCAAAGAAGGGCGGCTGTTCTCACCATCCCCTGTCCAAACAGGGGTCGAGTAGCCCACATCATCATCGTGGCCAACCTCCTCAGGCACAGGAACAGCCAGCATAGCTGGGCGGCCATCAGCACAATCTGACCCTCCACGCTTGGCCTTCTTCCCTTTCCCTTTACCAGACTTGGTCTTGGGCTTGGGCACAGGCACAGTCCCCTCCTCAACCCCAACCGGCGCAGATGGCTCGGGCTCACACTCGCGTGCCCGCTTGACTGCAACCATCTTCGGCACATCTTTGGAGGATGAGGCTTGCTCTCTCATGGGACCCTTCTTCCCTGCTGATCGTCCTCGGCCCCGTCCCTTGCCCTTGCGAGCAGGTGGTCGTCCTTTGCGCTTGGGAGCAGCGCCGGTTGCACCATCCTTGTCGTTCTCATCCTCGTTCAGCTCCTTGCGGTCCCTCTTCAGACCAAGTTGATCGGCTCGTGTAATCACCTGCAGGCACAAGCTTCCGAACACTATGTTCAACCACAATGCTCATGCAGTAGCAACATTCACTGAAAGCGAGCATGCATGCACTCAATCGACACACCTACTCAACATACCTGATTACATGCTTGGGTTCACATATTTGATGGCAAAGGAACCTTCGGTGGAGAAAACTCCATGAACTTGTGATCGGCGGGCAATGGCGACGGGGTGTGGATTGTCTGCGGGGAAAGGTTTTCCGTAGGCACTGGAACTGCTGGCGCGGACGGCTCCCCTGCCCCTGTGTCTTCATTCTCCGGGAAGAGCCTGCGAACCAGCGGGACAGGGGATTCCGTCAAGGCTTTGTGCTCTTCCTGGAAGATAGGCTCAAGCACCACCTGTGTATCCAGGGTGAAGGCTTGCGTCTCCTGGTTGTCCACAGGAACAGATCGAGCCACCGGGATTGGAGCAGGGGGCAATTCTTCATCTGAATCCACCGTGACCGGACCGTCAATGGCCCGAAGCGCCTCTTGTCCTTTATTACACACTACCATGGGAATGTGAACTCCAATTTCAATCAGATCGATCTATGGCATCAAGACTTACGAATGAACCACTGGCCAAAGCCAAAGCACGAGCCCTTTCAGCAGCAGCACGTTCTTCACGAAGCCTGAGCTACGAGAGACTCGATCGGAAAAGGAATACCAAAAAAAACCCTCAGCCGTCCATACCTAATCTTAGCCACACACACATACTTAAAGGAATGAACAAACGAACACACACACACACAATCACCTCTCACCCACCCCCACCCAAACCCACCCTCCCACACATCCACGCTTTTCGATTCAACTCAAGTGTTCACACATGATCAATGCAGCAAAGGGACACTACTCGAGCCTGAAGCTTGGCTTTGCTGAGGGCTAGGATCTGCTTCAGTTTCTCGGAAGGGTCCTGCGGTGGAACCTCCATGGAACTGGAAGCACTGGCAACAGAGGCCCCGGTGACCCCGCCCTCATCTTCCATCTCCTTGATCAAGGTCTCCAACATTCCCTGTGACGAGTCGCATCTGAGCAAACTGGGCTCAACACTCGGATTCTCTGTAGTCCCAGAACTGTGCGCACCACTGAGCTCGATATAGGAACCGTCGGTTGACTGGGAAGAATCAACACGGCAATTCTCGAGAAGCTGAAGAAACTCGGCTCTGCTGTCACCACTGGGCTCAACACTCTGATTCTCTGTGGACCCGGAAGGCACACCACTGGGCTCAACGACCGACTTCTCTACGGACCCGGAAGGCACACCACTGGGCTCAACAACCGGATTCTCTGTGGACCCGGAAAGCACACCACTGGGCTCAACAACCGGATTCTCTGTGGACCCGGAAGGCACACCACTGGGCTCAACAACCGGATTCTCTGCGGACCTGGAAGGCACACCACTGGGCTCAACAATCGGACTCTCTGTGGACTCGGAAGCCACACCACTGGGCTCAACAATCGGATTCTCTGGGGCCCCAGATGCAATCGCACTGCCTGGCTCAGCAGGAACATGCTCTAGAGCATCAGCTTCGAGATCATCCTCTGATTCAGCATCTTCGAACTCATATTCATCTGCCGCAGCAGCAATCCCTGAATCATCATGCACTGCAACAGCAGCACCCACTGGATCAGCAGCGGCCCCTGCACCACCAGGCGGGGGGGGTGCTTCTCCACCTTGGCCTCCCACATCGTCGTCACTGGCCGTACGGCGAGGAATGCTGATTCCTTCCTTATCTCATTTAGGACAGAAGATCAACCAACCAATTGTCACAAATTGCCAAAACTACACCACTTGAGAACGACACGATCCCCTCAGTCTTTCATGCATACCAAGAAGCGGCCAAAGCCTCCTCGACGATCCTGTCATACATGTCCACGAGCTCTCGAACCTTGTGGTCCTGCGAACGATTGTACATGAGTATTTCGTTGGGTTTGGGGGGTTTGTGCTGCACTGAAACACTTGAGCAATAGAGTCCTTGGGCTTCTCAGCCCTCACCCACTTTCTTCGCAGTGTTGTGAGACTCCGCTTGATTCCCCAAGCATCTCTCACAGCCATTGCTGGAATCATGTCTTTGTCCGGGTAATTCGACAGCTCAAAGAAAGTAGTGCAACATGGGATGATGACATCCACTGAGGGGCTATCGATGGTGCGTGAGCACCGCATAAGATCAAGCACCGTTCTCAAAACCAAGTGATTTTCCGAGCAATCCTTCAGGTTTCCCAAGCACTGAAGACAGCCCATCACGGTCGACTTCATCAAACATTGCCCCTTTGCTGCCTGACTCCGCAAGCACCGGATCGCTTCCAGTTTCTCTGCAAACGTCGTCAGATCAGCCACTCGTTTCACCATGGCACCTTATCGATCGAAATATCACCACAAATCACGACAGCCGAAATGGCTGCATGAGGTTTCCCCAATCGAAGATAGTGTCCTGCATGCATATGTATACCTGCGCATGAAGATGAAACTCTGCTCGTATGTTATACTCATGCAGGCATTGTGTGAACTAGCATGCATGAGTACGACCTGTGTAAAATGTTCCCTAAAATCGGCCCTGCAGAAAAGGTTTCAAGTCCTGAATAGAACCCTGCCGCCTTCTCAAGGTCGAAATGGCCGCTGACCAATCGCCGGCCCTGTGGAAAGCTGATTTAAGAAGGGTTTAGGGTCTAGGGTACAGACGGCACCATGCAGGGTCAAGACGGCTCGTACAAAGTTAGAGGGTTTAGGGTTTCTCGTTCAGCATTCTTGGGAAATGTTTAGGTCTAGCTGTTGTCTGGCTTCCCAGCACCAGACGAGCGAGATTTAGCTTCAACCCCACCCCGCGCATACCTTCCTCCCTCATCAGCCCAATCCCTCATCCCACAGAAATCATTGGAATGCTATCACACATTCGTATCAGCACTCCAGTCTAAAGGTCGACCCGCCTCAGGGACGATGAGCAAAGACGATGTGCCGTCAGGGTAGTCGAAGAAGGCACATGTGAATCCGAGCACAGACAGAAAACCCATCGAGATTTACGTGATTTGCAAGGTCAACGAAAGTTATCCTGGCATACACTTATTACTAACAGGGCTTGCAAGTCTCACTGAGTTTCACCTGATTCGTGCTACAGGCTCTTATGAAAACGACCGCATGCTTAGAATCACTGACGACAGTTGCAAGCCGAAGCGTGCTGAATCATGCAGGCTTTCGCATCCACTGAACCCCTCTTATACCTGAACTGCCTATGTCTTCTCCTATTCAAAGCAGGCTTTGGCGGGTGTCAGACGACCCAATAGCCAAATCCTAATATACGGGCGTAGGGTTTTGAAAACCGGGTTATTATCACATAGGATCATAATAACCAGTTATGGATGAACGACGCTTTATTTACAGGCGTGTGCGGTTGCAGGTATATATATATATATATTATCCTTTCTATTATATATTACTTCTTTTTGGGAAGCAAGCATCTGGTTGTGCGAAAATTACACCCCTCCTAGGGGAAAAACACTACTTTCATGCGAAAGTGCACCGCGCCTGGGAAAAACTGCATTTTCAGCCAAAAAATGCATCCCGCCGAGGGAAAAGTAGGATTTCTTAAAAATTAGCACCCCGCCTAGGAAATATTGCAGATTCCGGCAAACTGACTACAGTCATTTGTGACTCCCGGTTTTCCGTTTCGAAGATCAAAACAATCGGGTACATGTGCTGGCATGTACCAAAACCCTGGAAGGGTCTCCATTTTCAGCCGTTGAACCACCTGTCATTTGTGACTCCCTGGTCGGCTGTTGGACAACAAGGTTCGTGAAGACAAACGTTCAAGAACGTCCCAAGAGCCTAGGGAGTCACAAATGACCAGCATGCCGAGGAGGAGTGGGTACTGAGTCCCCAGACTCCTTTCTTGCATTTCTGAAACTTCTCGAGCTGACATGGAAGCTCAGCCTGGAGAAGCGTGGACTTTTGCGGATCCCAGCCAGGTCCCGCCCAAGTACCGAGGATGCTGAGGCAGACCTCCAGGGTCCAAGCAGAACGCGAGTTGTCAAAATTCGCCTTTGGGCCCGGGCCTTGCCATCGTTGTAGAGATTCGGGTTCAACTTCTCACAACTGTTGACCTCCGGCTGGCTTCCGTGCCGTGCGTTTCTTTGCACTGGTCAAGACAGCCAAGCGCATCGGAGCTGCGTAGTTTGCCATGAAGTACACCAAAGGGGGCTCAGACGGGTACCTCAAAGAGTGCTCACGTCTGCATTGACCGGCGGCAACACTTACTTTCAGATCCTGGGCCTTGTTAGCTGCTTTACCCCTTTAAGTCCAGGGGTGCGTGGCGCACTGGGGGGACAAGGACAAATCAAAGAAGAACGGCACGTCCGAGTAGGGCGTGCCGGGAGGACCAACCACCTCAGAACTGAAGGAGGATCAAAACAGAAACACAGAACGGCTGGCTTCTGAAGTTGATCAGCCCAATGGGCTACCAGGTACTTGTCCCCTTGAGAACCGAACAGCTAGGTGATGATGCATTGTATTCGCTGGCATGCAGGCTGAGACACATGCCCTTGCCGAGGGTACTGCTGCACAAGTGAACAAACATTCAAATCGCTGATCTTCCTCGCTCCCTTCAGCCAGCTGTGACTGTGCAACCGTCCCTGTTCACGAGCGCAGTGACACCCGCAACGCTGGGGCGTGTGCCATTGCTCGGAACAGGTCGCATCTGGAAGAGTAAGTGCGCACCATGATGGGCGCAACTACGCCTGTCTGCCGAACTGCATCAGATGCAAACATCTACAGAGCGTCCGACGTCGTAAAGCGTCAAGCATCGTCAAGCACTATGCCTTCTCCTCCATCGAGAAGACCCTTCTGCAACACCGAGTGCTCTCGCCTCGCTTGAACTTCCGCCACTTGCACTCCGCCGAACTGCTTTCCGTATCCGCAGCCTCACTGCTCGCATCAGCACCTACCAATGCAAGTGCGGGCCGGGCCACAAACAGAAGGCTTCTAAGAGACGCGGCATGCAGCGGCCTTTGGAGCAGGAGAGGGACGGTCCACGAACTTGTGATCCTGAAGGACTTGATGCGTACCAGTAGCACTCGAACATGCGCCGCACATCTGCATGATTGAAGATGGAACGGTGCAGCATGACAAAGCTCATTCGTCTGAGCTCCCGTCGCGCGGGCTCAGATCCTCTTTGGCAGGTGCTTGCCGCATACAGATGATCCATCGCTGAATGCGAAGGCCTCTTGCAGCACATCGAAAGCCAGGATTTCTGGCGCTCTAGTAGACGAGGAGGAGCCTCCATGTGCACATCGAAAGTGCAGGTGCCCAAGAATTGAAAGTGCCATCTTGCAGGGAGGTATCTATGTCGCCTTCCGAGGTCTCGCTTTGGGACTGCTCGCAGTGCTCGCAAACCTCGTGTGAAAATCTGGCGGCAGCTCTTCGTCACTTAGGCGAAAAGGGCCGGCGCCTCCTCTCTTTCGGCCTCCCGACTCGGGCCTGAAGAAAACGCGTGCGCGAGGGCTGCTTGCAGCCACCACTCGTTCGAAGCTCAGCCCACGGCTCGCGTCCCGGCTGCCGCAAGGAGCTTGGGACGGCTCCTGAAACGACTTCAGAAAACTTTGGAGGGGTTTGAGATGGTTTGAGGGGGGCGTCAACTCAGCTCCGTCTTCTGTCCGTTTCTGGGCAGCGCGCGTCCGCGTCTGGTCCCCCCTTCACCCAAATGACTTCCGGTTCCTGCACGCGAGATGCCACAGCTAGGAGTAGCCCGGACTTCCAGAGCGACTTCCGAGCCCACCTCGTCGGAAGACACGGAGCTGTCCTGAGAAAGCAACCCCCGGAGCTCGATTCTCTCGACTTTCGACTGAACCTTGTCATGCTTACTGTAAGCATGGCGAAGTCCCTGCACTGCACTAGTATTCCGGCATCACCGGGGTTTTCGGCGTGCGTCAGCATGCGACGCATTCAATCAACCGCAACTTCGCTAAGGCGGGGTCGTAGTGCCCTTCCATGTCGGCAATGCTCCTTTCAGCAGCACGGACTGCATGAGCTCCAAGCTTGCACAAATGCGGACTGCTAGCATTCGAGGCCCCAGCAAGGATTCGACATCGAACCACTCACTCCTGCCTTCGACGACCCGTCTATCCATGTTCATGAGGCTCCGTCGTACCAGTAGGGCTCAGGCCACAAACTAGCTGAACCTGCGCAGAGAAGCCGGAGAAGGCCGTCACCCGGCCCACCCAGTTTCCCTTGTCCTCCCACAGTGTATTGTATGTATGCAGGTTTGGGTGCATGCTTGCATGCGGCGGTCAACAGAAACGACAACAAATCCGGAGAACGGAACGCTCGTCCTGAGACTGCTGGTCGGGTGGGATAAAAACGATGTCTGCCAGGCGAACATCAACGAGTGGATGCGGCGCCAGCTCGAACAGGCTGACCTTGAGGCCGTCTTCGATGTCTCTGCACGCATACGAACCATAGTAGACATGTACAGACTGCATAGTAACATACCAGTAGTATAGGGAACCTTTTGTATCCTTCACAATGGGCCAAGGAGCCTCCTGCGGATTCTCCTGCAGAGAGCACCGCCACTCCACCAAGGCCGTGCGTGCCTGTCAGGGCCAAGCACCCCTTTGGCGCTGCGAAAGCTGTTTGGTACAGGCCTTCAGGTCCACACTTTTGACGACGCCCATGGGAACTTGCCGCCCCTGGCGCCGCAAAGGCAAGTTCTTCGCTTCGCAACTGCAAGCACTTGGGCTCAACCATGTCCCGGCTGGCCGCCGGCGGAGGGGCGGGGATGATCTCCTTCTGCATTGCGACAAGCCGCCCGCTCTCTTCCAAACACTCTGGCTCTGAGCAATTTGAGCCCGTGGCCTCGTTGTTCACCTGGAAAGGCGCTCGCCACAAGTCCAGGCAAGTGCATGTCTTGGATGTTCGTTTCACTCTCAGCGTACTGATCTTGCGGGCAGTGTGAAGCTTCGGTGCCATCGAAAAGTCTTCGCGGCTGCTTGCAGGCACACTACAAGCGAAACTCGCTTCGTTGATTGTCATGGATGCCTTCTCTGGTCTGCTTTCGGGCGGACGTCCAGAGTTCCGCTTCTGATTGAGCCCGCCACCTGATGTCCCCGGGGCATCCTTCCCCCGCCATTGGCTTTTCCTTTAGAATGTTGACTCCCGAGGGGCCCCGCCGGGCTTTTTTGCTCGGCTCATGACGATTCTAGCAGAGCTGCATGCTTGCATGCCCCGTGCAATCAAAAGCGCGAGTTGCTCTGAAAAACTGCAATTTTGTGCTGCATCTTTGCTGTCGTGGCTTCAACTGAAGTATGGAGAACAGACTCAGACTGCACGACCGTTTACAAAGTGTTATCAAGACAAGCCCTCGCCTCCCCCAAGAAGGTCGCAAAAAGCTCTCCTTGCTGGAACTCGCACTTCCGGCAGGTTGTGAACACAGTAAACTTGTGATCATGAGAGACGATCTTCGGGTCGAACTAAGTGCAGCTCTGTTCTCCTGAATCAGGGCCAGACCAAACACATGCAGCTAATTGCACCTCCTGCGCTTTTGAAGCCTCGTTCGTTTCGGTCTGGGTCGATCCGTATTGAACAGACCCATCCTGCCAAACAGTGCAAGTTCTTACAGGTCACACCTCACGTAGAGAGCACGAAACTCGAACAGCCCAATCCTGGATGGTGAAGTTGGGACTGGGAGTCTGCAGCGTTTCTACCTGGCAGTGCATCCTTCTCTGTTCCCCATTTGGTGAAAACATGATGCTTCTGTTGCTTCTGAGATTGCCACTCGTGGAGGGACAAGCCGATCCACATCTGCAGTCCTGACACGGAGTCCGAGGTCCAATCATCCAAAGATCGGATAAAGCATGCACAACATCACAAAATTCACACTTCGAGCTGCCCACCTCGCCACAAAGTCGTGCGGAAGGAAATCGTGCGAATAGAAGGCCTGCCTTCGCATCTCTTGCATGGATCAAAGACGGCTTGTCTCAGCTGACCTACAACACAAATGGCGCAGTGACTGGCCTGGGCATGAGGTCTACGGAGAGAATGTCTTCCTGAGGCTGAGCAAGAAGACGCAAAAACATGAAACCCAAGAGTGGCGTGTCCTCAAGACCACCGGCCCATTTCACAGTCGTGTGGGTGGTGGTCCTTGGTGGCTGCAACATGTTTCGTGGCTTCGTGTCAGAAGCCGGCTAAAAGAAAGGTCAGTTCCGGGTCAAGACGGCGCAGGGCGAAGAGGGATTCTCGGATGCCTCGCCCAGCCGCAGAGAGAGAGAGAGAGAGAGAGAGAGAGAGCGAGAGAGCGAGAGAGAGAGAGAGAGAGAGAGAGAGAGCGAGAGAGCGAGAGAGAGAGAGAGAGAGACTCTCGCTTGCCTGCCTGGCAATGCTCGCCCAAGAGCCAGCCCTCGGAAGGGCTATTGCTCATGCTGAGGCGTCGGATGCTGGAAGGATGGACCTGGGCGAAAAGGCACGGGAACGCTGCTCTGTGGAGCTTTGCAGAAACCTTGTGCAATTGTGCCCTCTCGGCTCGGGGTCACACCCACTCTGCTGGCATGGTCATCTGCATCGAATCGCCGAGAATTACGGATCATCACGGATTTATGATCTACATGCAGTGTCCTTCAGCTATACATCCCATCACGTGTCGCGTCAAAGGTGCTTCGGCGCCTTCGGATCCTTCGGAGCCCAGGCGTCTGCCCAATGAACGCCCACCATTTCACACCTCGCTGTTCAACAGCTCAGATCTGCTCAAACTCCGCTCTGCGATAGACTTGGAGTCACTTCCGCGATGCAGCAGGGCTGCGGCTACGCGTGAGTCGTCGCGAGTCGCTAGCACGGCTCTGGGGCTCACGCGAGACCGAAGTCACCTCACCACAAATGGGTGGTCCACGTGCCCGTTTCTTCAGCTGCGAGCAGTCTTCCAGCCACTCTGCCTGCACAACAGCTGCAGCACCCTCAACCAAACAAACACAAACGAGCATGGAGACAAGTCCCGAGTGACAGCTCCTACTGCAGCAAGAGAACGCGTGGCTTTTGTCCCTTGCATTGCAGGCTCCGCGCGCCGCAGAGCTGAAGGGTGAGACGAGCCAGTTCTCAGACCTCACGGGTTCGGCCCCAGCGAGCGAGTGATCCCCAAACCCTGGGCTGAGGCGTTGACTTGAACGGGATCCCCAGACAAGGGGAACTCGAAGACACCTCAAAAAAAAAATCCGGCCCAGCCCGAGCATTGCCAAAGCACTGCCGTGCAGTTGAGAAGCGGTGGTGGTCATACTTGCCCCACATGCCGTTCAGCACACTCCTCTCACCCAGACCTGATAAGGTCGCATACGAGTTTGAAGAAAGTGGCCCATCGTGAGAAGTCCAAGTGCCGGGCTGTGCGAGTAAAATGCACCAGATGTCAAGTCTTTCGGCATTCTGAGGAGGTGCTTCGGGAGGCGACCTGCGCTTGGAACTTGCAATCCCCGAAGCTAAATGAAATGGCCATGTTATATGTGCCATCCCCAAGCTCCCGGCCGGTGAACTCGATGTAGTCTGTGGTGCCCCAGATCTGAGGCAGCACACAAGCACTCGGGCGGAATGCGTGCTCCGTGCGTGTTCGACGGCCAGATGCGATGCGAACTTCTCAGCCCTGTGCCAAGTACCTGCACTCTGGCACAATGCAGCGACACGCGGGTAGGCAATGCGTACCCCATCACACACAGAGATGTGGTCCAACCCCATAATCTGCACGGCCGGTCTTTTTGGCGAAGCATTGACAGGGCCCGACGTGGCGCGGATCCACGTGATAGGCCTAGTCTACGCATGTGTCCAATTTTTGAGACATGCATCGAACGGATTTTACCATTCTGGCGTCTCTGCATTCCAGACTGGGAAACAAACAGCCAGGAGAAACCAGCCGGGCATGCCCCAGCATTAAGTTAGGAATCAAAGCCAGGCAGCTCAAACATTAGAGCTCTCCCTGGAAAAAGTTTTGCTGTTACGCGCACTACTGGCCATTTCGCTAATGTAGTTGTGCGGCAACCGTCCTTAGCCAGTCTCGGAGTCAAGATCCTTCCGGCTACCACAGAGGACTTCACGGTCTGATGCCAGGCGTCGTGGAGAGATTATTTGCACTGCTCCTGAGCTGTTCAGTCAACTCTCAAGCTTGGCCCTCTTCATCAACGAAGGCAGCTTCTGCTAGCTGAGGCAAGAATCGTACAGCTTCTTTCGTGGTCTCAAGGTTTAGCACAAACCGAGCCAGAGAGAGCATCGGCACCGAAATCAGCATGCCTTGCGAGAGTTTGGCTCTTGGCTGCTCTCTTCACGAGAGGTCGGTCGGGCCAAGCCTGTGACTCCCCAGATGTTCCCACACAGTACCACCGCAAAGAGGATGAGTACCTCGGATCACATCTTGATGCTATGACACCTAGTTCGACCATTGCGTGGCTTGCTGCTAGATGCAGAGTCTGACTATGCAAAACCTCCATGACCAAGGTGCTGGATGTGTCTCGTGGGATTTGGATTGCTCATCCACCTGACCCGCCAGCACAGGGCTGCGGGCCATGACGAAGGACTCTATGCCGTTGGAGACAACAAATTTTATAGCCAACATGCCGATGACCTGTCTGGGACAGTTCTCACTTCTAGCAGCGCAATACAACTCGGCTAGCCAACGGCAAAGTTGGCACAAAGTGTGCTCAGAAGGACTTGCTGGGGCGGCGGCTGCTGTCAAGGCATTGGTGGCTCGCATCTCTATGCTCTGACGTGAGTCCAACAAGAGAAGTGGCAGCGGGACCGCCAGAGAGATAAAGGAACCAACCTCGGGTATAAATCCTTAGTTTTCACGCCTGCCGCGTCCAGAAAAAAAGAGCACGTCGGATTTATGGAGTCACCTGAGACCGTGCAATGACCTGCCTTGCAACATATGAGTGCTGCTGTTGAGTGCAGCAGGGCAGCCAAGAAAGAAGCAAAGAATGCTGATAACGATGACTAGGTCACAGCCTTAGCCACAGCTGTCACTTGATGACTCGCCTATTGCAACTTCTTGTCTGGAGCGGAATGCCGTCGAATGGCGAATGAAAGTCAGCAGGCCCCAAACACAGACTGCGAACAAGGCATTGCAGAAGGCTTTGTACCTCAGCAAGTGATCCAATCGTTTGAGTTCGAAACACTTGCTGAAGCTGTACAATCATGCTATAGATTGGGCCCGCGACATGAAATAGGTACGAACAATTTGGAAGATGTGCTCGCCGCTGCGCACAGGCGAGAGAAGCCACATAAACGCATAGAGCATGAACATGACAATTTGGACAAAGAAGCTCCTGCGGAAAGCATCACGTGATGTCCATCAAGCCAGCCGAGACATGCATGCCCTCGTTGTCTTCCTGCCGTTGCAGTCGAGAGGCGTCGTGCCGGCAAGGACGGCATTCAGCTCCGTAACAGCAATTGATGAGAGATGCTGCTGCAAGGATTCCTGGGTTGTTCGCTTCCCTCACACAATGCATGAGATTTCGCGACGCACGCAATGCACACAGGTGCGTGGTTGGCGGGGCCCATGACAGCATAGAAGCCGCAAGGATTATTCCACGCTTATTGGCTGAAGGCACTAGCTGTTGTTGTGGCACGCAAACATGCAGGGATTCCAGCACACATCCAGGCAGCTAATTTCAATTTGCAGGTTGGGTCGCTAAAGTTGGTTAATTTGGGGTGCGCTATAGGTTCCCCAGATGAAGCATGTCTAGCTGTGCCATGACTGGTGCTGCCAGGATTCCAACTGCCTTGAGATGTTGTCCTGATCGAGGGCCGCAGCTTCAAGCACTTTAAATTAAAACAATGAAACGAGTGAACGCGTGTTGAATTTTAGGGCTGCAGCACACCTGCCTTCACCTTGGGACTGGCAGAATCGAAGCCTTGCAGAACCTTGTTTGATGGCCGGGGCCGTGCCAGTCCGCGCAAGATTGGTGAGGCGTCGTTATCTTTCCGAGTCAAGCGGCTTTCGCTTCTATTTCCTGGTAGCCCTTCTTGTACACGTGGATGTTCAAGGCGTTCACACTAGCGATCAAGGATCCAGATACTTCAAGCAGAAAAAGGCCCACCAGAGTAAGCACTGCAGCAATAGAAATCCTTGGAGCAACAACCCGGACGGTTGGTTATCTTCGACCCATGACTCGCCCATGGCTGCATTTCGAACGATGCGTCTGAATCGTGGATGAGTTGGGACTTCTGCTGCCAAGTCGCAACCTGGCTACAAAGTATGCACCCGCACTCTCGTCGGTCCAGGGTGCGAAGGCATCCTGTGTTCCAGGACCACTTGACAACCACTTCCGCAAACATTGCCGAACCCACGCGCAGGCACAGACAACTATGTGGGCACACACCTTGACGGAAGAAAAACACGTGCTCATTCTGAAGCAGCTGCAAACCCATCAGCAACTATTCCGACTAACTAGCTTGCTTTACCAGCGATGCATGACCACATGACAGAAGCAGTGTCTGATACTGGGAACCCACCACGGACTCGTGCATAATGAACGAGTGCCTCTCCCCACGACCTATGCAACGACATGCGACTGCAAGCGCAGCGAAAAAATCACCCACAATCGCAGCTCTGGACCTCTTACCGACAGCTGTGTCTTTTCGACTGAACTGTTGAGGCTTCTGTAGTGTTAGTGGGACATCTCAGCATCTCAGCTCGCCTCGGGAATGCAAGTCTCCTCTTCCCTCTGCAGTGCTTCCAGTGTAGTGTAGTGATCGAGTCCGCCCGGCGTAGTGGGATTTGACACTGGGCGCCGGAACCTTGTCTTTGCCACGCGCGGCCCGGCTCGTAACCATCCGAACACCATTCACAAGCACAAGGATGGAAGCACTGCTTTACCAGGACACTTTCGGAACATCCTGTAGCAAGGCTGCACGCTGCAGCGACATTGCAGTGCGCACCAAAGAAGGCTGCCAAGCCTCTGCAACATCATGGCACCAGCACTAGCGAGAACACTACCGATCCACCAGCACTAAAGACTCGAGAACCGAGGGCGGCCCTGCCTGTTGAGGCAGAACTCACCTGAGCGGACGCTTCGCAGCCGGTTTGTTTCGCTTGCATCTGACGGCTGCGCTGAGTGCAGCACAGAGCTCCACTGCCTTTTCCAGGCAGCCTGCCAGCATGACAGCCAGGACGAGGGGCTTCAGAGTGTCCCCAAACTGTTCCTCAGAGCCACCAATGCAGCTTGCGCGAGACGTGCCGCAAGTTTCGCATGTACTGAGGCTTCGTCCATAAGCTTGACCGATGCCCAGAAGCCAATGATGCAGGTGCTACACATTGTTGCCTGCTTGGCCACGGCATGTTCGCGCACGGAAGCCGGTTACGTGCCCAAGCCTTCACCAGCAAAGGATTGGCAGCACTCGCAAGGCTTCTCATCGGCTCCGACTCTGACATGGCCTCTGGGAGCGAACTTCCAGTTTGGATCACCAGGTTTCTCTCTGTCTCTACTCCAAGGCCTCAAGTGACTTCGCGAGGCCAATGTTGGGAACCGGCGGCATGAGCCGCTGCTCCGGATTCATTTCTAAACCAGCGAAGTTCTGCGTACACAGCTACATTAGCTGCCAGTGCAACTTCAATGCAAGGTGTCAGTGCTGGACGCCCTCATACCACGAAACTTGTGGGAAATGGCTAGACTCTAGACGTGATACGGTCCGATCCTTTCGAAGCAGTGTCATGGACGTCGCCATGGATGCACGCTGCAATACCAGCACTGAGAGCACATGATGAGGGCAACCGTCAAGATCGAAGACACTAGGAAGCTGGTCCGTGTGCTCGAACACCTCGGATGTGATGATATGAGAGCAGAGAACCGGAGTTGAGTGTCTATTGCTCTGGGCAAAGCACTGGCTGTTCATTGCGATGTTGTACATCAGCGGATTGTAACCTCAAGCAGTAAGCAGATGACATGGAGCCACAGAGCAAGCAAAGCCAAGACTGCAGGCCGCCGCAGGCCGCTGCTAAGTGCAGTTCCATACTTCTCCGTGGTCGGCTGCAGACTGTTCACCTTGGTGAGACTCCATCTCAATCCGACGAATGGTGTGAGTACTCCTTTCGCAGGGCTACATGCTTGCCGGCGAGCAGCGAAGTCTTCACAGTGAGCGATTAACGGAAAGTCAAAGAAATACCTCGTATTCACGTTGCCCACGACTGGTTTACCAAGGACGCATTCCACCGGGGCATCAGCATAACGCCGTAGCACAGCAGTCTAAACCAAAGCCAAGCATTGTAGGACTTGACCTGAGCGAAACACCAAGGACCACGCGGGGGACGAGGGATGTACAGTATTATGGCTTTTGTCACGGCTCGAGGCAGGGGCCCAATCTCTCCTGCCGGACCAGGTTCCCATGACGCCCAAGACGCCAAAGAGGAGACCGCTGTACTGCGAAGCTGCGAAGCTGCGAAGTGAGTGCAAGCAAAACCAGAAGTCTGCCTTCTCTACCGGAATTCATCCTCCGGTTTACGTACTAGTAATTGAAAGAATTTCTGGACTAAGCTGTATGCAGCTACTCCAACAACTTACATACTGTTCACAAGCAGAAGAGGACGTCGTGCCCACCTCGCCCAGGCAGGTGGCGATGTTGCCTCCGACACCCTGACAAGCCGCTAGCGTCCGGCTACGAGTGCTGCTCGCCCCTTGCGATAAAGCCGGCGGTGTGACGAAGCCGCCAACGAAGCTTCGGAAGAGCTGGTTGAAGAGCCTCTGAGCAGGGCCGTGCAAGAGAAGCTCTTCGGCAGACTCTCTGCCTGTAGTCCACGGTGTACAGGAAGGAGGTCAGGGTGACGATCAGAGCCGAAGTCTCGGCAAAGCAACTCCACGGGCTTGGAGCATCTTCGAGCTTCAACGAGCTTCCGCTCCAAGGACAGGACGAGGACAGTGAGACGAATGGGGATGCAGAAGAACAGCGCTCTCGAGGAAACCTGAAACAAGCGAAAGGCGCATCACCGTCCGCGACAGTGAGAGGAGTGAAAGATTTTGCATGATCCTGCATGGCAAGCTGAATCATGAATGGTCTCCTCTCGTTACCATGGCCTCTGGGGAGTACATCTTGAAGGGTTCGCTCTCGGAGTTCGGAGTGGCCTTCACCGGACCCACTCTCTACCTCCTGGGATCGGACCTCGCTCCCTGCCTGCTTCGCTTGGCCCGCAAGGGAAGCCTGGGCCAGAACTCCAGAACTCCATACTTGACCCCGTGTCTTCAAACGTCGCGCCCCCAAGCTCTCAGCTCTCGTGACGGAAGCTGCGTCCTAGCACCCTGAGCAGTCTTTCTGCAAAAAAGCCAAGGCGTCGGCCGCGAGGCCGCGAGGCGGCGCCGAGGGCAGCGCTGCCGCTCGGCCGCTTGAGCCGATTTCGGCGGGGCCGGGAGCCGGGAGGAGCCGGGAGGTGAGAAAGGCGCTGCAAAAACCCGCCGCGTCTCAAAGACTACGGTACGACGTACGAGCTACATTGTGAAATCATCAGCGCATCGCAGCACAGCCAGACAGCCTGTCGCCAAACTCTCGGTGTCGCTCGCACCTGTGCACGCACTCCGCACGACTTTGTTGTTGGCGCGAGAACATGCAAAGTTTGTCGTGGTTGACTTAGAAAGTAGACTTAGGCTACGGTGCGCCTGCTGGCCAGGGAAATGGGGACAGAGCTCCTGCCGAAGCGAGCATCCGCCGAAGCTTCCGATAGGTTCAACATGGACTTGATGGGCATTGCTTAAGTTCTGGTGAAACGTGTCTGAGATCCCAGGAGCTAGCTTCTCTCCAGCTGTCTCTATCTTTAGTTTTACACCTCTCTCTCCCTTTCTCTCTACTCCCCGTTGATCAAACCTTGCTCGGTCTCCCTGCCACAATTGCTGAAAATCTGGCGGGGGATGCAAAAAAAAACGTTGTTTGCCCTTCTGGCCTTGCCAACTGTAGCGGGGCGAGAGGTGGGGAACACACAAAACGGTCGCTTCGTGTCGTGACATCCAAACGCTTCTCCTGCGCGCAAGCGTCTGCCGCCTCGTCGAGCGGTGTCAGGCCAGACAGGCCCTCGCTACTGACCTTGCACGGGGCGCCCCGACCCACAGCCCACAGCAACTCACGCCATGCCATTCCCTCCGTTCCCGCTGCCTGGAAGGCACACTTCCCCAGCAGCTTCGACTTGCCTTCGAGACCGTGTGGCAGCCGTGCTGCAAAGGTACTTCGGGGTACTGCCGGACCGAGCCTTTGCGACCCTCACATCGCTTCATGATTTCAACCTGCGGAAAAGCAGATCAAAGCGGAAGAAGGACGCTTCGCTCTCAGCGCACCCTGCCTCTACTCGGAACAACGCATCTACTACCCTGCCGACATAGCGAGTCTCTTCGTGTGCGACGACTTCCTGACAGCACCACGCAATTCCGAAGCAGCAAAACGAATGCGAAGGTCCTCCATTCGAAAACCGCCGACTGGATGGACACGATCCGCACTCACCTGGGGACAGGAAACCTAGCATAGAGGCTCGTCTGCACGGTAGATATCGAGACCCCACCTCAGGGTAGGGGCGGCTAGGCGGTGGATTGTTTGAGAAGCGACAGTTACATCGCACCTGCGCACTTGCGAGGTTCCCAAGAGAGCGAGAGGATGGGCTTCCGTTGCGAGCACTCATCTGCAGAAGTTTCTCGCAGCATCTGCGAGTCAGGTGAAACAACCATGGAATTATGTACAATGCTCAATGCTGAGCTGAGGCTGACCTACGAAAGCCGACCTTGGCTTCTAACGGCCCGCAACGTCCCGCAATGCCCGTAGCTGGACCGTGAGCTGCTGCGACCGTCTCGACCATTTGGCCATGCTGCTCGAGGTCTCTACTTCTGTGGGGAGCACCGCGCTGATGCGGTGAGGCACATCAGGCCTGCAAGGTCTGTGCACGAAAGGACAATTCTCTTGGGCTGCTCAAGCACCACAGTGACTACAACATACTTGCAATACTACAACACAAAACACCTCTAGCTCTTGTTGTGCCTCAAGCTGGTGACCTTGAGTTCAGTCGGCGAGACCTGCGACTGGCATCTACTCCTCCCCCTGCTCAAGCTCTGTACTCTATCCGCTCATCGCACCTCCAGTGAAGCTTCTGCTGCTGAGCTTAGCCCCGGAAGGTGGACCACCACTTTCACGATCTCGAGCCCCGCCTTGACTGGCTGACGCCATGACTCGACGCTTCAGGACTCAGGACAGCCACGATGAGCTGGTCCCCGGGCCGAGTCTGTCTCCGAGGTCACAGAGCAGCTCGCATTGCTCGCATCGCCAGATCCTGCAGCCATGCTGCTTGAATCCTGACTCAAGTACGACAGATTCTGCAGCCCCCGCCTTCAGTGGTTTTGCTCGGGACTTCCTCCTCCTTTGCCGGTTCCTCATGCCTCCTCAACGAGAAGATTGCCCAGCAAGTCACTGAGAGCTGTGAGAGAACTGTGCACCGATGTAAGACACCTCTCCTGCTCAGTGTCGGTGCGGCTTTGGCACCTGGCACTGTGGCGTTCTTCGTGTTCTGCACATCGCGGTTTCCAACCTTCTCCTGCGTCCTGGCAAGAAAGGAAAGGCACTTCAGTGCACCGCTGTCACCGTTTTGACGCCAGGCCCTCCTTCGTGCAGCTTTTCCTTGCTTGCGCAGCAAATCCTCGAAACCTGGCTTCTCCTTGCAGAGATGGTAGCAATCCCATGTCCCTGTCGCTGGCATATCTTCGCCTCCTTGCGTACTTCCACTGCGGCGACAGTGACTTCCTGACGGGACCGCGGGACAGGCTTGATGCCATTTGTTGCAGGTAGTCTCAATAGGAAAAAACTGCGTGGACTTGGAACTGCTGCTGCCAGGTGGAGGCATGGTGTCAGTGTAGAGTGCGCACAACTCAGATCTGCCGGCGACCACCCGGAGCATGTCATGCCCAAGTCCCTCTCTGCCTTTGGGAAGTAGCCTTGTTCACGACAGCCACGGGCAAGCTGCGACTGCTCTTTCTGCATGGCTGTCCACCTCAGCTTTTCCGAGCCACCAAGCGGCGACAAGCGCCCCGCCGGAAACGAGAAGCCAAGTCTCAAGCGTTGCCGTGCCGCCGTCTAAGACCTCGGACACAGGAAAGTGGCAAGGGACTTGTTCCTCTTCGAATCATCATGCTAGTCACCAACTCCCCGATCAACAAAAACAAGAATGAAAACCCTCCCCCGTTACCTTAACAAAGGATCTTTGATAAGATGTAGAGGCCCCTACTGAATCAGGTCAGGGGCCGACATGAAGCTTGCGAACACGAAAAGCTTAGGAGGATGCCGACTCTGCGAAGAGCTTCGAGGACAGGAATCTCCAAGTCTCCACCCCTCCGCCATATGCCTGAGAAGTCTGAGAGAGATGCATTCTCTGGCCTAGGCCTATTCTTCGGCACCGGCACCTGGTGACTTCGCAGAAGCGCCCGGCGAAGCTCCTGAGGTCCGCGCAGCGAGCGCGAAGGGAAGCCCTCTGCCAGTGTATGGCGTATGGGGACCCTGAGGATTGAGACCAAACCGCAGTCCTTTTGAGCGGCCTTCTGATAGTCCAAGTGGAAGGCCAACAGTTTGTTGCCTTCACAGAGCTTCACAAAGCGGTCAAGCTGTGCTATCTCTAGGAGGCTGTGCGTGCGATACTCCTGCGTAGTCTGTTCGTAAGCGCCTAGCTCAACATGTCGTTGGCGACTATTGCAGCAAGCTCGGAGCCCGGAATCACCTGCGGAGCCGGAGCGGAGTGATGGTGGCATCTGCGAGCACTTCATCTGCTCTGGGCCTGCTCCAGAGCATCCAAGACTCTGCACCAGGCAGCTGCCGCCTGGCGGAAAGCGCTCCTTTGCTGGCCCGCGCCCCCCTCTCGTCTTGGTCCCCAGGCCTCCACATAGCGGTTGAGGCCTCTCCATCATGGGACGGACTGTGCCAGAAGCACCCTCAAGTCTCGAATCTGGCCTCGAAGACTCAGCGCGAAGCCGCGCAGCCTTGAGAGAGTGAAGCACCAGCTCGTGCTGCTAACTTCGGGCGAAGTCTGGCATATGCCCAGGAGACCGGGCACATTCGCGAGGCTTCCCAGAAGGAGAGCCTGCACAGTTTCTGCTGATCTCGCCTCATAGCCCCTGTCTGGAAGGGCAGGTGGCACCTGCAGCTTGTCCTGCTGTTCGAAACATCGCTTCTCCGCATCGTCGACACACTGCTCGAAGCCGTCCCGAAGTAGCGCCTGGGAGGCACGCCGCGCTACAAGGCCCCCTGCAGACCCCGAGTATTGAAATCTGGGACTGCAGCCATCCGCTGTGCCGAGAGTGGAGCAGATGGCAACTTAGCGTCAGGTTCCACAAACTGCTCGGCGCAGGACACTCATGCAAACACAAACCTCGTACACCGACATCTGTACAGTAGCCAACCGACCTGCCGGTGAAGTGAACCTTTTCCTGAACGCTTGCTTTCAAGACAACTCCCGAGCCTGCTGGCTGCAGCGCAGTTTCGAGCTCTTTGGCCTCATATCTGGTTGTCACAGATAATCCAGACTGCGTGCGCTGTCATGCACCATGGCACCATGACGGTGCAGCTTCTTTGACTTTTGTCTCCACCAACAAACCAAGCAACGGGCTGCGAACACCTCGGCGCCGTTTGCAATCGCCTGGTCTGCAAAGTTCACTGAACCCCAAGGCCCCATTGTCACTGTCCCTCTCGACAGAAACGTGTTGTGGTAGTTCAGGTGTGGGTGGGGAACTCGGGGCTTGATGGTCTGGGTAAGGGCTTTGTTATCGGATGGATCTCACACAGAAGTGGAGTTTGACCTTTTAGCTCCCTACGTGTCCTGTCCCTACGGCAGGCTGAAGCATGTCGCGAACCAACCTCCAGGCGTTCGGCTAACTCTGCTCCCTCTGCTCCTGGCACCAGACTGCAACTTCTGGCCAGGCATGTGCTGAGGAAAGGTCACGGCAACACAGATGATGGAGCGCTTTGCGGACCTTGTGTGGCTTCCGCAGCCTGGCACCAGACGATGATGTGCAGGAAGGGTAGACTGTCATATACATGTCATTGTCATATCTGACAAGCAGTGGCAGGAATCATGAACTTCAACCGTAAAGACAGCTGAAGCTGCAGACTTCAGTGTTGACGAGCTGGGAATCGATGTCACACGCACCCGTCAGCTCCATGCACTCCCTTAATTGCTAGAACGGCCGAGTCCTTCTCCAGAATGTCTTCTGCAGCCTTTTGCTGCTGGCCGAAGACTGCCTGACCAGCAACACGTGCAGATTCCCTTGACTGCCGGGATCTGCCGTCAGTGTCACGGCCTCTTCGAAGTTGCATCTCTCGCAGCAGCAGTGGAAACCATAGGTCGCCTGCCAAGCAACGTATGGTATGAAGCTCCGTCTCTATGACTTGGCATTACGACGATCATGCAGCACGAGGAATCAAGCGTAAATGTCCAAAAGTCTTACAGTTGTCAGCAATGTCGCTCTTCTCTATCTCACTGTCATGATTGAAATCATTGTCTTCTGCCCTGGGCCCACGCAGGGCCTACGATCTGTTGCTTCTTATCTTAGTTTTTCAGCATCACTGGCGATATCTTGCAGCTGAGCATCCAATGCTTCACGCCGTCGGTAGAAGGGCCTCAAGCCATGAGCCATGGCAAGGTCGAGTCATGTCGAGTCGGCATCGAACGCTACGTCCCGGACTGCAAAGTCTCAGCATAGCCTCGAGGCACCGCAGCATGGATACAGTACGGCAGGCTCAGGGCAGAGAGGGCTCGCCGCATGGCGCGGTTCGAGGCCGGCGCTGTCGAAAAGCTCCTCTCCAGCTTTCAGGTCCCGTCCTCGCGGCAGCGCTGCAGAATATCAGCCACAGCATGCGAAGAGCCAAGACCCCGGGCCGGCTCTCAGGAAGAGGCAGTCCAGCACAATCAACCGCTGAACCTACGGCTCTACGGCTCGGCTCTCACTGGGGCTCTTCACGACTCACGGCTTTTCGCCAAGGCCAGGGCGTTCGGCAAGCACGAATGGTTTACGTAGACAGGCAGTAACCAAAGCCCAGAGCGCTGGGTATCCTGAGAGCAAGCGCCCACCGTCAGACTGAAGCATCAGCGGCGAATGCTCTGAGGAGGCAGCATTGCCGATTTCCAGTGGCGCAGCGTTGGGGTTCACCATGGGCAAGCCAAACCTGACGTCTTTGATTGATTGATTGATTGATTGATTGATTGACTGATTGATTGATTGATCGATTGACTCATTGACTGCCGGTGGGTGCGAACACCCTTGCAATTGTAAGGCAACAGACGCTGCTCCGCGCTGTACAACACAGACAGGGATCTTTTGCCACTGCACTGCGCTGGAATCATGGCATTTGACCCCAGAGAGGCCCCGCTGACATCTAAGATTGCTGCTGAGCTACTGGTTGTAGTACAAGATCGACTCAATCTCCTCCAACCTGGCATACCAGTTCGCGAATCTCTGGCACAGGAGAAAGCCAAAGAAAGAAACATAAGAACTTGAAAAAGCCAGGGGTGCGAGATGTCGACTTCCGACATGGCCGCCTAACTGTCTAACGGTTACGCAACTATCCATGCATCCGGTCGGACACGAAGCTCAAGAGGCTCCAGCCTCCGCTCGCAGCAGCTTCCTGGGAGCCGCCAGTTGTGCTGGACTGAGAAGAGGCATCTGGCAAGCGAGCGACCGCAACAGAGCTCACCCCATCTCAGTCTCAGTCGTGACGTGCCATGACGTGCCTCTGCCTCACTCTCCTTTGTGCCACGAGAAAGGCCTGAGGTAGGATATGCTAGCATCTAGCAGCACTGTAGGATGCTCCGTCATGGCTGATGCTGAACTGCAAGGACAGGCTCCGAGCTGTGCAGTACTTGCCCGATCTCCTCGCTTCGAGCGGCGCGCTGCAGGAGTTTGGGCAAGTCCTGCAGAGGCCAGGGCCAGGGCTCCACTCGGGCGAGATTTGTAACGCACATGACGTGCACTGCGAGCTTGCCGCTTGCTTGCGGCCAAGCCCTGACGATGGAGACCAGATGGCACAGGGCTTTCGATTCCACCGAGACTTGACGCTGGAATCCAAAACAGCGAAGGGAAGGCTGCCCTTGTGAAGTTCGGCGCCAGGCATGGCTTTTGAGAACTAAACACGAAACACTCAGTAAAGGAGACGACGAGGCAAGCAGGACCCACATGAAACAGCAGCGAGGATAGTTGCATCGAGAAGTTGAGCCTGTATTTATCCTTCACACGCCCGTCCTGTGCGAAAATTTGGAGTAACTGTTGCTTGGGGGATACGGACGTTGGACAACACCACGGCAGCTGAAACGACGTTTGACACAGGCTAGAATAACACCGGGACACATCTCGGGGAGCTGTTGGTTGCATGCTTTGAGAGTTGTGATATCTCGATTCGGAGACTCCCTGATCGATCTATCCCTGCATGCAGGAGCTAAGGTGAAACCGGTACTGATTGATGTCAATCAGCTCTCTAGGTGGGCTTTTGCTTGGGTTTTTTCCGTTGCCTTCACCGCCTCCATGCAATGCACCTTGGATTTTGTCCGGTCTCGGACGGGGAGGATGCTTTACAAAACTTTGCGACGAAGGTATTCATCGTCCCTCACGTACTTGTTGGCTGGACGGCATGAACGAATCGACGTACGATCGTGGCATCACTAGCTGGGTGAAGTCAACTCGATTTCGGGGGGCGGCTCCTCGTTCAGGCCCGTCACCAAGGCTTTGGCACAAAGAAGAAGCCTCCGACAGAGGTGCCAGCAATTTTCTCTCCGCCGCGAGGCATCACGAAATCTCGGGCCTGTATGCAATGATGTGGGGGATTTTTCTTAGGACTCGAAGGTGAAAACTGTTGCGAACAACACCAGTGCGGCCTTCCTTGCCGCACGTCTTCCGTCAAGAAAAGACCTCGGCCTGCGAAACTGGGAGCAAATTCGGAATTGGAGACAATCTGATCTGCGACTCCGCCTCGTTCCGGTGAGTAGCCGATTCGAACCTCAAGTCACTGGGCTTCGTCTGGAGCCGGGCGAGTGGGCAAGTCCCAGTTCTCTTCTGTTACCCTTTTGTTTGGCATGGTCTCGTTTTTTCTCCTGCTCCTGCTCCTCTGCCTCTGCTCCTCCTCTTCCTCCTCCTCCTCCTCGACGACGACTACTACTACTACTACTACCACCACCACCGCTGCTTAACATCGTAGTTCCCAGCTTCTGGCTCGCTTTCGTTCGCCACGATGCTGGAAAGTGATGGTCAGAGAAACGGAGAAAGAATGTTCACAAAAGAAAGCCCCCAACCAAACGCTCTGTCGATAAACGCAACCTTGCGCGCCGCCCTCCTTAGGCCCATGCGGGACCCACGTATGGCTCCACATCCAAGCTTGCGATGACGAGGTCTTCACCCTCGAGGCACGAGTTTCAACCCTCTCTGCAATCTCTGCAAGGTCACCACCGAAAGCGTACCTCCGGAAGATGGTCAACCTGCTCAGCCTGCTGGGCATCTTCTGACCTCATCCGATGGAGGGCATGGGTTTTTGAGCGTGGTAAGGCTGCCTCAGGACACAGCTTTTGCTTCTGCTTGGCCTTAGCCTGGGCAGAGGGCAAACCGAAAGCAAAAGGACCCGTGGCCAGTGGCAAATGAGAACTCAGCCGACTGCAACTGCCAAGGTGCCCGTCTCGAAGTATTTCTCGTACACCTTCCATCCATGAGCTCGCCGATATTCGCCGACGTAGACCAATGACAGGGGAGTTTGGAAAGCTGGGCATGAGGCTGCCTAGATGCATTCAATCAGCGAGACACCCCGATGATGTGCCTCCAGCCATGCATAGCGGCCCGCTGCTTCCTGCAACCGTCGCCGCACCTCATCGCCGGAATCAAATCGCCAACGCTCCAAAGGCGGACAAAGGACGACCACGCAGATCGTCAAGAGCCGCTTACGAGTCTAGATACGACGGATACGAGTCTACATTGCACATGCACTCGTAGAAAAGTGTTTCTGCTTCTGTACTGGGTTCGCCACAGATGTCAGTGCAGATGCTACCTGAGCGCCACCCCAAGGAAACTTGGTCAAGATGAGTCGTCACAAATCTCAACTCTCACCTGCTGAGCCTGCAGCAGCCTCGTCTGTGGGCCGCAAGCGCAAAGCTTCCTTCAGCGCAGCCTCTGCCTCGAAATGTGGCCGTAATCGGCAAGCGGCAAGGAATTGGGGTGAGTCTGTCTCTCCGCACTTTCTGGCATCACCCGCTTCATCTTTAGGCTTCATATGGAAGGGCTCCAGAAGCGGAGCGAAGATAGCTTGGGGAATCCCAAATGATGAAGAAGAGTCCTTCAGCGACAGATCCACAAACGCAACTAGCTTCATCCACTCTCTTGCCCTTGAAGATTTGAGCTCTCCTGAAGTCTGTGCAGCATTGTCTTTGCCTTGCACCGTTCTCGGTTGTGACCTTCTGCCCAAGCACGTGCGACAGCAATTAAGTTTTCGGCTTGGCTATGGCACTCCACTGTACATTTGGATGCACATCCCTCCACTCTGCTTCTCCAGAAGTTCCCGCAAGTCTTGACCGCAACCACGTACAGAATCCAAATTCGAAACGACGCACCCTGTCTGAGTCTAGCTCCATCTGGCTTTCCGACCCGGGACTACCGCGGACATGCCCCGAAATGCGCAACGGCAGGCGGCCTCTTCGAGTCTGGACAAACTGGCGTTGGCGATGCCGAGGCGGTACCTGATGATCCCCCAGTGGTAACTGACAGGAGGAGGACAGAGTGACAGACCACAGCACCCTGTAAGCAGGTGCACCATGCTTTGGGGTTCTCGGGCGCGATTGCGCGCGCTGCAGAGGCGTCCTCGAAGGCTTCAAGATCGATTTCTCTGTGATGTCAACGGCTCAGCCCCTGCCTCGAGGGCGTCTTCAAAGTGCTGCAGCTTCAATCGGCATCTGACAGAAGAGAAAGCCGCCCAGCTTGTCGTGAGGTGCGTAGGCCGAGGCCAGTGCTGTGCTCGACTGACGAGAGCAGAAGCCCGGGACTCCGCATCCACTGCAGATGCTAGGGCCTGGGAAATCGAGAAGTGAAGCTGAAGTGTCGACGCTGCATCTTTCACTTGCACGGCCTCTGTGTACAGGTCTTCTGCTCGGGAGAATTGGCCATCTCGGTAGGCAGCCGCTGCTGCCTCGGCGGGAGGACATCCATCTCAAGATCGATGGACGGCAAAAAACGCTACTTTCTGCTGAGCTTCCATGAAATGGCCGTTGCTGGCTCCGCGTCCGCACGCCCATGGGATCTACGAAACTATATGTGCCTGGGGAGGCTCGGAAGGGGTGAAGTGGGACTTCACCCACCTTCGGATACCTTCAGATTGCGACGACATGCGTCACCGGGTAACAGGTCTTGCGCAGCCTGCCACCACTCAAACAGCTCGATCTGCAGATGAACTTGGAGCCAGCAGCGAGGACAGCAGCGACAAGCACAGGCTCTCTGGACCCCATATTTCATGTTACTCAGACTATATACCGTTTAGCAAACTCTGCTACGGTGCTGCTACAGGATCTGCTGGTCGCCGTGGATCGGGATAGGGCTGTCATGGAGGATTTGCACGGCTCTCATGTCCGAGCATCGGCCTATGCCCTCAACCTTCTTTGGCGCTGACTTGGCAATCGCTCGACCCCCTGCTGTCCCCGCTTCCTCGAAGAGTATCCTACATTCCCCCACGTTGGGTCCTGAGTCCTGAGAAAGGTCGACTTGAAGACATGTCGCCCTGCTCCGTGGGGATTCTTCTGATCTTTCCTTCTCTTTCTCCACCCCTTCCTCCTATGGATCTGGAAGGAACAGGTTGCATCCTCCAACTGATCACGCTGCAGCACCAGCGAGCATGCGCAAAATGCAGATGGGGGCGAACATCCACAACGAGTCCCAGGGACTGCGGGTCCTGGCGTGCACGTCTGTCCGGCAGAGAAAATAGCATGCGCAAGTACAGCTCAAGCGACTGCCTTTACAGCAGAGACGCGATCGCCAATGACAAAGGGTCTGTCGATCAACTGCAAAGAGGATTCCTGACAAGAGCCGGTAATCTTCCACTGCAAACCTTTATCGGCTTACCTGTGTCCCACCTTCATTCGCAAGCCTGGCGTCTGGTGGAGGTTGTCACCGATCCACGACACACTGCATCGTCCTGGGGGCAGCTCCTGCCAGGGCAACCCACGCGGACATGAACCGCCCTTTGCAACGAGACACCAGACACCGGAGGACATGATAGACTGATAGACATGATCGATGCCTCGTCAGACGATGTGCCATCATCGTAGCCGGAAACTCGGTAGACCTGCATGCCGCGAAGCGCGCACAGCTTCTCAGCAGTCGAAATGCTTGCTCTCGATCTGCCACATTTGGCCTGGCCACGCCACATCCACCTGCGCCAGCACGATGTAAAGGCTTGGAGAAGATGCTTAGTTACAAAGAGCCGCAGGAGCTACCAATTATTGTTCCTTGCATCTGCTTTCCCGGCGCCGCCGTAGCATTCTACCAGAGAATCCTGAATGCGCATCTTGTGGGGGCGCACCGCAGCTTCTGCTTTCTGGACCCAGGTCGCAGCTCGACGACGTCACTTAGAGCAGTCGTTGTTAGAAGCACAACCAACCACAGATGTGCGATACAGCATGTGGCAAGAATTTCCCGCATCAACCACCGTGCACAAGGCGCAAAGTCACACCAACAACTGTGGGCTTTTCGTCTATGGAGAAATCGATGCATCTGCCACGAGCTCCGTGACGGCGCTAAGCCGAGTCTGCGCCCAGGCCGTGCCAGTTGCGCCGCGGCCGGCGCTCGGCGGCGCTCCGCGCTCCGTGGGCGCCGCGCCTGTCCATCGAAGGTCCGAAACCCAAAGAATTGGGGACTCTTCAAGGCCTCCGTGATCTCCCGGGTTCAAGTACACCTGCACGACGAAGTCCTGGTCATCTGCAACGTTGAGATATCAACGCAGGGAGAGGAGGAAGAGAGCGAGAGAAAGAGAGAGAGAGAGAGAGACAGAGAAGAAAGCCCGCCAAATGTCCTGCGCCAACGACTGCCACATGTTGGTGTTACCTTGCTCTCACTGGTAGGGGAGCCGCCTGGCAAGCGACTCTTCAAGCTTGACTGCTAAACGAATATTGATTCAGAGTCGCATGCGAGAATCGATCGAGACCCATCGAAACTACCTACCTTCCACAGCTTAGCTCCCCCACAAGATCTCTCGAACCATCGTGCCTCGTCACTGCTGCTTGTCTCCGCGCTTGTTTGCTCATCACTGGGCTCTGAGTCTGTCTCCTGGCCAGAAGTTACAAGGTGCTGACATACTTTCGCTCGGCTGTTTCCGGTGCTTCGCACATGCTTTGATTTGGTCTGCATCGATGGGACCCCGGTCTGTCCCCACCGCACGCGGAAGATCTGCGGCGAGCGCGATGGCCAGTGCTGCGATATATCAGGAACTCCTTTGCTGCTGCAGAAAGCATTCGAGCATCGCACGTGGCCTACACAGAGCAGGCAGCAACACGGCCATGAGTCTCAACAATTGGAGGAGCTTTCCGACAGCTCGGTTAACGGAGCCCAGCCACGTGCAGGTCGAAAGAGCTGCACAGTCTTCGCACTGCACTGTTGAAGTAGCTAAGGATGAGAAGGGGAACCAGGATCACTGTGGAAGTGATCATGTCCCTGAACCTAGGTCGATGGAGAAGTGGCTTGGACGGCACTCACAGGCCACAGGAGGATCATTATTACTGCGGATCAGCAGCATGCGGTTGGTGAGCACCCAGAAATACAATGCCTGCCAGAGTAGTGTCAGACTCGCCCAGACACTTACTAGCTGGCTAGCTGGCTAGCTGCTGAGCATGAGGAGCCTGAAGCCCGCGCTCCGGTTTGCAGAGACCGCCCCTCGCACAGCGGGAGCGCAGGAGGCCTCGCAACCGGACATTCCGAGAATCCTTGCTGCGGGCATGCACAGACGCAGCCTTCTGCAAGGTAAATCATCACCTCCAATAGAAGATATTTCAGGATGAACCTTTGGAGCACAGAACATGCCACTTCAATAGGAGCGAGCTAGCACAACATGGTGACGTCCTCTTATCAACGTATTCGTTGGTTGGACGTCACTCCTGCTTAATGTTCGTGCTTTCGAGAAGCCCGGCGATGTAGTCTTTCCATCGGCCAGTGTTTCGCAGTATGTCCAAGCAGAGCGCAGCTTCCGCGATTTGCAGAAGGACCACAACTGGGGCCAACAATGGCACCAATGCTTTCCTGACGTACACTTCTCTTAAGTTCTCGGCCGCAATCACTTGAAAGATGAAACCTTGAAGCCTTAAACAAAACAAGCATCAGCACGTCCCAGCTGGACCGCGTAGTGGATCTACAGCTTCTCCTTGCCATGGAATCAAGTGTCAGAGTTTTCTGCACCGGAACGGCCCCACAGGATGTGCACACAGAGCTGACTGAAAGGTCCTGATACAGCTGGTGAAACTACACCCGAGGGCGGCTAACATGCAGAAGACCATGGAGAATGCGACTGGTGGTAGTAGTGTCAGCGCAGCCACCTGCTGGAAATTGGTTCCAACAGAAGTTCTGGTTCTGATCTCCAGGATCAATACGACAAAGCTGCCTCTTCCATAAGGGCGTGCTTGGAGAAGATCACCTGCAACATACTGACCTGCGCAGCGACTTGACTCCGTGAGCACACACCGCTCTTGGCTGGATCTTCAGCAAAGGAATGGGAATGGGCGTTGCCTACGGAACATGCTGCAAAGTTGCCGGCCTTGTGGTTGACAACAGCAAACCAAACCGACACGCCCAAGAATACCTCACGAGGAGGGCAGTATTGGCGTGCTGAGAAGGACTCCGATCTTCTGTGAGGCGGGCTCTTGCAGGCGAGCTGCAAACAGAAAGTTGAAGTCCAACATGGAAATACTCAATCCAGCACGTGGCTTTAGCTGACATTCCTGGAACCGAGAACGATATCGGTATGCTGACACAATTTATGCGTGCTGCAACCAGCGCCTCATACCATCGGATCCATCCACGGCCCCAATTCTTGAAGAAAAAGGCGCACAAACTCCTCCTGTTAACACGAGGGGCCAAGAGCAGACCCAGCCAAGGAAATGTCCTGTCTGGTCCTGTCTTCCTCTATGTGGCGACGGGCGAACTGGTGCGGGTTGAAGATGAAAGGGGCATAAAGCCAAGAGATGATTGTCAATCCGATGCCTCAGTCGCCCATGCCTGCTCTCAGAAAAGTGCAGGAACAATCGGAATGGGGCAAGCTTTCGTGGGACGCGCCGCGATTGGCGAATGTCTGTCTGGCTGAAGCATTTAAGGCAAATCGTGCTGAGTGCGCGACACACCCAAACGGGTGAAAGTCGGTGACCTTGATCGCCGCACTTCGAAGTCGAGGCCGTGCAGCTCAGCTCCACTCTTTGCCGAGAGTCGATAGACGTTAACAGAGCTCATCCTTGGCACGGGAAAGAGAGACACTCCGACTCGGACAGCCGGGGGCCCGGGGCCCAAGCTCAGGCGGCCGAGGCGGCCGAGGCGGCCATTGAGGCGCGGACCCTCCCAGACCGACGACCATCACCGAGGCGATGAGGAGGATCAGCCCATCGTAGAACGCTTGCACCGCGTAATCTAAGTAAAGACCTCCGCGCATCACGCATCATCTCAGTAGTACTCACCACTTCTGGCTCTGAAATTCGGGCAGCGGCCATCGAAGTCGTCAGGCTCCGTCTTGGCCCGGATGAAGTGCCGACGCTCTGTTGGCAAACTTCGACCGGTGCTGATGTATTTGGCACCGCCTCGAAATCGTCGCGATGAGTCTTGCTTTGTCGCACTGCAGAGGTCTCACATGTAAGTCGAGTCGCCGTAGCGTAACTCGTTGATGACCTAAGCCAGAACCAGCACAGCTGCTGGAAGGCAAAAAGCCCAGAACTCCTCTTCATGCCCACAAGCAGCATAGAAGCCAATTATCTTCGCTTGGAAAACGAACCTGAGAACCGCCACGCAATGCTGCTGCATACATGGATGGCAAGAAGCTCGTGGGTCTTGCTAGTCCTTGCCAAGGTGCATCAAGAAGGAGAGCGTGAAGATTTGCTTCAACAGCCGCTGCACAGCGATCTTGAAGCTCCTGGACGTGAAGTGGAAGGGCAGACCAAAGAAGAGTCACAGATGAGAGTAGTTGCCGTCGTAGCAGGGCACGATTTTGTGAGAGCAATGGCTGGCTGTCTCATGCAATCGCTGTCACACCATGCACCGAGAACGAGACATCTACTGTTTTCATGAGGCTTTGCAGGCAGCAGTCCTTTCCAGCCACTCTTCCATGAAAAGTGGTGCAGCCGTTGCCAGAAGCACAAGCAGCAGCAGTGCCAGGGTATAGATGCTGGCCAACATCCTGTGGGCAGCAGAGGCTGTACGCAGGAAGCATCCCGGCTCTCCAGCCTTTCTTAGTCGAGTTTTAGCCGTCTGAGCCTCTCTTTCGTGCCTTAGCCCGGCCTGCCCATGAGCTCCGCCGCGGGGCGGCGAGCGCAGCTCGACTCGAAGGCCTCGAAGTGGCCATCGCAATCCGACGCCAGAACCAAAGCCCAGGTAAACATGACCTCGAGAGGGGCACACGCCAGCACGCACCGAACATTTTTTGGACAGAAAAGAGCAGTCTGCAGCATGGCGGCGGTAGGCATGACCCATGAGAGGAGAAACTGGGTCACATAGTATCCGGCATGCGCGTAGTATCTCAGCTAACTCATCTTGCTGTGGCCGATGCCCCACTGCAACTCCGCGAAAAGACTAACCACCGACGTCTATCTTGACCACCAAGCTGCAAAGTCAAGGCTTCAGGAAGAGGCCTTGGTAAGAATCGGATCGTGGCTCGCGAATCTCTGAGATTTATGGGGGAGGTTCTCGGTGCAGCGGTGGCACAAAAGTTGCCCCAGCCGGAACATTTGACGTGTAAGCAGCTGCTCACCGGAGCCAGAGGACAGCTTGGAGAAAAACTTCAGAACCTGGGTTTGGGGGTTTATGGTTTAGGGTTTAGGGTCTGGCTCTGAAGCCCACGGCTTGCACTGGCCCACGGGCTGGTGCTACAGTGCCAGGCAACTGAGTTGAAGCCCAAGTCCCTCCCTTTGGCCAGGTGGAAGTACTCCTGTGTTTGGCAGAAACCCGGAGAAGGATAAATACCCGGTCTTCCGACAGGTGTTACGACTTTTGGACAGGACCTGCGCTCCTTGTGGCAGATCTCCCGGCCGTCCCCACGGAGCACGAAATCCAAACCCGCGAAAATGTCTTCCGACAGGTTCAGTGTCCTAGCACACATCAAACACTCGGACCAACTTCTTCGCACAGCTCACCAAATCCGAATCTGGTCCTGGTGCCTTTCGAGACGCCGCCCTGCTGCATCATGAACCTTCGCTGCAAGCTGTTGGACCGCTACGAAATAGCTAGCTGCAAAGCAGTGCCGTCAAGCTGTCTACCTCATGCTTTTTGGCAAGCAGCTGCTTGTTCATGAGATCTGGGTGCCCATAGTGCATCCGTGCCCCCAACACCGCATAGCTCCGCTGAAGGATTGTGCAGAAGGCCATCTCCGAGCCAGCAGCAAAGTCACCAACAGAACCCATGTCGCCTCTGTTGTGGGAGGGGAGACGGGAGACGATAGACACGGGCCGGGCTGATTGAGCCAAGCTGCTTGTGATGTGCTCGGGAAAGCCGACAATCCTTTCTGGACAAGCTGGCACCAAAACAGCATGAGCCATGCATGGCTAGTGCGACCTGCTTCTTCGATCTCCCACAAACAGCTTCGAGCCATGTGACTGCTTTGCATTCCACCGGAACTCGGCTAAAGCGCAAGGCAGCAGCATCATTTGCTCAAAATAAGCACCTGCCCCAGAAAAGTGTACTTGTTTCGTGTATGGCATGGGCTACTAGCGGAGCTTCTGCGGCACCTTGGTTCGAGTCGACGCACTGGGTGATAGTGCCCCGGCTGAAGGGGAGAGCATGATTCTGGTTGTCAGCTTTTCCATCGCTCAGGATTGGATATCCCGGAAGCTCGATGCGATACAAGGGCTGCCGGAACGAGGAGCCCATGTTCTTGACCTGCGGCTGTAGCTCAGAAACGCGAGCAAGCCGGCCATTCCTGCATCCAGGTTCCAGGCCTTCTTGCAGCTTCGATCCTGATTGCATTGCACCGAAAAGTAGGCCCTGGATGTCACACGTCGACCACACCACCCCCAGTTAAGTCAGGCGTCGATCAGGCAGCTGTAGTATCTTCGTCTCTGGCGGGGATGAATCCCCTGCGAGCGTGGCTCACTTTGACAGTTTTTGCATTCCTCGGCGGGAGAAACGTGGCCAAGGCACATCTCGATCGCCGTTCTCGACCAGATGGTTGTGGTCAATGTAGGCGATCTTCAGGTTTGAGGGAAACCTCTCCAGCATTTCGTTCACCTGTTCGCGCTGAACCGCGGTGAAGTACGTATACCTCAGCTCGGACTCGGACGCCACGCTTAAGGCCAAGCTGCTCTGTCCTGCAATCAGGCTCTGGCAGCTGCATGGAGACCAGGCAGCGGAACCTGCAAAGGTACATAGCAGCACAGGTGCCGAGGTCAATATCAGGCTTCAGTCGAATGTTGCCATCTATGAATCCAAGACGCACATCTCTTGTGTCTTCCTGAGCTGTGGCAAGCTCTACTCATGCCAGGATGCTTGAGGCTTTGCACTGTTCGCTTTTTGTGAACTGTCACACATGCATGAAAGAGCAAGGCTAGGCCAGGGATCTCTGTGCCATTTCAACCCACTTGTTGAAAGCCCTTGGAGCTCGTGGTGCAGCAGCAGGGCATCATGATACCTCGGTTGAAAGGAACTTTGGTGAGGCCGATCCTGCGCAAGAAGTTTGGAAAGATGAGGTCGGACCAGCAGTAATTCCAGCACAGCTGCTTGCAAACACCAGACACGGTTCGCCAGAGTGTTTGAAGGCGCATGGATGCCCAGACACATGTCTCCTGGCATGAGAGCCCCACCAAGAACTATACATTATGCAGGCATTCGCTGAGAAAGGATACAATGCATCATCTCTGTATCCTTCCATTGCTCTTCGCTGTAGCGCGACCAATTCCTCACGCCACCTGGGACGGACCAGTTTTGGGCCAGATTCTTGAACTCGTCGACCTCGAAGTGCCATCTTGCCCCGCGCTTCTATGGATCGACATCACGAATGCAAGCAGGAAACATACTTGATGCGCAAGTAGTCGATCAGGTGGCCCAGCTCGCGCGCTTCACCCGCAGCCTAGCTTAGGTAAGCAATCCGTCAACTCCGACAACCCAGAAGCAGAACAAGGAAACTGCCCCCTGCATTTGGCATTTGCAGGCCTCGCTGTACAAGTCCTCCTGACTCATCAAGATCGGCTCCTGCAACACGGCAAAATGCTTGGCTTTGCATCACTTTGCATTGCATGAGACCTCGAAGTGCGGGATCAATGCCGTCATGCCCGGCAAATAGGGAGACCGGTAAGGTCTCGGAACATGCAAACCAACACCTCCGGGTCTCAAATCCACTCAGATCGGCGAGAGAGTACAACGGACATGCTCGAGAAGTGCCCAACCTCGTGCAAGTGCCAGGAATCGCCACTGCAGCTCTTTGTTCCCAGGCCACTCCTTGGCTATCTTCGGGGACTTCATCGTTGGCACCCGATCGTCGTAGTATGAACTTTCCATCTTCGCAACTACTACTACTTCTTGGCCCTAAAGGTGCCTGCGGTAGGGGCAGAGCATGCGAGCAGCTCAACAGGGAAAAACACGGACAAAGACCGACGCTGACAACGGCCATGACGATGACGATGACACGGCGAAAACGACGTCGCTGAAGTACGCATGTACATCCACCAACGTTCGTGCAAGGGCCTACTATGCCGAACCCTCGTGACAGCATCAAAGACGAGCTGCGCGAGTGTCGGTGATTCCACAGTAATGCTTGCCTGCCTCCGATCGGGCGGATGAAGCGGCTGAGAGCTGCACTCTGGCTACAAAGATCGGCTTAGAGAAGCCGAGGCGCTCTCTCCAAGCAGTTCTCTTTATTAAAGAGGACCGGAGGGTCAGGCTCTTCAGACGTGATGTAGTCGAAGCACAGCTCGCCGCTGTCTCGCATGTTTATCTTGTGTTCCCTAGTCCTCGGCTGGGCCGGCGACTCCATTCTGCGCAATATGCCACATTCATGCCTATCAATCAACAACCGCCATGAACGCAGTCTACCAGAAATCCAAGCGTCATGTGCTGAACGACTAGGTTCCACGTCTTCGCAAAAGCACGCTTGCCATCGTTAGAGTATCTCCTGCTTCGTGCAGCTTTCAACACGCGGCTTATCCTCCACCGCAAAATTACCTTCGAACTACAGACTTTTCGCTAGCCTTCTTTGGTTTCAGCCTGGCCACAGCACCTTCTGCGCAAAGCGCTCGGGAAGCTTGTGCATGGCATCCTCCAGCGCGAAATCGAAGACGTAGCATTTCCGCCTCAGCACAGCACTGAGCAGCCGGCTCAACGACTGGAGAGCGAAGTATGTCGGGAACTGGTCTGCATCCGAAGCACTGAACAAAAGTACTGGCCATGCCCATGAAGGTGCACCCAACAGTGAACCAAAGCTGCGTGTCAGCACAAAAGATGAAGAGGCTGGAGAACCACAGCCACAACCTTATTTGCTCAGGCCGAGTCACATGGCCTCCTTAATCCGTACCACTCGCTGGAAGCACAGAGAAAGAGAAGCCGTTGAATGTTCTTTGATGCAATGCAAGATCTAGGACAAAGGAGTGCGAGTCAGGGGGCCAAATGAGCACATCGCGTGCCCAGATGCTGCTGTGCCAAGCGATCCTGGGAATCCGGGGCCGGCAAAGCAGAACACACACTAATAAACTAATACATATGTAATCTATATATATATATATATATATATATAGATACTGTCATATACGCTAAAAAAAAATTCCTGAGGGCCTGGTCCGGGTTCCCTGTTCCCTGGCGAGGTTCCGGATATCCTGGGAGGTGGCTCGGCCCAGGGGCTCCAGTTGAAGATCCAGGATCAGCGCAAAGATCGAGACGAAGAGGACGACCTCCGCTGCTCCAAAGTGTTAGGGTTTAGGGGGTTAGGGATTTATATAACGGTTCCTTGTAAGGGATCCATGAGGGTACCATAAGGGATCTATTAGGCGTGAAGGCTCACTGAAAGTGTCGAAGCTTCGTGAATTTCTGGAGTGCCAAGTGCTGCGTGAGGAGCCGCCACCAGAAACTTGGCGCCCAGGACTACAAACCAGAAGAAATACCTATCAGAGTTCACGCCAGAGGAATGACTCGCAAAGATACCTTTTCCGAGCCTGGTGATCCTGAGCCGCAGCGGTGCTCGCGGTCTGTCCTCCACCAAAGCACAGACCAAAGCACCGCGCAGTAGGCACACCAGGGGCAAATCTCCTTGTAAGGCATGTCAAAGCTTCGGTCAGAGAAGAACAGCAAAGAAGCCACCACCCACACTGAGACCACAGTATGCCCGATGAGACAGTATTCCAATATCAGATACTCGCTGTTCTTCCAAACCTCGGTTGCGATCATCGCTGCTGCGGACCTTGCTACTGCCTACAGTCCTACATACTCTTTGAATTCCGAGAGTCCAAGTCTGCATAGCGAACGGCAGCGTAGGTGATCACTGGGAGCAGCCATAGAAAGACGCGCCAGGCGTTGGCACAGCAGCATCCTTCCAGGTGCTTGGGCTTGGTCGCCCTGGAGCTCTGCACATCCCAATTGAAGCCCGGATGACAATTGCTGCTAGGGGAGGTTGCTGGAGGTGCTGTCAGGTCAGGTTCTGGAGATGGTTAAGATGAAAGCTGCAAGTAGCTGCAGCAACGCCAAGGCCAAAGCGACTTCAATCCCCCGCCCGCCTAGGCCAAAAATGGCCTTCCTCGTGGCACTGCCGCAAGTATAAAGCCGCGACCTTTCGCGATCGTGTCATGGCGCTGCGCAGAATGACTCGGTGAAGTATCCTTCTTCGCTGTCAAGCGGCACAGTCACCAGGAGGGCGTGACAGGGAGCAACAAGACCTAGAGCTGCGAAGCGCACCGGTGCGGTCCGCCCGGCCATCGTTTCCTCCTCCTCTTCGTCTTTGGGCTCCTGAAGGATGACTTTCCAAAGATGCAAATGCCTGAAATAAGAGTGCACGGAATATAGGGCTCTGGCCCCTGCCACGATGCAGATTGCGGTGAAGAACAGTAAGGAGTGAAGCAGCCAAATCCTGAAGAACGTGTCAAGCCGTCACAGACTGACTTTGCCGAGCTCTTTGTGCAAAGTCCTCTGAGTGGATGCGAAGACACCCCATAGTGAGTGCACCTGCCAAGTCATGTGTAGCAGAAACCTTCGCTACCCGGGCCCCAACAATATGTGGATTAACTTTTTCATTCGCATGTAGAACTATCTTGGCTCCAAGCGGAGCCCTCAGCCACTTGTTCAACCTCTCGTGCCTTCCACTCCACTTCTTCCAGGACCCCTAGTCAATGCAGTATCCTTCCGATAATACTGGCTTGAAGGTTGGGACTACGAGGCCTCGACATCTCATGGCTAGCCCCAGAGAATTGCCGGAACTTTCGAATGCACATGCATGAAAGGACATGTGCTTACCTCACGGTGGGTCTTCGTCTTGGAGGAGTTAAGCATCTTGGTCAGGTTGAACTCCTGAGGGCAGACGCACGAAGCCGAGCAAAGAAGCCTGGCCGAATCCCCGTGACGTTGCATTCCTTGCATCACCTTCTATTAGAGGTGGTTTGCAGGGCATTCGGGCATCAAGGTAAAGGTATCAGGGCTTACCTTCTCTGGCCTGCAGGATGGCAAAGCGCTTGCCATGCTCAGACTCAAAAAGCCGCGGCATCCCTCGCCGCAAACGGGTCGCGCTGGCGAAGAATTCGTTCCAATCATCCTTCATACGGGTAACGCTGTTTCTCACTCGACGTCCGAACGTCTACTGAGATTATTCGTTGTTAGTTTACATACCCTGAGCATGACGTCGCCGGGCCACGTAGTTAGCGATGTCCGGCGGCAAGAAAGCCTCGAAACCGCGGTGAAATGTCGGCAGCTTCTCCCTGAACTCGTGCACGACGCCGCTGGCGCGCTCAGCTGCTGAGATCCGCTTGAAGTCGACGCAGTCGTACCACTCGTCGAAGACCAAGTTGTAGATGGGACGGACCATGCCTGGGACCGTGCTGATTTGCATCAAAGATCGAGAAAAGAACATAACAAAAACTATATGTTTGCATCTCAGACCCTGGCGAGCGAGGAAGAGGTTGTTGCTGTTGCCCTTTCGGTCCGGGCTGGATGCCTGGATCTGGCCGACTGGTTTGTCATGGGCATAGAGCCACATGTCATGGCAGCAAGCAGCAAAGCAGTTGTGCCCTCTGCGCCTGTCCCGTGCCTCTTGGATAAAAAGCTTCGCCATGAGGGTCGTCTGCAGAAAGAGACAACTCAGTCAAGAAGTACACCACTTCGGGCCTCGAACGTTTCCGCGTCTTTTTTGGGCGCTTTAGATGAAAACCTGTCTAAAGCGGTCATCGACAATCGCAGGAAACTGTCAAGAGATGAGCAGGCAAGCAAGAGATTGCCATGGATGCTTTTGTTGCAAAAGTGCCTGGCTAGGTACTTTTGATGTGCAAAAACAAGATTCAGTCCCGTGCAGCATTGCACGAGGTATTGTAAGCTGTCCAAGATCCAACTGCAAGCGAAGGGGCATGAACCTCAAATTGCCAGCTTCACCCCAGACCAGCAAGTAGACCGCCTGCACTTCAAACTTCCAGGCAAGGTCACGACCCCAGGCTGGTTAGTTGCAACGGTGTACGCCCGAGCACCCCAATGTCCGAATTGTGAACAATGCAGACGGCTGCAGACGAGCATCGATTTCGGCTAGGTGTTTGCTGCTGATCTTCGCGGCCCGCGACATGGTGCCGTCGGCGTCCAACCAGGCTCCATGCGGCAGCTGCGCCCAGCGGGCCCCACCCAGGCCCAAGCCGTGCCGAGCGCTCAGCGGCTCCTGAACGAGAACGACGCACGGCTTCTTCGCAGCTGCCGCCCACTGCCGCCCCGCCGTCCCCCGATTTTCGTCCTGTAGCTCAGCGGCCAGAGCATCTCGCCAGCGCAAGAAGCCCTCCAACAACTCGGCCTAGGCAGAGGCAGCTGCACACGGCGAGAGAGCCCAGTGTGTTCCTAAGGTGCACACATGCATGGCATGGAGAGCTTCATGCAGAAGAGTTTGCTCGTTCACCACCTCAAGATGCCAAGAGGAATACAGCGAGAGACTGAGACTGCATGTTGTCTCTGGGCACGCTGTCTGAACTCCGAGGGAGCCACCGCTTCCGTGAGGAAGTCCCCTTCCTCCTCCAGCTCCAGATCCAAGTCCGCCAGGACCGCGCAGTGCGAGCGCCAGAGCCTCGGAACTCGGAAGCCGAAAAGAAAGGCTTGCAAGGACTTCAGATAGATGTACATAAATGTATATGTATATATATATATATATGCTCACCACCCCCCCCATGACAGACCGTCGTGGGGAAGGGGAAGGGTGGCGTGCGTCCCCAGGCAGGATCTGTCAACGGATAGGCGACAGACACTTCTCCCAAACTCAATTCCAAAATGTTCTTTTAGATGGTTTGCAATTTGTGGAAATTTCTTCACACGCATGCAGCGCTCCCAGTCCCAATCTTAATCTCAATTCTGCTCTTCGTACCACTATTACTGTTTGTAGATCTTAATTCTTGTATCAGTGTTAGCATTAGTATTAGTTTTGTGGTAGTATTGATATTAGGATGTTTAGTATGAGTAATAGTATTCGAATTAGTATTACTCTTAGTATTAGCATTAAGTATGTGTATTGATGTTAATAGTAGTAGTCGTCGTACTAGCAATAGTTGTCGCACAGCAGTAGTAGTGGTAGCATTAGTATTGGTATTTGTATTAGTATTAGAATGAGTATTAGTATTAGTATTAGTGACGAGTATCAGTATCAGTATTAGTTTTAGTATTAAGTATGTGTACTAGTAGTAGTAGTAGTAGTAGTAGCAGCAGTAGTAGTAGCAGCAGTAGTGGTGACATTAGTATTGGTATGAGTATGAGTATTAGAATTAAGTAGCTAGTATTAGTACTAGTATTAGTGTTAGGATTAATATGTATTGTTCTTGGTTCTATTCTTAGTACTGCTGTCATTGTTTGTAGTAGTCCTAATCCTGGTATCAGTGTTCATATGAGTAATAGTTTTGTGGTAGTATTGATATTAGGATGGGTATTGCTTTAGTACTAGTATTGGTATTGGTATTTAGTATTAGTATTAGCATCAGTATTAGTATTAGTATTGAATAAAAGTATACATATCAATAATAGTAAATATGAACTCGTGATTATGTTCGTGCTGGTGTTAGTGCCAGTGTCGATGTCAATGTCAGTAATAGTACTCGTGTTAGTATTAGTATCAGTCTGAATGCTGGTTTTAGTATCTGTTTATTATTCACAGAAGTGCTGGTATTAGTATCAGTAATAGAAATAGTTTTGATATGTGAATATACTGATTGATTCGTACATTTTGAGCTTAATATAATAATACAGTAATGTATTCGAACAATAGTATATTTGCAGAGTTGAAGATTGCGCGAATATATTAGTACGTTGGTGCATGAGTACATTAGTATATTGGTGTATCATGATATTCGTATGTTAACGTAGTAGTATATTAGTATATTATTATAGTGGTCTATTACTACATTTACTATATTCGTATTTTCCCTAATAGCTTATAGGTATATCAATATGTTGGCATAATGGCATGTGAACATGTCAGTGTACTTGCCTTTTACAGTACTCGTATATTAGTACACTAGCATATTTAGTGATAATTAGTGTCGATGCCAGTGCCAATGTCGATGTCAGTTTTAATCAGTCTTAATGATGAATTTAACATCAGTGTAATATTCGCGGACGTGCTAGTATGCGTATCAATACTATAATTAGTTTTGATATATTAGTATACTGATAGATTATATAAACAGCTTAGTATACCAACACATTATAATGTATTCGAACAGTAATATGTTTGTATACCTGCATGTTTGTATGCTCTTAGTATATTAATGCATGCGTACGTTCGTGCATGAGTACATTAGTATATTGGTGTGCTATTATCTTCGATTATTAACATATTAGTGTATGAGTATCCTGGTATGCTACTTCATTTATCATATTCGTATATTATCTAACAACTTTTTTGGTATATCCATATGTTAGTATACCATTGCCATGTGTCAGTGTACTTGCATATTACAGTATTCGTGTCTTAGCAAGTTAGCATATCAATACAGTATAATCAGACGTTAACAAGTAGTATATTGTCACGTTGGAAACTGGGTATATGACAAATTAAATACGAATATACTACGTTAGTACACGAATGCATTGATATATTTGCTTTTCAGATAGTGGTATGTATATCTGCGGACATTAATATACGCAGGTGTCTGTTAGTATTGGCATTAATATCAATATGAATATGACTATTGGTAGGCGTAGGAGTATTAATGTTAATAATAGAATTAGTAATGTGCATATTCGAAATGAAAGCATTAATATACATGTCAACGTTAGTGTTAAAAGCACTACACAGTAATCTTACTTGAGTCATATATAGAGCAGATTCCAGCATTTCCAAAATTTCCAAAATTTCCAAAATTCTCTCCCCTAACTTTCCGGATTTCTTTCCAAAATTTCCAAAATTTCTAAAATTTCAAAATTTCCAAAATTTCCAAAAAATTTTTCCAAAATTTTGGACTTTTGGAAATTTTGGAAAATTTTGGAAATTTTGGAAATTTTGGAAATTTTGGAAATTTTGGAAATTTTGGAAATCTGGAAAGTTAGGGGAGAGAATTTTGGAAATTTTGGAAATTTTGGAAATGCTGGAATCTGCTCTATATATGACTCAAGTAAGATTACTGTGTAGTGCTTACTATGTAGTGTGTCAGCACAACCCTCATCCATACACGTGTGCTCTGTAATTCCTTTCTTGGTAGGACACCCGCGCGCCTTATCGTGCTGCTTTCTGGTCTCAGTCTTTTGGTGGTTCCAGGGATACGTTCGGAGGGCTCAAACTCGATACTCCGGAAAAAGCACGAACACGCCGGTGGGAGCGATGTTTTAAAGGGGATGGTCTGTCATGGGGGGGGGGGTGACCATATATATATATATATATATATATATATATATATATATATATATATATATATCATGTATGTATATGTATGTATATATATATATATATTTGCCCTCTTTCTTCTTTCTTCCTTCTGCTCTGGGCTTGGAGCGAGAGGAGGTGGTCGAACTGGTTCCTGGCATGGGCGAGACTGGCGACCTACGGCCGAGGGCTCTTGTGGGGGGGGCGGCCTGACGTTGTCGACTTGGAAGTCGAAGCGCTGGTAGAGGGCGGAGAAGAGGCTGGCCGTGCTTTCCGCGAAGTGCTGCGCCCCGTGGAGGCCGCGGAGGGAGTGGTCCTTCATCCAATGCTTCAGCAGCTCCTGCCAAGCGCAAGGCAATGCTGGGGTATGGTCCATGGCTCGAAAGACCCGGAGGAAATTTGGGGTCCCAATCCCGATCCTGGTGGAGATCTGCGGGAGCAGGAGCACTAGATCGAGGCATTGCATAGAGGCCAGGCGAGCAGCTTGGCCCCTGAGGCGTCGGCCTTAGCTGGAATTGGAAGGCCCAAGCACAACACGAGTTGCAACAGATTTGGGATCCGACGATGGGCTCAGAACCTTAGCATGTGCATGGACATCTCCGCATGGACTGGATATACGATGTGGCACACCGCAGTTCTTTGTAAGTCCGCTGGAAGATGATGCTTGTTGAACTAAATCTCCGTCGTGGTATCCCTCATGGCTCGCAAATGCCGAGCAGGTGGCCGTCAGCGATGCGATGATGGAGAATCCTAATGCCAGGAAGGCACCTGCAAGAACAACATGAGTGACTTCTGAGATGAAAGCTGCGCCAAAGCAAATGTGAGTCATTCCGAAGTGGCACCTCCTACGAGCACCGCGACGGAAAGCGTGGACCAGGACGCATGCGCCTGCAGACCTTGTGCCAGCACATGCCCGCGTCTGCGCGCGCAGCCCGGGTGTCGCGCTCTCGCTGCCACATGAACATGACTTGGGACCCGCGGGGTGACGGTGTGCTGAATCAGTGCGAACGCAGTTTGGGCCGAGTGGCAAAAGGGAGGTCGTAGTAGGTCGCAACACTGCGAATCATCCATGATGACCTTTGGTTCAACTCAGCCGATCTTGCAGCGTCTGCGTCTCAGACTCAGAGCAAGAAAAAATGTGGTGGACCACTGACAGTTCAAACACTTCACCTTAGGCTATGGTGCCAGAACCTTGTTTGCGCCCACTCAGCCAATCAGTCATGACTGGAGAAGCTCCGAAACTACGCATGCTGCAGAACACCAATCACAGGCCGGGGCACATGACTCCAAGCGTAAAGCGACACCACCGCCGCTGCCTCGAACTGGTCATTGTCCAACAGCTCGGCCGACTGCCGACAAAAGGCTCCTGGTTTCTCTGCGGGTGCAGCGGAACCCGTCGAACGCGAACACCCGTCCTGCTTCTTTGCTCTTGTGCTGCCACACAGTCAATTGGTCTGGACTGGCCCAGTGGCTGCTCTCCAGTTCCACGTCGTTCTGCGGAAGATCGCACATCTTCATTACTATGCGCAAACCACTAAGAAGCACAGGCTCCTGGAACTGCGCGATGGCTTTCCTTAGATAGAAAGCCACGTCTTCTTCACGCTTCCCGTCTCTTAGTCTTCTGACTCTAGCTCCACTGCCTCCAAAACGCTGGACTTTGCCACAGTTCATCATCTGCAGCTGCTGCAGCTGGGGATCGTGGTACCTTGCTTCTCCGAACATCAAGCAACCTTCGGACTTCGCACGTAGAAGCACATCTGTCGCCGAGGGGCTGCGGTGGGAGCTTGCAGCTGGAGCTTTGAAAGCCACATCGCCAGCAGGACAGCGGATACTCCGAAGCCACCTGCATGCCCGCCTCCTCCTCCGTGAGCTCCTGAGAGCAGCGAGCTCTGAGGTAATGAAGGGAGCTCTGCTCAGGATCCGCCCCCCCCCCGTCATCTGAGCCCTACAGTATGTTTGGATTCCTCCATTACCATGATGGCTGTGCTTTGTTTATTGACTGCGGACGACTAAGTGACTAAGGCTTAGTGCATGGCTTCGTCTCATGGATGACAAAAAAGAAGCAGCCTAGTGGAACTTTGATGAACGAAGCCTGCTACATGATCGCAATGCGAATGCCTAAAACAGACCCACCTCTGAACCTGAACACCAGCTCTGTCATGTGAGATTGGGATTGGCACAGCGTGACGAGGGCCTTGAAGCCAACGAGCCAGTCCACACGACCACTGCCTCGTCTGCTCGAGTCGGGCCGTTTCAAGACAGCCCAGGGATGGTCGTGAGCAGTGCACTCTACGGATTACGTTAAGAGCGAGGCAAGTGTGGCCACCGGCATCGTTCGACGCAGCTTTGCCACAGTTGTGGCCAAACGAAGGTACCCAAAGCAAGAGGCAAAGAGCCTGCCGTTAGGACGGTCTTTGGATCTGGGAAGCTGCAGAATGTATATTCAAGCAACCTGAAGCAGCCGCATCACCCGGTCATGTCTCTGGGACCAGTAGCCGCGACATTCGGCCGCTACCAGAACTCTGGCCCTGAGCTACTTGTCGCCGGCTTGGGGTGGACACTGCTGCTTTTGTCGATGTATGCGCACATATGCGATTGAAGCTCTTCGCCGCTGCCTGTTGGGATCTGTTGGGTCTAGTCGCTGCCGGTCTGTCTTTCGATTCGCCGTGCATGCAAGAGTCGACCGTTGTTGCAGATTGAGAGACATGCTTGGTCCATGCGAGTGATTCCAATGCGGTGGTTAGGCTAAATTAGTGGACGCCAGCTGCGATCGATGACTGTTCAAGCTAGGAAGTTTGATGCCAGTCATGCGTCAGCTCTCGTACATGGTGGTTGCGAGCATGTGTAAAACAAAGCGTGAAGCTTAGATCCACGACAGCGACGCGTGTCAACTCATCTCATCAAGGCATTCAATTAAGCATAGCTCCCGGCAACATGTGGGCCCTCTATAGGGAACGCAACTCGCGTCTCTAGTCCCTGAGCCGCCGCGCTGTGGGTAGATCCGGCACTTGCCCTGAGGAGCTTCTCCTTGCAGAGATCAGCTGAGCACATCTTAGAAAACTACATCAAGCTACACTTCAGCTTCCCTGACCTCTTTTAGTTTCTGCGTGTAGATCTGCCAGTGCCTCCGCGGTCAGTGTCCAAAGTCAGTCCCTAGCGAGATAGCGGGAACATCGCGCCTTTCGCACTCGGCAGGGTGTTACCTTCCATTCCGGACCTGACGGCAGATCCACCGTCGACCCGGCTGGCCGCCGACTAGAGGACCGATCTCCATCTCGCTGAGCTCCCGACAGCGAGATCGTATGGCACTCAGGATCTCAACGACGCTCATCTCGGCGCAGCAAGGGACATGAAGGGACCCGAACTACGCCCGGTTGCTCTTCGGCTGTGCCTCCTGAGCCGCGGAGGAGACCAAGGCCACCATGCGCTTGAACTCGCCAACGGACGGTTGCGGTCGTCTCCTTCCAAAGTCTGACGCTTCTCTAGACTTCTGGGGAGGAGCAGACTCTGAGGGAGACGATTCCCACTTTTGAAAACGGCACAGCACAGTAAGCGTAGGGCGTGCCCAAGGAGCACTTGTGGCCGGAAAGTGGAGGCCCCAGCTTTGCCATTGCAAGCGCCTATGCTGTACGGAAGACAACCCCATCAACCCTGAATTTGCAGAGCAACGCCTTCCTGCCGACACTGCCAAGGACATCCAAGGGGCTGCAACTGCTCTGATTCTAAGCGGTGTGCAGGTCGGCAAGTGGCGGGGCAGGGAAGCCACAAAATCGTTAAGCAATAAGAATCGAAGATTGGGAGCAGGCTTCCGGGACTGTACCAGAGCCTAAGCGATGCCTTGGCGCTTGGCGCTTCAGTTCAGTTCTCTGGTACAAGCCGCCTTTGCTCTTGTGGGAATTGCACCTGCAAGCCCTGCAAGCTGCAGGTAAATCGTGGCCCTGCTCTTGTGAGCCGCCATCAAGTTCAAAGCCACAGCCACATTCTTAACATGGCAAAGACAGGATTTGGGATTCGTGTCGCCTCCACAATCCCTTGGAAACAAAACATAAAGATTCGCCGCCTATTTTGGCGGCCTGACGGATCCCAGCTATGTGCCTCTCCTTCTTCGGTGAGGTTGCAGCCGGGTATGCTTTACAAATTCCGTGCACCTGCATTGTGCCGGAAGCTGTGACAATGGCCCCGTACCTCAGTGGCAATGACGGTAAGAGTGTTTTTTTGCTGTTGGTGGTTGCTTGCTGCTGGTGCGGGAGGAATTTGCTTTTAACGCAGAGGAGGGTTTTCTGTGCTCATGGTGCCGGAGGATCTTGTTTTTGCTGCTGGTGCCGGAGGATCTTGGAGGTGCTTGGCAACAATTCTTGCTCTTTGGGCCCGGGACGGGCCGCTCACTCACTTGCTGGTTTGCCGGGGCTTCAGCTGAAGAGCGCAACAGCGCACCAACAGCAAAAAAACAACATGCGGTCCGTCGCAATGACGAAGCAGCATGCACTCATGAAACTGGACATCTCGAGATGACAGAACAAGGTCAACCAAGCCGGAGGCTGGTTCATCTGGGGGAGTCCACGAAGCAGTGCCACAGCTCCTCTCAAAGCGAGAACGCGCGGAGCAGCTCTTCTCTCTCAGCACAGAGTCCGTCCAGAAGGTCTTTCTTGAGACCCAGGAGCTCCGAGTCCTGCGTCGAAAACCCGCCTTTGCTCCCTTGCTCCCTTTTTTGGTTCCCGGTTCCCGCCTGGAGCTTGCCGTGGGTCTGCAGGCTCCGAATGTGATAGACATGCGAGGCTCCACCTTAAGATGCGTCAGGAGTAGCAAGCCCTCTTTTGAAGCAGCTGACGTGCATACTCAGCTTCGGCTTTGTTTCGGAGGAACGGCGGCGACTGTTTGGTAATTATGCGAGTCCGAAGTCAAATCTGATCATGTGAGTGGATCCCATTTCTTGAATCTATTGCTTGGGCAAAACACGACCGCACGAATGAAGTATACGTATGGGGGCACATGTCCGGCCAAGTAGCACACTTGACGGGGGCCGGATATGCTTGCTTCGTGGTACAAGTACTTTCGTGCTGGAAGTGCCTCAGCAGCTTCCTTCTCGGGAATTCTCACCAACACTTTGTGACCTCGTTGTTTATGCAGTCCCTAGTTCGTCATCCTGGCAAACCCAATGATGGATGCAAACCCAGACGAAATAAGTTTGGTTGCTCGACCTCGATTTCAAGAGCCTGCACGTCTCGATGTGAAGCTCAAGCCACTCAAAAGGTCGAAGGTGTGCTCGAATCTGCTTTGCTGTTGCCTGGGATCCTTACAGTTCTCAAACATCCTGCAAGTGATGTCACGGCGTGTCGGCTGGTTGCCCGAGACGACGATCTTATTCCTACTAGGATCCGAGAATGAGTCTCACAAGCATATGTTACATATGTTCAACGCAACAGTTAACGCCGCATCCAATATGTCACCCTACTAAACGCAGACGGCGAATCAAGCCTTTCCAACTCATTAAAAGGAGGGAGAGTCATGCAAAGAGAACGACAGATAACATCATGGTTTAGTTTCCGGTTTCGTTCTGGGTTGTGCCACAACGTCATATGCTCTGAGGAGCGCGGTCTCCGAGAACCTCTGATCGAAAAAGCATAATTTAAACCTTATTGAACAAAACGAACTCATTCGCCACACAACGGTGTGGTTCGTCACCCCAGCAAGGCAGGAGATGGTAAGGCCAGCACGTGCCCGACACGCTGGTCCGGTCCCACGCTCATCATCCATCGCCTGCATGCTCGCACTTTGCAAAAGGCCGCTGGAGAGCCAACCTTTTCCCGCCACCTCCCACAACCTGAAAAGTAGTAAAGCCCTTTAAGGAAGAACTCTCACCGGTCATCCTCGATGTTTGCCCGGCAGATGGTCAAGCCGCCTGCTATGCTCGGACAGAGTGGCAGATTTCAGACACAGATCGCGTGACTGTAGACAACATGTCCAAGCTGCGCCGCTGGAAGATTGCCTCGTGATGACAGGGAAAATCGTGTTGACAGATGCTACATCAGAGCCTTATGCGGTACGATTTTTGGTCGTGCTGCGAGACTTGCTGGCGACCTCAATGCTGCCCAGCTGCGGTAATGTCTGACATGATCATCGGCACGTCCTCCGCGACAGCAACAGCTCTTAGCTTTATCGGCGGAAGCTATGCCAGCTATGCGGCTGCAACAAGCCTCTTTCATGTTGATGAAGATCACCGTGCACGAGTGGTGGACATCATTGCTGAAGCCTGCAGCCAGTCGGGTGCCGAGTCTAGTTCAGATCGAGTGTTGCCCTGAGTGCACACAGCCTATTTCATTTCCCATGTGGACTGGGTTCTCCTCGATATCCAAGAGGTCCTCCACATGGATGGGTGTCGGTCAGCATCCAAGTTACACCGACTTACACCGCCACTGTCCTCCTGACTTTTGGAGAGAGGCAGGCCGACCTCCAGGCACGGCTGCAAAGCGATTGGAACGTGCGCCGCGTGCTCACCGACAAGGCAGCCGAAAGGCCTCCAGGTCTGTGGCCGACCTTGGGAAAGTGCTGGCAGTGCTGGTGTTCTCCCCCCCCCGCCATTTATCGCGTCGCATGCGTCGCACGTCAAGGTCAGGGTCTGGCTGGAGGTCTGTCTCCCCACCCGTCGCCCCTGCGCCGCTAACCTCCGAGCCTGGCACAGAACCAGCGACTGACAAGGCCGCTCCGATTGATTGTAAAGAAAGTCTGAACTGTATTACTGTATGGGCCTTAACAGCAACGGGCTCGTAACCAGCTCGAGCTCACAAAAGCTTGAACGGAACAGCCCTTTCGTGCAACACTCAGTCCCATGGAAACATTTTGCTCCAAAGAGGACTCTCCCCTGTGTGACTGCTCCTTAAGCTCTGCAAGCACAGGCCGGCTTCACCGCAGTCCGTAATCGTTCCGCCAGGGCCAAGGACCGCTAGGTTGCTGCTGACAGGCACGACCTCGGTTTAGGGTCCATCAAAAAGCGCAGGGAGTCGGAGGCTCCTTTTTCTCCATTTGCTCAAGCCGCCGGCGGAATTCATGCCACGAACTGTTGCAAGCAGCTTCCTCTTGGCCTCTCATGTCTGGTCGAATTCCCGAGGCACAACGCGGCATGCAGACGCGACTCGGACATCCTGACCTTCTGGTGGCGGAGACAGCCCACGACAGCGTCATGCACTGTGGGGAAGAACCATTTTTCGCCGACCTTCAACACATCACAAGGCATCTGGTCCAGTGCTCCTCCATAACTCCACCTCTGACTGTACTTACTTGGGGGCCGGCCGAGTTTGTCAATCCACTTTTTCGGAAGGTCCTGGCCGAGCACACTACCCGCTCTTGGCTTGACTCTGCCAGAAGCGGCACGAAGCAGCGGCTCCTGTCCAAGCGGTTGCCCACCATGGCAAAAGCAATCTGAATGCCTCGTCCGCGGAAGTCGTTCACAACGTCCTTGAAGGCCATGCTTCAGCCAACGCTGCGGATGACGAGACGGTGTGAAAGCAGCCAACGGGGTCCTCCAACACATTAAGCGCTGTAGAGTCCACGCTGACAACCTCAACATCTTCAACACACCTCACACCTGCAGCCGTTGCCTCACTGGGTGTTCGGCGGCAGTCATTTCCAGAACGATGTACTCCGTTCGGTTGATGTGCTCCAGGGCGGAGATACGCTCCTGCAACCAGTCCTCGCACACGACGTCAACGTCCCAAGAGATCTCAGAGCTCTCAGAGCTCCGGGCCTTGATGAAGTAGGCGTTCGCGAAATATCTGAGGGCTGCTCTGCGTTGCAATACGTCCGACATGCGCCGCAGTACATGCGCGCCGCATGGCGCGCGCGCGCGCGCGCGCGCGCGCTGTGCGTGTCTCGAAGGCCCCGGCATGCTGCTCCCGATGCGGGCGATGAAGACGTTCGGCACGAAGGATCCATGCGGGTCCTCCCATTGCAGATGCTCACTCATGATCCAGGCAAACTCGGTTTCGACAGCACCGCTCTTCGAACCAAAGGAATTGCGAACGCAACACATGATCGGATCGAGCGATGCCGGGAAGCACTGTGGTATCTGTAGACGGACTGGACTGACCAGGTGAATTTCCAGGACTCTGCAACGTCCTGCTTGACGTTCCGGTAGATGGTGGTTCCAGGCAGGCGCCACAGAATCGCGATCTGTGGCCTTCGAACACAAGCTGAGCCAAATGGGAGAACGGAGCTTTGGGGGGAAGCCCAAATGATACTCACAACAATCAAGAATTCTCGTCAGCTTAGCTGGCCTCACCGATTCGTAGATGACAATGGACAGGGAAAGGCCGACTGCCAAGGCAATGCCTGCCCATTTTTTGAACCATCAATTAGTGTGGTGGTGGTGGTGGTGGTGGTGGTGGTGGTGGTGGTGGTGGTGGTGGTGGTGGTGGTGGTGGTGGTGGTGGTGGTGGTGGTGGTGGTGGTGGTGGTGGTGGTGGTGGTGGTGGTGGTGGTGGTGGTGGTGGTGGTGGTGTGACATGTCAGCACTTAGGCCACCGCCCTGAAGCACGCCGAGGAACAGAGTTCCAAGAAAGGCTGCAACCTCGCTAATGTCCAGACCAAAGTCCAAGAACAGCCCCCATAAATGATTGGGACGGTACCCAGAGGAAGCAATCCTGCTTCTTGACGCGCCACAGTTTCATGGCCTCACACCAGAAGAAACGCTGCGAACCAAGGAACGGCTCTGAATTTCTGCACGCTCACGCATGCGATTTCGGCCTCCTTGTATGCCACTAGCGGGGCCACCTTTCAGCCGATGAGTCATGTTACACATGCATCTACCCCAAGGAAGTTCACAAAATCGTTGAACACAGTAGCAGCACTCCAGCTTTTTCCATCTGGCAAGATGCCGTTGCTCGCTCTAAAGCCTTTGAAGCCATTGGCTCCGTTGACTACGGGATCAAGCAGACTTCCATGCAGCTGGAAGATCAGGACCTGTGACCTCTCCAGGCACATCCTCAGCGCAGAGTAGGGGTAGCCGTCAAGGGCCATCACATCGGAAAGCTTCCAGTCATGCCAGCGGCACCGGCGGCAAAAGCAGCCCCGGCAACTCCGCCAAAGACCGCGGCTTTCGGGCCGCCGAGGGAGGACATGAAAGGCTTTGCAGAGGCAGAGGCCTGCTCAGCCTGCTCCGCGCAAACATTGGCGGCTCCTGGCTTGATCTCGACCATCACTGGTCCAACATCTACGCCCAACTTCTGCAGCCTTTGATGCGTATTGTCACAAAGAGGGAAGCGAAGCGACTGCCAACAGCGACACACGGTCAAGCGGGTGGGCTTGGTTCCGGTTGGGTAGACAAGCTTCTCATGCACCACTTGGTAGCCCAACGTATTTAGGGGCTCACCGGCTTTGCGCAAGACACTGCTCGCCACCTGCTTCGCCGGCTGCGAGGGTGTGGATCCCATGGCTCCACCGCCGGTCAGCCCAGCGGTCTCTCCCACTATCTCAAGTTTGCATCTGAATCTAATCGCCTTCGAGCATAAATCCACAGATTCCAACTGGGCGTGTGAAAGCGCAGCAGTCGAACAAGCCTGCACAGAACCGGGAGCCCGACGGAGCTAATGACGATTGCAGCCAGCACCTCGTCACCGCCAAACAGCGCAATGTAAGCTTCCTGCATGCTACTCTCTACGCCGAAACACCACTGGCACTTGATTAAAGCCAAAGTGTAGCACAAATCTACTCGTACACCAAAGAAAGCTGAGCCGAAGGCAAAATCAGGCAAATAGTTGAATAGTGGTGTAAGGAAAAGGAGCGTGCACCTGAAGTGCTGCATTTATCGCAACAACGCACACATCTAAGCACCCTGAAGTGCAACTCATGAAATGCTTTGCGCAGCGCAGCATGACGAGGGCCGTGATCAGGCCAGCGAATTGCGACACCGCACCGGTCGCGTTGTTCACAGCCTCAAGACCCGTGAAAGTGACGGAGAAGCTGAGAATATGTGATCTGATTTTACGCAGCTCACCAGAGGCCGCCGCAGAGCGGGAGAAACTGCCTGTGACAGGATATGAGGAAAACCTGGAGCGGCAGAGAGAAGCCGACGCTCGCTGCGAGAAGCCGCGAGAAGCGATGATCCGAGCACCCCTGCATGGCACCCACCAAATTCGACAATCCCAGGGCCAAGAGCTCCTGCCAGAGCGCGGAGCGCGAAGCGCTTCGCGGGGGTTAGAAGTAGTTACAAGTACAGTTACCCTGTTACCCTACTAATAGCCCTATTTAGCCCTATATTACACTATATAATACTAAAATAGTTACTAAACCCTAAACCAGGGTTTCGGATCGAGCTGTCAGGGAAGATAGCATTGCCGAAGCCCCAGTGCAAATAGCACGACAGCCGCTCCAGCCATTCCGAAGGTTGGATCGTCACCTTCCTGGCACAGAAACCAAAGGCGACGCCGTCAAAAGGCCCGCCAACGAATCTGGAAAGCCCGAGGGCAGCGTACTGCTCCTGCCTTCCGCGACCTTAGGCTTTTGAGCCTTCACCACAGCCGCCCTACCTACCGTGAGGTTATGGGCAAGAAGCCAACATGGAAGGAGCAACCAGCATGGACCTCCCAGGACGAGTGGGGAGAACAACGTGGTTGGCGAATGTGGCATGGGGCCTATTATCAATCGCCCTCTTCACATCGCTCCCGCAGGGAGCCACAGCCGGACTACGACCACATCGAGATCCCCGACCACCGCTCCTCTGCACCTCCCAACAAGGAGACTCCAGAACAAGATCTCCCGGCAGCGACCCCACTCATGCGTGCAGTTCAAAAGACACTTACAGCTGCACGGAAAGCCGATGCCAAAGTCAGGAAGTTGCGAGAGGAAGTGGACAGACGTCAGAAACAATGGGAAATTTTTCAGAAAGATATCAAGCTCAGGTTCGCCAAGCAGAAGAAGAAATTCCAGGAGGATTGTGCCCGCCTCCAGGAGGATCTGATTCAAGCCACCGCCCAAGGACAAGAAGCGGCGGCCAACATGCAGATCCTTGTACTGCACGGCATTCCCCAGACGGAAGCACCGGTGAGCGTAGAAGACGAGGATTGGGATGCACTGATCAGTGCGCCAGAGGAGCCAGCTCCTACAGAAGGCTTCCTGCAGGAAGCCTTGGCTGCGGCTCGACTCGCCGATCCCGGGAGCAGGCAGGCCATGGCAGCCGAGCAAAGCATCAGAGCGAATGCAGTGCGAGCTCAGCCAGGCTTGAAGGAGAAAACCACTACAGCCCCAAAGCCGCCAGAAACAGCCACGATGGGCGCCACGGCTCCACCTGCTTACCACGCCAAGATCGAGGAGCCGAATCCATACATGGGCTCCCCAGGCATGCCCTCTGGAGCTCCGTCTCCTTCCACGTCCAGATCCCCACAAGGCGCTCACCTCGGACGTGTGGCTGGGGGCCGCACGAGACTCCCGGTCAAGACGCATACCAAGCCAGACATCAACACAGGTTCTCTGGCTTTCCAGGAGAGATTGGACATCAAGAGGAAGCAGCTTGCAGAAGCCCAGGCCGCTCAGGCTGCCCATCAGGCAGCCAGAGCCTCAGAAGCACCACCAGCTCCCTCAGTTTCAGAAGGCGAGCCCGGCAGTGGAAGGATTTCCTCCGTGGAGCCCAAGCCACCAGAATTCGGTGGATTTGTGGACGACGACCTCATGGACTGAAGGCCGAGCTCTGCGATGGGTGCGACCTCAGGACTTTAGCCTTGGTGGGTTGGAATGGACTGCGATTGTCTCACGGGGAGACAGTCCTTTCCGCCTGTCCCGTCGAGGTCTTTCCTCCTGAGTGTTGCACTTTTCGCAGAAGCCTGAGGGCAAAGGCCCAAAATAAGATCGCAGCTGCCTGTACATTTTTGATCGCCTCTGTACAGGTCCTCTGTGTGCCTCCCTGCTGCTTTCTGCCAGGTATACCTTGCAAGCTCGGGACCGGTTGCTTCTCCATTCTTTGGGAAGGTAGCCGGTCTCCCCTGCTTATGTCTTCCTCGCGGAGGGATTTCACTCATTGGGCTCTTGAGTTGGAGTCCTTCCCTTCGCCCTGGAGATCTGAGCGCTCCAACCTTCGGCTCTTGCTTTGTCACAGCCCTCATGAAGGATCCACCATTGGCGCCTCGATTTGTTATAGGCTTCAGCCTTTGGACTCACTATCGGCACCTGCTTCTCAGTCCAATACCCAGGATAGCAGCTCTGCACTTCCTCATAGGAGTGGCCACTTTGTATGCCCTCCGCCTTTTTCGGGGTTAGGTTTTTCAAGGACCGAGTGCCTAAAAGGGTTATCGGTGGCTCAGGGTTCCCTACCGGTCCTATCAATCCCCATGCTCATCTTGACATGCCTCGCAGGCTGGCTCTTGCCTCTCTGCCGCTCTGTGCTTTTTGTGTTTGCCATCGCCCTTTGGAGGCTCCTTGGCACCAAAGCACCTGGTCGCATGGAACCGCTCTGGTTTCTGCTTTGGGGTTCTTTCAATCCTGGCGTTTGCAACGCTGTTCGGGCTTTGGGCTTTTCCACTCGGCCTGATCGAGCTGTTCTCGACTGGGCACCTTGGCCCGACAGCAAAAAGCGAGGCAGGAACCGAGGAAAGCCCGCTCTCCAATTGCCAAGCAGGTGGTGCTCCCCTCTCACAACAGCCGCTCTTTTCTGTGGTTTGTTTTCAGATATACAGGCCTTCAGGTTGCATCCTCTCTGTTATTCGGCCTGGCTGCTTGCAACAAAGGGTGTACAACCAATGCAGTCTCCGGACACTTTGGAGGCAAGTTTGTCCTTACCCAGTGATCCAGGCCCATCTCCCGTAGCCCTCAGCCGAAGCACTGCACTGGATCCCGATTTGGCTTTGGATTTTGGTGGTGAGTCTCTTCACAATAGCGACACCACCCTGCAATACCTTCTTTCTATTGCTGGTCACTCCACCTTGCCAATGCCGGCAGCTGCCATTGCTCCACAACAGCGCCTGCCGCATCTTGAGGCACATGTACCAGCACCCGGAGGCCCCGCGTTAGCAGCTGAAGGCACCGAGGCTGACATTTCACTAGCCCTTGCCACCTTTTTCGTGCTCACCCTCGAGAGAGCTCCAGAGAAGGTTCAAATTGCGTTCCGCACTCCAATGACCACCCAAGCGGTCGTCCAACATATCGCTGAAGGACGACACCCGCAAAGTGAACAATTGTATCCAAAGCTCATTCCTGTTGAGCCCCAACCCAGCAATGAATGGGGCGCTTTTATTGCAGTCCCTGAGTGGGGCAGTGACGAGCCACTTGTCGTTTTCGATACGACTGCTCTCGATAACCGGCTTTTTGTCAGCGCTGTCCCCCGGACCGCGACCAAAGAGCAGTTGTGCAGACTCGCTGACCTCGCCGACCCCTCTCAGGTCAGTGTGTATGCGTTTGGTCACCCTGAACCCGTAGGGGATGAAGAGGAGGTAGTTGTCCTCACAGGCGGCTGCTTCTTCTTTACCGCCCGGCAGTCAGCAGGTAAGATCGGCTTCCCTTTCGCAGCCATGTTGTCAACTCCCAGGGAATGGACCTTAGACCCTAGTTTCCCCCAACCTGCCAGAGCCAAACGGTTTTGCTGTGTCATGAACACAGGGTATAGGCTGATTACCTGGGACAACACACCACTACGAGATTACAGGGTTTTTCTGTCGGCACAACTTGGAATTGCAGAGGAGCATCTCACTGTGCAGAGGCTCCACCCCGATGTAGACGATGCCGTCATCAGGGGCTGGCCGTGTCTCGCTGTCTTCGCTTGCACAGGTGAGTTCAACCGGCTACCAGTGCCTCCGGCGCTCCCGCGCCCTGCCCAGACCCTTTCTGTTGTAGACTGCAGACCCCTGCTACAAGGCTTTTCAAGTATAGAGGTTTTAGAGGGCAAGTATCCTCGTGCTGATCTTGTCGAGGAGTTGTCGCACTTTATGCCTGAAGGGCTTCAAGTAGAGCTAGCAGGTGCTGAGATCGATGCCAATGGACGTTTTCTGCTTGATGCAGGCCGCCTTCTCACTGCCAGCTTTGTGACAGCTGCCTCGGACAATGATGGGGTTTCCTCTGCCTCACACCCCGATCCTTCGGAAGGCAGTGACTCCGAGCATGATGACGAGGAAGACAGCCCCGATCCGGATGATTTTGGCGCAGCCAACCCTCAAGAGGATGCACCCAGCTCTGGTACCGAAGCAACTGACCGTTCTCGCAGTCGCTCTCCACGCCGTGGCGGGCTTGCTGACACTTTTGGCAAAGGACTCATCCAGGTCTGGACACCGGTACGGCTAGAGCCTCCTTTTCAGGTCTGCAGCAGCCTTAAAGTTGACTGCCTGTCTGTCGGTCCCCGGCTCCCAATTGTTCTTGGTGAGGCTTTATTTGCTCTTAGGCCCAAATGTAATCCGCATATCGGTGGCCGTGTCATGTGCGAAAACCGCCGCACTCATGGAGAATGTGCTTACCCATCTGTGCTGGCCTGTGCCGACTTGCTCCATCTGCGGGGCCGGGATTTAGCTTCCGCCAAGGACGCTGCAACACAGCACTTCCCAGAGTCAGCTCAACCCCTGCGAGCCCAGGGTCACAAGCTCTTGAATGAAGTGCCCGAAAGTTCCAGCAGAGCAAACCCGCACCTTCTTGCTCTGCGGCAAGCATATCGTATGCTCGGTGATGTTTGGCCTTTCGAAGGTCGTCAGGATCTATTTGCCCCAGAGCCCTTAGACTCGTCTTTTTCTTCGAGCATTTCGGATTCCGAAAGCATCGCTTGGGCCTCAGTGCTTGTGCTGGTACCGAATTACGCCCCAGAGTTTCTCACAGTGGCACTCCACTTCCCTTCCACAGTTGCTGAGGGTCTTGCCGTGATACAGCAAGAAAGAGATCCTGAAAGACGGCGGGACTTTCCACACCTCTATCCCTCAGTCCCCCAGACACTCGTCGGGGCGGGTGTTTTTATTGCCACACCGCACTGGAGTGAGGTCCATCGCATTGTTGCGATAGATGCAACCCAGTGGGACGGCCGCCTCTTTGCCGCCTGCCTTCCGGCAGTCATCGACCTCCCAGGTCTTCGTCGACTTTTAGATGTGTCGCCTGACAGTGCCGTTGCTTTTTATTTCATGCAAGACATGCAGCCTGTCCTGGAAGGTCAGGCTTATCAGGTCTTCGCAGGTGCAAACATCTTGGTTGTGCCCATTGGAGTGCGCCCCCGACTTGATGTTTGCATCAACCACCTGTTCCAAAGGCCCAGCCTCTGGGCACAAGATTACTTGCTGCCGCCCCAGCACTCTTCAAACTATTGTGTAGTGCTTACGGACCAACAAGTTCTCTGTCAGTATCATGCCACACAGCCCATGCGGTACCGTCAACAGCTCGCGGGTGCTCTTGGCCTGGCCAGTCACAATCTTGCCCTTTATCCGGCTCAACCACGTGTCGAAGATGCCGTGCTGGATGGTTACCCTTGTCGCACAGTTATCGCCGCAGCTGATCTCTCAGCTTGCTCTCGTAGCAGCAGAGACCACAACATTCTACTAGATTGCAGGTCCCTCCTTCATGGTTGGCGGACCTCCCGAGCCAAGAATGGTCTCTTGCTTGTTGCAGAAACTGCTGCAATGCTGACACTTTGTGTGCCACCGGGCTGTCAGCTTGTGCTCCCGGACATCCCTCTTGGCGAGGCAATTTACAGGGTTACACCAGGACAGGTTCTCAAGGTGCATGCGGCCGTCGTCACTGTCGTGCGCCCTCCGTCAGTCATCAGCAGGCCCTCTGCTCCCTCTAGTACAGGCGAGGCTAGCTCAAGAACACCTGCCGACACAGCCTCTACTTCGCCTACACTACCACCTGGCTCTGGCACACAGCACGGCGCGGAGGGATCTTCGCAAAGCTCTGCGCCTTCTGGTACGAGGTCCATTTCGACCCCTGTAACAGAGAATGAAGCTTCACCTTTTGCCTCAATCCCAAACCACGACTGCATTTGCCGAAGTCCCTTTCCTTATTTTGGCGCCCGAGTATTTACCTGAGTTTGTCAGCGTCAGAGCCGCTCTCCCCCGAGATGTTCACTATATGCTAACCAGAGCCACTGCTGCTCGTCTTCCTGATCCAAGCCGTCGGTTTCCTCGGCTTGTGCCAGTTGCAGCTCAGTCCTTCTCTGAGTGGGGCATCCTTGTAGCAGCTCCTGCCTGGGATTATTTAGGAGTCTCGGTGTGCTTCGACTGCCGTGTCGATGGTAGGCTGTTTGCACTTGACGTACCTCCCAGGTTGCGTCGGGCCGACGTTCTTCTCCTAGTTGGTCTTCCAGCCGAAGCAGACGTTGATGTGTTCCACAACCACACGCCATGGCCCATGACCGAAGATGTTGTTTTGGAATTGTGTCTAGCTGACTTGCTCCTTGTTTTGCCACGCGACTACGGCACAGTCATTACGGCTAGCCTTTCCGACATGCTTCGAAGCACAGCAGGCTGGAATATGACTGCTGCCCTACCCGGAGACAACAGAGACCACACATGGGTCATTGCTGACAATGAGTCCTTCCTTCACTTGGTGCGGCGCGGGCAGCGTACGTTCATACGCCAAGACCTTGCAACCCGTCTTGGCTGTCTCGCAGCACGTTTGATCCTGCGACCTGCAGTCCCAACAGTGCACAACCATATGTATAGAGGCTCGGTCACCAAAGCTATCCTGGCTGCAACGGTAGCAGCGCCGGGTTTGACCCATAGTTCCCCGCGTTCTCCCATAGTGTTTCTAGACCAAAGACCCCTGCTTCTGGGTTTCGTTTGGACTTATGCCCCGGACAACACCCTCGATGTTGCTGCCATAGTCACGCGTCATCGTGCGAGGTGCCCTGTTGGACACGTGCTTGGCATTGCCTATCGCGATAGGCCAGCTCGATGTTTACCTGCAACTATCGAGATCCAAGACGGGGAGGTGCTTGTCCTTGAGTACCTTACTCATGCCCAAGCTTCTGAAGCCGACAGAGCCCACCCCTCAGACGACCACTCTGATTCTTCGTCTGATACTTCCGATTCGGATCCTGATGATCCCGCTGATTCGTCTCGGCAACGGCATCATGTTGTTCCGACTGCACACTGGGGTTCCAGAGGGTACAATACCCACCAGACACCTTATCAGGCTGATGCTGGCACAGGCAGCGCTCCAGCTACTGCCGACCTCGTTCTTACGGCCAGCATGCAGTTCTTTATCAGTGGTCTTAAGTCATTGTACAGTCGAGTTGCCATGTGGTTGCACAGTTCCTCACTGCAAGCCTTCCTACAAGGCACCTGTGCACTCACCCCTGTCCTCCTGTGCATTGCACTTTGGCTCAGCCCACTGATCTGCTCTGCTGCGGCAATTAGCCTCACAGGCTCCCTGTCTGCCAGGCATTGCTCTCCTGAGAGAGCCCTGCTTCTCGGAGCTGTCGTCGCGGTCTTGGTTCAGGCTCTGCCGGTCTCCGCAATACCTTCTGGCCCCGGCACTACAGCTCTGTCTTATGGTTGCACAGCATCCGGCCTATCTTGCTTCGCCGGCACGTACACCAGTGAAGTCAGGCCGCTGCCCACCCCGGCCAGGAACGCCCGTCTCTGTCCAGCAGACTTAGGATCTTTCGGCTCCGCAACTTCCCAGGCCCCTTCCTCAGCTGACGAGGAAGACTTTTTGTTTGATCTCCTTGACGATAGAACATTGCTAGAGTGCAGTGTTCGTCGTTACCATGTTGAGCTCGATGCTCTTGCCTGCCTGCTAGTTGCGGAGGATCTGCGACTTGAACAAGACAGGCCAAGCACTACACCTTTTCGCCTCCAGCTTGCAGAAGTGGTTCCGTTGTCGGACCATCAGAAAGCCAGCCTTGAGCTTCAAGCTGTCCTGCCATCCCCGTCTACCACAGCCCAAATTGATTGGCTTGACAATGATATCAAGCACCTCTTGGAGGATCCACACGTTCCACTCCTTGTCCGCACCGCCTTTGTCAATATAGAGACATGGCACGACGAGGTTAGAGGTTGCCCCGATCACCTCGAAATATACTCAGATGGCTCTGCCTCCAATGGTCACGATGATGCAGGGCCCTGTGCATGGGCCTTTACAGTTTGGGTTTCTGTCCAAGGCCGCCTCTCACTAGTTGGCCATGCTTCTGCCGCAGCTGTGCCCACAGGAACTCCCTGTCACCTTGGAGAAACAGAGCAGACGGCTCTCACCGGCGAGTTGCTAGGACTGTGTTGGTCACTCGCTTGGTCAGCTGAGTTCGCACCCTGCTGGCAAGTTCCTGTATGGCACTATTATGATGCCATTGGAGCCGGTGCTGGCACGTTTGGCTGTTGTGCCGCTCCCCTCTTCAAATCCTCGCCTTATGCCTCCCTTTTTGAACTTGCCACTGTCCTACGACAGGTTGTTGGCAGCCGAGTTGTCCTTCACCATGCTCATGTAGCAGGACACTCAGGACACATCGGCAACGAGCTCGCCGACCAACTCGCCAAAAAGGCGAGGCGCACTTCAGACGATCCTTGGAATCTGTGTCTTCCTGGATGGGTCGCGCAGCTAGCAGCTCATCCCCTTCGTCTTTGGGCGTGGGCATGCCATCCTGTCCATTCTGATGTACCTAGCCTCTTCTCTTTTGAAGCCGAGGCTTTGCGCATGCAGCAGTGTTGTGGTGACCTCTGGAAGGCTCCCACACAAGGGCTCCATCACTGTCAGGACCAAGGAGGTGACACTGCCTTTGAGCTTTGTCTCATGTCCTTCAATGTCCTTACTCTCCTTGACAGAAAGCCCAAAGGCACCACAGCTGAGCACATAACTGTTGAGGCTGGGATGCGAATTAAAGGCAGGAAAGCAGCACTTAAGCAAATGCTAAGTACTCACTCTCCACACATAATCGGTCTCCAGGAGACCAGACTGCCAGCCAGTGAATCGCAGCACGATCCCGATTTCTTTATTTTTTCGGCACAGGCTGATGAGCATGGAAGCGGTGGTTGTGCCCTGTGGATTGCCAAGGATAAACCTTACGCCACGCAGCATGGCAAACCACTCCGTTTTCAGTCCTCTCACTTTACTGTTGTTTCCTGTTACCCGCGCCATCTCACGGCCACTGTTGCGACACCACTATTGAAACTTTTTCTGTGTGTGTTGCATGCCCCATCCCTCTTCTCCGCTGACCCGTCGGCAGCTGCTGCATTCTGGGGTGAGCGTGTGCGTGAGATCTCCTCCAGACCAGAAGGCTGCGAGGTCATCTGCTTCGCCGATGCCAATGCCAGGGTCGGGGACTGTATTACTGATTCGGTCGGCGGTCACCACCCCGAAGAGGAGAGCGCAGCAGGGCGTCTCTTCCATGATTTTCTTTCACAGGTTGGCCTCTGCGCACCCTCCACTTTCGAAGCGTGCCATTCAGGGGTATCCGGGACATGGCGAGCACCCCACGGACAGTGGCATCGCATAGACTATGTGTTAGTCCCAAGCAGCTGGCGCATTTTCAACCTCGATTCCTCTGTCGTCACGGAGTTTGAAGTACTGCAATTGCGAGATGACCATAGGCCAGTTAAGTTGTGCTGCGCCTTTCTGAAAAAGGCCCCACCCACCTCTTACTCGCACACCTCTCGCAAAGCAGTCCGACCAGACCGGCCCAAGGACCAGATGTCTGCTTTTCTCACCGCACAAGCCTTTGGCAGCATTCCGTGGCAGCCCTGGTCACTCGATATTGACACACATTTTGAAACCCTGTCTGCTGCTTGGTGCAGCGCTGGTTTGCACCTTACTCCTACCGCCTCCCGGCAGCCACAACAGCCCTACGTCGCGCCTGGCACGCTTGATATTGTCGCTTTTCGCAAAAGCCTGCAGGCCTACCTTCGAGAAGGGCGCGCCGAGGCGCGACGACGATTGCTGATGTTGGGTTTTGCTGCCCTGGTACTTAATCAGCAAAACGGGCAGTTCACGGCCCATGTAGACTACAGCGACGCGCTTGCTGTCGCCCTTTTTAGATGGTGGGGCAACCGCCTGCGAGACACAGTCGCAGCGGATAAAAGGGCATATCTTCAGGGACTTGTAGATGATGCCTCTCAGATAGGTATTGGCCGTCCCAAAGATTTGTACGCCGCCATTCGAAAGGCCTTTCCTACTGCAAAATCTTCCCGTCGCAGCTCCCTTGCCCCACTGCCTATGCTTCTCGACAAACACGGTGAACCCGTTGCATCGCCGGCTGAACGCGACGAATGTTGGAGATTACATTTCGCAGAACAGGAGGCTGGCACTCTTGTCAGCGAAGCTGTCTACGTCGAGAAAGCCCGGGAGCAAAGATCCTTCTCCAAGCAAGTTTTTGACATTGGGGTTCTTCCAAGCCTAGCGATCGTTGAGCAAGTGCTCTTGGGCCTTAAGAATGGCAAGGCCGCGGGTGCCGACAGACTCACATCTGAGCTGTTAAAGTTGGCGCCTGCAAATTCGGCCAGGCGCCTTCTGCCAATCATTATGAAAGCCTCCATGTCTCTGAGAGAACCCGTTTCTTGGCGCGGAGGAGACCTCATTTTGCTTGCCAAACGTGCCGGGCAAAATATGACCTGTGAGGGATTCCGCTCCATTCTCATTGCCAGCATTGCAGGTAAGGCATATCACCGCTGTGTCAGGTTTCAGATTTTGCCGTTTCTCCAGGCCACACAGCCAGACCTCATGGCCGGAGCAGTAGAAGGCATCGGAATCGAAGTTCCAGCACTTGCCATCAAATCTTTTCAGCTCTGGCAGCAAGGACTCAGGCTTCCCTGGGCTGTCGTTTATTTTGACTTGCAAGCGGCATACTACCAAGTGCTCAGGCAACTCGTTGTGAAGCACTCCGGCTCAGATGCCGCTTTGCTTGCCCTCCTCCACCGCCTGGATGTCCCGGCCCATGCGGTGCATGAGCTGTACGCAAAGCTTGACAAGCTCGCAGCTCTTCCCAACCTTGATGCAAGTGATCACCTTCAGTCTGTTGTATCAGACGTTCTATCTGGAACTTGGTTCAGGCTCGACGGAAGGGCCTGCCTTACGGCCACTGCCCGTGGCACTAGGCCAGGCGATCCACTTGCCGATGCATTGTTTTCTTTGACATTGTCGGCTTACTTGAAGTCGGCCTTGGAGTGCCTTAGACAAGCCAACTTACTTGCCGATGTCGATTGCCCTACCGACTTCCCCTTCTGGGCAGAATCCTCAGGGCCAGTCATCGGGGCCCCATCGTGGGCGGACGATTACGCGCTTCCTCAAACAGGGCCAACTCCAGAGGCCCTCCTTCAACGGGTTTCTGCCAGTGTCAGGATCATTGTCGGACATGCACGCATGGTGGGCATGACTATCAAGTTCGGCCCGGAAAAGACAGCTGCCCTGGTCTCCTCAGCTGTAGACCGTACACGGCACCCTGTCATCTGCCAGGCTGCCGATGGCACCTACTATCTACCAGTTGACGACACCCTGGGGGATAAGATCCACCATCTGCCAATTGTTGAAGCATACAAGCACTTGGGAGGTATCACTACCTCCAACGGGTCGCCTGCGCCCGATTTGCATTTCCGTTTTGCAAAAGCCTCTGGCTTCGTTCGGCCCCTGGGTTATAGGTTGTTCAGCTCGCCTAAATTCAGTTTGGCGGTTAGGAGAACTCTTTTGCGCTCCTTGACACTGTCAAAGTACGTCCACACAGGGGCAGCGCTCATCCTGCATGCTGCCATCCATTTGCGACAGTGGGACAGGCAGTACATCTCGCTTTGGCGCTACCTCTGCCGGCGTACTGCCGACCCAAAACAGGAACATCCGTACAAAGTGCTCCTTCTTGCTAAGGCTCCCCCTCCACCGCTTGCACTAGCCAAAGCAAGAGCCCGGTTTCTCTGCCGGTTGTTTGAGCGAGGTCCCAAAGCCTTGCTGCGCATCTTGTATGCACATTGGCGCCAACATCCAGCCTCTTCATGGCTCTGTCAGCTTCAGTCGGATGTGGCATATGTCAAGCAGTACTGTCCGGACTTGGAGTTCTTTCTCCCCTCCGGGGACGAGATCATCAGTCTTCTGGACGCCTCAGTCGATTCCCCGTCATGGTGGTCGCAGCAAGTTGCCAAAGCTGAGCGTGTCTTTCAGGCTGACCTCCAGCAATGGCTCCAGGGCTTTGCGCGAAGCCCCCCTGGACGCCCAGCTCTCCCCAGCAATCATGTGTGCCGGGAATGTGGAGCTGCTTTTTACCTTCGAAAGCACCTCCACCTGCACATGGCAAAAGCGCACAGCTTGTATAGTCCTGCCCGGCACTATACTCTGTCACCGGCTTGTCTTGTTTGCCATCGGTGGTATGGCACAATCAAACAAAGCCAGCAGCACCTTAAGCAATCGCCCAGGTGCCTCTCTGCAGTCGTACACCTCGTGCCTCCCCTTTCGTACAGTCAGATCCTTGAGCTTGAGGCCCCTGAAAAACAGCAGGCCGCTCGGATTAGTAAGGGTGTTTGGCAGGGTTTTACTGCTAGGCCACCACCTACCAAAGCCCCCGTCGTGTTAGGCCCTCGACTCCCCACAGCTGACGATCGGCTGGCTGGGGAAGATGAGGAGTCCGTCACACTTGCGCAACTTTCCCGTCTTTTCAGACCCTCCGCTGCCAATGTGGAATGGATTTCTCTTCACTTGGCCGGAGCCAGCAAGGAAGGTGCTCGCGCACAGACGAGGCGTTTCTGGCAGTGTAGGCCTGTCCTGTTTCACTCGAATTCAAGCTAGGACAGCTAGGAGTTTTGGGACGCGCCCTACCAAGGGCTCGACTGTCCGCACAGAACAGAACAGAACAGAAAACCCTAAACCCTGATATAATAGCCCTTAATATAATCCTATATATAGTTCCTAAGTCCCCTACTAATAGCCCTATAATACTATATAGCTACTATATAATATGTAGCTATCCTAAGTCCCCTATAATATACTATATAGTTACTAAACCCTAAACCCTACTAATAGTAATAACTACTATATAGTTCCTATTATAAGTCCCCCTTATAATATTTTTCGATATAATCCTACATATAGTTCCTACAAGTCCGACCCATAATCCTATATATATAATCCTATATAGTTATACTAAGTCCCCCCCCATAAAAAAAAGAAGAGAATCGGGGGAGTCTCCTGGCCGGCTTCGAGCTCGTAGCCGTGCTTGGCAGCCAGGTTCTTGCCGATGGCCTCAGCTCCGACCCCGGCAGGGCCGGTGCAGGGGGGGGGGTGGATTTCTGGGATGATTTTTGTGGATTTGTTTCGTGATTTTTGGTGGATTTTTTTTGTGATTTTTGGGTGGACGCCTCAACTCAGCCCCTTCCCGAGCTCGGAACGATCGACTCCATGTAACCGATGAGGCAACATGAAAGGGCAGTGGGAAGTACCTGGCAGGAAAGCCTCTGCCAAAAGGGACGCGGCAGGGGCTAAGGCTAAGGTTTTGGGGAAGCCTGGCCTTGAAAAAATTTGATGGATCCCAGGCATCCAAGCTCACAGGGAAGATGCCAGAAGGAATCGGCCCCTCTTGGCCAACATAGCTCACCTTCGTGTCTCACGCGATAGCTTCCTTGCAGAAGGGGCCGAGCACATGCTCAGAATCGTGGCCTCGAACTGCTCACGCAGGGGCTCACACAGCCACAGCCTCAACGCCGCTCACAACTCACTCTTTGCTGTCTTGGTGCGAATCTTGTGCGGCGTCCAAGAATCAGACAGAAGAGTTCCAGCCTGCGCGCTGCTTTCCACGAGACAAAGTTGAGAAGCAGACGGTTGTAGGCTGGTCGAAAGTAAGCTGCCCACGGCACAGCAGAACAAGGGAGCCAGCGGCCCGACCAAGGAGAACCTCGAGGCGCAACGTGCAAGCGGAGCCGGCTCTAGACCCCTGAAGGATTGATGAGGACAGCTTCATAGGACGAGGGGGAAGAAGCCTCGGTTTGCGTTTGGAGATCTCCTTGGCGAGTAGTAGGAACGCCAGGGAGAGCACTCCTGCACAGGTTCTGTGACTGCGTTCATCAGTCGGATAGCCAAACAAGATCAAGTCGTGCTCCTAGAAGAAGTGTCATCCATTTGGTGTGCTCGATCTTGCGCACCTGAACAGAGAACACGCGCTAGATGAGTTGCTAGACTGGCAGTGCCACGAGAATACTTGTCCCGGAATCTCGTCAACTAGATTGTGTGGGGCTGTCCCGAATTTTCTAATTGCCAGTGCTCTCACGACCATCGTCATCATCACCATCATCACCATCATCATCATCATGAAAGTACCACTACCATGGTCACTGCCAGTGCTATATGTACTAGTACCAATTTTTGTCAGCAAATACCCGCCGAGTATGAATTTGTCGGGCATGTCAAGGCCCCTCTTGAAAGGTATCCGCGGGTGAGAGATGCAAGGTCGCGGCCGGCTCGCCGCGCACGGGGTTCCTTCTGAAAGTGCCGTCATTTTCACACTTCGCGCTGGTGCCATACATGCGGAGCTCTTCCTGCTAGCCTTACCCCGATGCGTTTGCAATCACAACGACTGAGCTGCCATGCACCGCCGTGCAGCATCCACCACCGTCCATCTGCATTGCATCCTCCCAAAGATCCCTTGTCAGGCCAAAGAGCAAGGTCGATCAGAGTCACGTAGACGTACTGAGACCTCGGTCACACCCAGCCATTGCACCCAACCACACCAGCAGAGCGGTGCACTCTATGCTGAGAGCTGCGCTTGTCCAAGTGGATGCCTAGCATGTACTTTACCTGGCTCAGGCCGATAATGATGGCTGCGCCGCTGGTAAAGCCTCGAGCCGGGTCGAACGAAAGAGTGACTTGAGCTTGTTGAAGCTTGCTGACTGTGGCGTTCGAGTTCAGGGAGCCGCCACTGGTCACAGGGTGGCCCAAGAAGGTGACCAGGAAGCCCATCCTGTCGAGGTCTGTCGAGGCAAAACAAAAGCCTTGGCCCTCGGACTGGTCCTGAGGATCATGGCCGCAATCCTGGGTTTCTCCGATCGTTTTTAAAGGGCATGCAGAGAGCCATCAATTCAGTTCAGGTCCAAGGCTCTGCATGAGCCCCATCACGGCAGAGGTGAAAACAGCCAACTTCACATACCTACAAGAAGCGGGAAGGAGTCTGACTCTTGAGATGCATACCCTGCAGGTACTCGTTCTTGCAGAACTCGTCCTCCGCGGAGAGTTGGCCTTTGCTGCCTCCAGCCCAGTCGGTTCTTGGCGTCTGACGATAGCAGGCACCCGTGTTTGGGCTGTGACCGGCATGGGGATCCCAGCCGGGACCTCGCCGCATGCGAGCTGCAGTGTCATGCCGGCTGCGCTGTCGGGCTTGGGCCCACACACGGGCCACTGTGTATCTGCGCCATCAAACCCGCGTTGATGAGGAGTGACACCATGGCCACCGGCCCGACCTCTCTGTGCTACCACAGCATCTTTGTCTAGCCATAGCCAGTCCGAGCTCCGGACGGCAAGCTGCCTCGACTGGCCGAAGATTGCATACACCAGCGCCGGAACACACCTGAGGAGATCTGCCTCTCACGACATGCGCACGACCTCTCCTGCAAATACCTGCAAGAGCTGGGGTGAGAACGCCGCATACATTCCATAGATATATGGGAGTCCTTGAAGAAGCATGCACAGCACTGCGCCTCTGGAAAAGCCGTAAACTACCGTCCGTCCCATCGAAGACTATAGACTCGTGTGGCTGCTGTAAAACAACGAACGTCCTGCGATGTTTGCGTAAGACATACTCTGCGGGATGACCATGACTCCGACCTTAGCTAATCGCTGATAAAATTGATACGCATTCCGCATTCCTCACTGGCGGACAATCTGACAGTGGGTGCCCCACTGTCAGCCCGGCAATGATGTCTGCACGAACGCTCTTGCATGACATCTCGCGACACCAGGACAAGAGCGGCACCTCCCAGCGTGTGGTGGCGGGGAACCACAAAAGCTGAAAACTCCAAACTGCACACACGTTCGCTTGTGTTCGCTTCAACCTCAAGCTTGCGCAGGTGCAACGAAGAAAGAGCTACGAGTAATGCAACCAAGATACTCTCCGACACACGGTGCGTCCCAGGCGTGACTGGGCCTGCACCGTTGCGTTGCACCACTCGTGTCTCGGGCTTTGACCGCACACTTGGGGATGCTGCCTCCAGAAACGTGGTCGAGATGGAGGACCTTCCAACAGCGATCATGGGCCCAAGCAGACCCTTCACTGCAGCGCACTGCAGAGTACCTGGTGGAAGCTTCCGACACGGGCATCTGCTTTTCCGTGCAAGCCAGCATCTTGCGAGCCCTTAGCTGGAGTTGCGACAAGGCACAGAGACAAGCAGTAAGTTGGCTTCTTGGGTTCTGCGAATCTCAGCCATCGACTGCGCCATCGGCTTCGATTTTCGTCCTTGCTCTTGCAGGATCTGCGCTGCCTGCAGACCGGTCTGTGCAGCTATGGCAGCTATGTTTTCGACGCGGGCCTGTTGTGACCGATGCTCAGAAAGCAACACAATCTCGACCGGCTCCGTCCTAAGGTCGGGCGAAGTTTTGACAGGATAACGGAAAGAATGGGACTGGCTACAGTACCTCAGTGCCTCATACTGCATCACTGGGTTTTCTATGACCTTGCACGCGACCTGAATTCGTCTACGCCCAGCAAGGTATTCAGCTTGCTTGGAGGATTCCAGCTGGCCGCTGGAGCTTTGAATTCCACAGACAACCTGGAAGCTACATGAGCGGCAAACCAAGGGCTGCTGCTTCGATATCAAGCTACCAGGCTGTCAACTATAAAATCAGCTGATGAGAATTCAACAGCTTGCAGACACGAACGGTTGATGCAAAATCTGCAGTCAACCCGCCGTGTGGAAAATGTCGCCCTAGCTGGCAGACACGTCACCAGAATTCTGTCAAATTCAAAAGAAGGTTTGGGACAAGCAGCAACTGAATCAGACGTATGATGCTTATTCGAGGTTCAGCACATTCCTGCCTGGGGAGGCTTTGTTATGGATGCCGGCATGCTCAAGAATGTAACAATGTACCACACAACAGGCCAGGCGCAAGGCCTGAGGACCCTCGAGGAACCGAACTAGATGAAACAGTTGTGAGACGCAACCCGGCTCCCTGTGAGCCGCTGGGGCTAGGCACCGGCAGCCCTCATGCGGTGGCCTGGGTCTTCCAAGGGCGTCTGTGGAACTCTCTGCTGTCGGCTGAGATCCTTGCGGAGCTCCTCGAAGAGCCTCTGCCCTAATGCCGCATCGCCTGCGCAAAGTAAAGTGAAGCGCTGCACGGGCCTCGGCAAAGGCCATAGACTGGCTGCAGCTGCTACTGTTGCTGCTGAGAAATGAGGCCCGTGCCACCGGGTGAAGATTTTCCCATCAGTGCCCTGTCGCTCACGAAAACATCCAAATGGCTCAAGAAAATCAACTCTGAGCACTGCCTGCACATCCACAATTGCTCTCGCAATCTGGATCCGGCCTTTGTGACTGCCTCTGCATGAAGCCGCGCAGCACCACTGGCGGCGCTTTGGACGAAGTGCCGAACGTCCTTCTCCGTCCAGGTGCGCGGGTGGGCCTCCCCTACCTTAGCCAGAGATGGGACCACGAGCCGCATTTGCAGAGATAGTCTCAAGTCTCCCAAGCCTGCTTGCGCTGGACGATGTCCTCCTGCCGGGGGCACAGATCGCATTTCAAGCACGAGGCCGGCCCACAACTCTCGCAAGCCTACAAACACGCACGTGAGCGTGAGCTCGTGAGCGCTCCTGCTCCTCGAAGGCCATCTTCGTCCCCTGCAACTCCTGCAGCAGAACTTCCGAAAACTGGGTGCCTCTGCTCAGCCCGAACGGGGTCCTGCAAAGACCGCACGGTGGCCAGCGAGTGCTCCGTATCAGTCGCCGAGGGACTCACTGTCCCTCGAAAGATGTGAAACTGTCGAAGGGAATCTTATGGTCATTATGGTATCAATATGTCTGTCAGGCGGTGAAGCAAAATGCTGGCAGTACTCCGGCAGCCTATGGCCACGATCATGGCGTCGGTGCTGCTGAAGCTGTCGGAGAGCACGCGTGTGAGCAGGCTGCTGCGAAAGGGCGGCCTTGGCTCACAGCACACGCAGCGTCACACTTTAGGGAGACACCCATGGGGAATCATAGGGAGGCAGCGCCCTTAGGGGCGCGGCTGTCCTTTCGGCGCGCGCATGGCTCTGAAGCACTCCTACCAGGCCAAGGCAGAGCTCCGCTAAGGGCGCCCCTGCTACTGGTAGACATGCGGCCCCGCCTTCAGAGCGAAGATCGTTGCGTTGATTTCAGCGCTCTCCTAGCTGGGCTTCATTCGCAACTGCTTCCCGATACTGCGCCTTCCACCATCCCAAGTCTCCTTCTGACCTTGCGAATCGTGCTGCGTGGTGTCTTGACGCCTCTCGCTCCCAGCACAATCCACCAAGGTCAGCACTGCACCTGACATTGGCATGAGATCTAGCTTCACACCAGTGGGAAGAAACACCTGGATTACTGGCTTCCAAGCCGATCACCCCACCTCCTGGTAGGCAGATGCGGAACACGGCATGGGAGCGGGACGACGTGTCGTTGGCCTGTGTAGCCCGCGTTGCCCGGCGAGCAAGCGCACCTGCCAGCGCCATAGACAAGAGCTTAAAGCGACTCTTCAACGCTCTCGCCCGTCACTAGCACAGCCTTCCAGCAGTTGCTGCAACTTCTCCGCACTGCTCAGCTCGCCTCAGCGAGAACGCGTCGCTAGCGGAGCCTGGGGATGACATGGAGGGGACTCTCACAGGCCGAGGCCCACGCAGACGTTCGCGCCCACAATGTGAGTCCTATTTCCCTTCTCCATGACCTCACGGAGCAGGGAATGAAAAGTATCCGTATCGTCTCATCAGGACTCTCATCGCAAGGGAGAGACCCTCGCCACCTTGAGATCACTGGATCCGTGCCCCAGCAAGTCCCGCATGGTTTTGCCGGCGATTTCGAAAGCAGTGAGCCTGCCTTCGATGCAGGAACTGCCTCTAACTGCATCTTACGTGACGATAAGGTAACACAGGCGCTCCAGAAGCTGTGCCAAGATGCAAGTCACAGAATCTGTTTCGCTTCCTGCAAACAGATCTTGTACTGCCCGTCGCATGAGCCCAGTCATGGTGTGGCTCTTGCCACTGCCCGTTTGCCCGAAAAGGAAGAGTGTTGCCACCTGAAGCAAAGCAGCTTGAGTCATGTCGGTTCTACCACCGGCAACACGGGCACTCACACTTGTGCCGTCCGCACCTGCCCCGCCGAGACCTGGGACAAAAGAAGCCACCAGAGAGGTATTTTGTGGCCGAGGCCACGGGTGCTGGCTTAAGAGTTCATTCCGAGGCTCATGGTGCACAGCTGGTGCAGCGCAGCGGGAATAAATGTCGTCATTGGTGGCAGCCTCGTTGAAAGCTTCCGTGAACTGGAAGCCCATGTGAGAGACCTTGCAATGACTGGTTGCATGAACCCTTCTACACAAAGATGGGCGGCTAATGATTAGCCTGAACATCCTGAGCCGAGCTCATAAAGGGATCGCAGGTCTGCTTTCGTCAAGCAGTTGTGGATGACCTGGGCTTGGCACAGAGGGCAGCTAGAATCAACTTTGAGTACGGCACCAACGCACCGTACTTCTTTAACCTCTGGTCGTTGCCAGGTGGCCACCTGCTGCTCCCCCTTCACGCTCACGACATCGAACTCCCCAAGCCTCTCCTCGTGGTCGAACAAAGGTCGTTTCCGGATGTAGACCTGGATCAGAAGTCGGCAGTGTGACTCAGTGATACTCAGTGCGCATGGAAGTGGACAAAGCTCTTCTGGACATCGAGGTGCTCGTACACGAGACGACGGCATACTGTCGGAACCCGCTGGGACCTGCCACACACGCGCAAACACACCAATCACACCAATTGGTAAGCTCAACGAAGACGAAAGCTGCCACCTCTTTCTGCAGCTCGCGCCAAGAGCCCAGTCTTTCAAGGTAGATCGACTTGTTGCCTCGGCACCGTGCCCAACGTCCTTCCAACTTCGATGCAACTCGAGCCCTCCAAAGTGCTGCTATCGCCATGCGCTCGCCAAGTCGCGCTTTCGCAGCTCCCGCTTGTCGAACATCTGCCGCGACACATCCTCGGCCGTCTTTCTTCGTGACACCGTCGGCGTGACCTTGGCGGCTCACAAACTGAATCTTCCGAGAATGGGAATGTGATATCATCCGCAGGCCTTGCAACAGGGGGAATTACGCCATGAACCTGCAGCTCGGCCACCGGTTCCATTCTCTGCCGGACCCAAGGAAGGGTCCTGGGACAGCAAAGCCAAGACTTGCTGCTTGAAAGTTCTAGTCACTGCGGGTCAAGCTTTTTCACAGTGACATGACCGCAAGAGTGACTGCCTTCGCGGTTGCTTGGGTTGCCGTGCTTAATGATGATCCTGTATGCATTATGTTGTTTCGATCTTTCATCCGGACCCCGGAAAGAGCAATCAAACTTTCAGAAACTGCCGTCGCGTTGCTGTTGACAGTTCTGTTTCTGCTTCCAGCACTCCTGGTCGCGCCCACCCCAGTGTCTACCCCAATCAGTCTTCAGGAATTTTTGTCTTGAAGTCAAGTGTCGTGGGCCGGGCGAATGTGCGAAGTCACCAAGGGCTCCAGGTTGCCAGGCCGCTATTTGGAGCCAAGATGCCGAACGACAGAGCAGGCCCGAGTAGGCATACATGTCATGCTACAGAAGTCTCTGGGCCACCGCACGCATCGAGCCCCACTACATCGGCGCCTGACCTCGTGGACCTGCAAGGTCCGAGCTGTCCTCGAACACGATAACTGCAGCAACAGAAAGTAACACGGCCAGAAAGCCCGGTCCTACAGCAGCAGCATGCATGCCTGTGGCATGGCGACAAGTCTCATGGCTCTGTTGTCGTGCATGCGACTGTATACTTTCATGCGATTCATCCGCCAACCCAACCCTCCGAGCCATGCCCGCTCCCCCCGTACACCTTCGTCGGCCTCGACCAACTCTCCCCCGTTCCTCCTTGTTCCGCACCCGCTTAAGCGTAAATCCTTCCTGCCTCCTTCGAGTCCTTCTTTGAGGACGGTTCTCTACCAACACCTTGCTCGAACTGCTTCCTGCTACCAGTAGAGCATAGCTTCGCGATCATTTGCAATCCACGGTGCTGTGCACAAACGCATGGACATGAGCACGGAAGCTGATGATGTAGTCGTTCTGTATGGGCTGCTCTTGGCAGTTTTCCACTCAAACCCGAGTCAACCCCAACTCTTTGTCTTACCCAGCTGTGTCTGCGGAAAGCTTTAACCGAGACGTGGAGGAGTCGGCCAACACTTCCAAGGAGAGGGGGACTCCGTGCAGAAGTGAAACGTCCAAAACATTGATTCAAACCCGGACGCGGAGGCAGGGATGAGTGCCAGCGATGAAAGCGACTGCGGCCACAGCAGCGTGCCTGACGCCATCGCTGCCCAGTCCCTGTTCCACTACACTCTTGCGGTGCAGCAGAAGAGGTAACCAGCTAGCCTGCGGGTGCCAGGGCAGTTCGAACACCGTGCAGCACGGCATGTGACATGCGGCATCTGGCTGCATGTCGGGCTAAAGCTGCTAGGTGCCGGCAGGTGCAGGCTCAACGGCTCAACAGAGCGGGTCACGAGCCTCCGTTGTATGTTCGGAGCAACGGCAGAAACTTCGAGCCAGAGCTGCGGAGTGTGTGACACGAGCTCCACAGGACTCCTCATTTACATCTTTCGGGCTGTCGCGCGACGTGCTGTCGATCAGATTGAAGAAAGCTTGAACGCTTGGCTCAAACAGGAAGGTTCCGGAACCGAACCGAACCGCAGAAACCTAACCGCCATGACCCGAACCGAACCGTTGCAGCGAACCGCTATGGACGACCACCGCAGCGATCTCAGAGGCTCGAAGGCATTGCACAAATCTGCATTCTCTTCGAACATATACACAGTTGCGAAACGGACTCGAATTCCACACCCGCTTTGAAGTCCGAAGTCCGTAACCAAAATCAGAGAGGGGGATCGAGCGGTCCCAAGACAATCGCGGCCAGACGTTGTTGAAACTCTTCGTGTCTTGGACGCGCCATGGCAAAGGTTTTGATGACCTCGAACCTCTAGAACGAACGCCATATCCAGATCTATTTCGATATCCATATCTATAAACACAAGTCTATGTTTATGATATATATATATATATATATATATGTAAATAGAAATTGCATAGATTTGAGCGCGTAACAGAAGAAAACGTGCGCTCTGTCTCCACTGCCAAAGCGTGAACAACAAAACACACATAAAACTCAGATGGGGTCCAGACGTCTCTGCATGGTCTGTCATGTCATCGACCACTGTGGCCACCTTGCGCAGCAGCCACTGCTGTCTTCTGCAGCATATAAGACTTTGTTTCTTGAAAGAAGCCTCCACAAGCTCGAGCTTTGTATCCATTTGGTGAAACAAATCGGCAACCTCGAAAAAAGCAGCGCATGCTGAGCTGTTGCACAAGGGGAGGAGAACCTCTGGCTCTTTCCCAATCTGTACTGCACTGCAGGGCGCTAGAGATCGAGAAAAGGCCCGACCTTGCACAAGGGAAGGTGAACCTCCACCCTTTTCTCAATCTGTACTGCAGGGCACTAGAGACCGAGAAAAAGCCCGGGATTGTGTATGCACAATGCGTCTCAGCGAGAAGCAGACCTGAATTAAAGGCGGCTCTTTTCAAACACGAGTGGGCCCTCCTGCATGTTCTAGCCTCAGATTTGCACAGCAGCCAGTGTTTGGGAGCATGGTTTTTCTCTATCTACCGAAGACTTTGCAGCTCAGATCGGTTTCGCCGAACTGCTGTAGCCTCGGAAGCTCGACAATCTTAACGAAGGGGGGAGGACGCTGTACACCGCATTGCTGTTGTCATGAAACATACATGAGGCCCACACATCTCCGCGGTCATGCTCCAAGCTTCTGTACCTGCAACAAAACGCAGGAGCAAAAAGTGGAGGTGACATCGACTCTCATTTCCTTAAGCAGAGTCGCAGTCCTTTGCAGCAGCGTTTCTCATCTCGTAGCGGGCTTTGTGTATGCAACTATATACGGCATTCAAAAACCCGGCTGCATGTCATCCAGGAAAGAGGGGAGGCGACCTCGACCGGTATAATATAATATACTATTGTATAATATCATATTATATTATGTTATACTAAATATATATATATATATATATATATATATGTAATGTATATACATATTATAGGGGAGGTGTCCTCGACCCTGTGATCTACCTTTTGGCCATACTGTGTGGGTCAAGTGTGTGGCGGGGCCTCACGGCTGCATTTGCAGCACCTCCGTCAGGAACTGGACGATGTGCGTGTTGGTCTCGGAGTTGTCGCCGCTCTTGTCTGGATGGAAGGACACGAGCTAGCGTTTAACCCATTTACTGAACTTGGAAACCTCCAACTCGTTTTTGTAGTGCAGAGCCAACACGAAACCTTGTACTCCCCTGCAAGGCCCGTCCGAGAGGCGACCGGCCCCGCGGGGAAGTACAGGGTTCCAAACGCTTTAAGGCCCAAGAGTGCGAAACCCGGTACTCCCCCGCGGGGCAGCGACCGGCCCTGCGGGGAAGTACAGGGTTCCAAACGTTTTAAGGCCCAAGACTCCGACCGGCCCCGCGGGGGAGTACAGGGTTCCAGACGATTTAAGGCCCAAGAGTGCGAAACCCTGTACTTTTGCGCGGGGCCCGTCCGGGTTCCAAACGTTTTAATGCTCCCCCACGGATGCGCCCGCGGGGAAGTACAAGTTTCCAAACGTTAAAGGCCAAGAATGCGAAACTCTGCACTTTTTCGCGGGTCCCGTCCGAGCGGCGACCGGCCCCGCGGGGGAGCACAGGGTTCCAAACGGCCGCGGGTGAGTACGGGGTTCCAAGCGTCCAGACGATTTAAGCCCCAAGAGTGCAAAACTCTGTACTCCCCCGCGGCCCGTCCGAGCAGCGACCGGCCCCACGGGGGCGACTGGCCACATCCCAGCGTGCAAGCGGATCGCGGTGCAGGGCCCTCCTTCAGAGCCCCTCTTCCCCAACACCAACAGGCAGGCGCCACGTTTCAGCATCAAACTTGTACTCGTCGAAGAGGATGAACCGCGGACCCGGTACGAACCGCGAACCGAACCGCACAAGAACCGAACCGCTCAGAACCGCCATCCGGTTCATACCGGTTCATGCGAACCCAACCGAACCGGAACTTTCCTGCTCAAAGCGTGTGAATCCATCCCATCCCTCCCCCCCCTCCCCCCCCTCCCCCAGAGGAAATCCTGTAGCGGACCATTGCAGGCAGGCGGACCTGAGGTGCAGGGACTCTCGCCTCGAATCGACGCCAAGGCAGCCAAGGCTACCGCACTCCGGCTGCAAAGCTTGGGTATATGTAATGCGTTCTGCTCTTTCTAGAGCTACGGCTTGGATGCTTTTCGCGATCCATGTGCTAAAAAATCCATCTTGACACACACGCAGACATAGAGAGAGTCATACAACACTTTGACACTTCACTGCACGTGGGAAGTTGTCCTATCTTCGATTTGGCCATGTTCCTGCTGCGTCAGTCTTGAGCAATGTCAGCACAAGTTCGCGAATCTGTGCAAAACTGGCAACACCATGGCCGGCAGCATGACGGTGGCCAGAGCTTCAGAGAAGCTTGCTGAACGACATGACTATAAGCTGTGCTGTCGTCGAGACCCGCTGAGCTTCTGAATGCTTCTGAGCAACTTGCTCATGTCAGCAAAGCGGGGGCGCTAGCCAAGCCATGCCCAATCGGACCTGCAAGTCGGAAGCCTTCCGTTGCTCTTCGGCGTGCGCCTGGCCATCTTAGTCATCTTCATAGAAACTGGCAGCATGTGCAGAAGAGTGTCCGACGGGAAGGTGCCTGGCCTGAGTGCTCTTTTGGAGCTCGGCCTGGTTTGGGGCAATTGGGCAATCTTATCACTTTGGAGAGAGACGAGACAGGGCTCTGGGTGCCTGCAGCTGAGCCAGCTTCGCACTCTGCACCTGCAGAGAGCTAATAGCAAAACCACTTTATTCTGTTGGAAGGCAAGTAGGGCTCTTTTTGCTCACGCGGATTCTGCCGGCACACCAGGTTTCACAGCAGCTATTCGGAAGTCCTGCCACGTTTTCAACACTCTCCCGATGCTTCAAAAGGCAGACCACGGAAGGTCCTCTGCGACCCCGCTCGTTTCACGAGGCAGCTCGAAGACCACGAAGTGCTCGCGGACCTGGGCGGGACGAGCGGATCCCGGCGGGAGCTCCCCATCTCTGAGCTCCGTGCCCGAGGAGATTCATCGGACCTCCCTTTCGAGGTCCAAGTTTCCTGCTTACGGCACATGCAAAAGACTGCAGTGACTCTTAAGGGAGACTTGCCGCAGCTCCTCTGCCGCAAGACGGGTGGTCACCTCCAGGCTAAACCGACGCCCACAGAGAACTCAAGGACTGGTAACCGCTGGTTCTCGACGAAAGCCCGGTGTGACATGATGCCTGGACCTGAAATTGACTGCGGCATGAGCACGCCGACATTAGAGCCTGATCTATCGGCAAAACTCCACCAAGATATCTTGTCTCGACAAGCTGCTTCCAGCCTTTGTGTTGCCGCATGCTTAGGAAGTGCTGGCATAAGAAGCTCGGACTTGCATGTCTACAATCTTAGTCTAGTAGATGTCTGGCAGTGTCTATTGAGTCTGATGTCTGTTCAGGTCTGGGATACTTTCGCAGAAACAAAGAGACAAGTGCCCTTCAACTGCTTCGCCTGAAGCCAACCACGGCCACTGTGTTCAGCTCTCCGGCCCTGGACGACCTGCAGGTGGGACAAGGTGCCCATCTATGAACCGGACCCATCTACCCACGCCTGGCAGTAGTGTGGGAGGAGGTCCCACCTGCACACAGATCTCACCCAGAGTGCAGAGGAGCGCGGGCCCGCAAGCCCCGCAGCCGCCACTCTGCACTTCTTGGACGCCTCTGCGCGCCCGTCGGGCGCTCCTTGGCCCTTGCGGACGGAACACTTCGGTTTCGAGTCCGTTGGTGTCCGACCGGGCAGCCGAACCATGCAACGCGAGCCGCCACGGAGGACAAGTCGGGTCTCGCCTGTCCGGACTTCCTGCGCAAAGTTCGGTGAGGTGTCGTGCGGAAGCTTCCGTTTTGATCTGCCCTGCCTCCTCAGGGCTTCGACCTGGACAAAACGAGTCTAGATTTGGGATGCGGACCTTCTGAGGGCTCTTCAGGCATGAGGAGGACGGCTTTTCTCCAGCTGAGGCCTGGTGCCCATGAGCTAAACTAGTGGGAACTTCACGGCCCAAACGGCACAGGCGAAGTGCCCAGGAAGCCTAAACTTACGAATTGCCGGCGGGGGAGCCCTGTCACCCCCTTCTCCAGCTGCGACTCAACGGGATTCAAAGCTCGCTGGCTCGCTACACTCACGCTCGGTTCCTGCAATTTCGAGCTGACTCTCAATCAGCGCAATCCCCAAGAAGAGACAGGCACCTGCAGTCCTTCAAACAAACATAGTCATACTCTGGTGGGCAATCTGCACGAAGAAGGTCCTTGCCAGCTGCTGCATTATGCTGTTACGCGTGCTCTCGTTGCAGCCCCATGTCTACAAAGCCTGATTTGAAGCGGGCCAAAGGTGAAGACGTCGGAGCGCACTTTGGGCTGGCTCGACCCCTCCACATGCCAAGGGATGCGACGCTGCCTGGCAACACACGCGATGCTGCAGGACGTGGCATGCATGTTTGAGCTACTGATTGCTGGCTTCGACGCTACTGCGGGGCAAGGCAGCTCCTAAAGAGTTGAATTGCTGTGAGATTCATGAGCCTAATTTGGATAAGCTGCTCGACTTCATCCCTGGTGATAGTTGCAGCCAACCCTCGCTCTTCAATGGAGAGGACGGTTGCACCTGCCCGCAGTGACACTTGGGGTTCCCGAAAAGGAGCACACGATGCGATCGGCTTTCCCAAAGTTCGACAGCCTACCAAAAGCGACTTGATGTCAACAGACACCGGCTTGGACAACTCGGAGTCCTGAGGGAAGAAGTGCTTGCTTTACTCAGTGGCAGTGATGCAACAACGGCACAATGTCCTCGCCGATCCCGAATTGATGTCCAATTCGAAGAAGAATATGCGTTTCATCCCACCGTGAGAGTGTGAGGACCTCTTCAGCGCTCAGAGGCTCAGATACTCAGAGACTCCTGCCCTCCTGAGACCCCCTTCCTCCTTTCCCTCCGCACCTGCAAGCTTCGTGGCAGGTCACCCTGCAAAGCAAAGGATCCGACGCTTGGCGTTGCCTTGCCGCCTGAAGCCATGCGCTGCCGAGGCCCTGGTAACTGTGTAACTACACCGCACATCGTCTGCCGGTACAGTAGCAGAGTGACCTCCGAAGAAGGGCTGCACCGGTATGTACATTCGGTCCATCAGAGGCCGCCATGTGGCCGCAGCTGTGGCCGGCGGCCCAAAGTGGACCACATGCAGTCCCCGGGTCACCTAAGACACGGCGTCGGTGCACGCGTCGGGTGCCTCGAGGCTCGGAAGCTCGAGCTCTGCCAAGGAACGAGGCCAGGTCCGTAGTGGCGGCCCTGATCATTCTTGTCTCCAACATAGGGGGTCACGAACTCTGTTTCATTCAAGGGCTCGCCAACGCCACGGCCGTCATCCTCGCGCCAGTTTGAGATCACTCGCTACCCAGCATGGATGCTAGTAGTAGAGATCCTTCAGCAGCCGGCGGTGCACCATCAGCTCGATCTCACCGTCTCGTATGCAGCCGGTGCCGGCCTTCGGGATGGGATATGAAACTCCGCAGAAGGCAGCCTGGTCCTCCTGAGAAGCTCCTGGGCGACATCCGTGAGGACTGTGAGCTGGGCAGCAGTGTCCCTCAGACTCTGAGAGCAGAAAGACCCCCAGCAATCTCTCCGATGTATCACACAGCCGAAGCCTGATGAACATCGAGGTTGTCACAGGGAAGTAGTTCCCTGTGCGAACACGAAAACACTTCTAGCACAAGGCATTCTGCTCTACTGACAGGCAGCCTGCAACCTCCTCGGTTTGCTCCAACTTCCAAGTGGGCCGGAAATCTCCTCGGCGCTGCCAGCTGCCAGGCTTCCAGACATGATTCATTGCGGCGGGGCGCGTTTTCTTTGCAACATCTCCCGGCCGTTGCTGTCTGTGTAGCAGGTGCCGTCAGTCTTGATGTCGGTGCTTATGCGGGAAACCTTGTCGAGGCGGACGGGCAGAATTTCCGGGCCAGGATCTGAAACGAGGCTGGGACAATCTCCTTCCCCCAACCATCATCGACCGGAATATCACCTGTTGCTCCCACATTGCACGTGTGTTCAGGTGTTGTGGTGTTGTGAGTCGTGTGCAGGTTTAGTGCCGGCAAAGAGCTCACGGTGTACGTAATCTCCACATGCTTTGCACCACGAGCCAGACGAGTCCGCTGCGAGATCCAGGAACCGACCTGCTGGTGCACCTCGGGGTGTAAGGCTAGGAAACTGCGAAGCCGCACGACGGCTGACGCGGCTGACGGCTCACTGCACCTCGTCGGCAAGCGGCCCACGGAAGACTTGCATGAAGGGCAAGCCGGTGAAGACCGGAAATGCCTTTCCACAGAAAAGGCGAGACTCCACAACTTCTGTGTCCCATAGCACCATCCCGGTCCTGAGAGCGGTTGGGCCGGAAGATGTAGGCACCACTGGCCTGAGAGCTCGCCGCATCGCCCACGGATGCCTGGGCACTGGACATGCCCAGCTCTTGAGACTACAGGCATTGCGGCATTACACTTATACACTTATACGGCATGACCGAAGGGGATGGTGAAAAAGACAATGTCCAAGTAGCATTGTACCACATCCATGACTGCTCGGCACGTGTAGAAGTCTTGCTCAGCTTGTCTGTGATATTCGCCAGCATACCTGCATCTGCCAATGTGGAAAAAGCCCATTTGGGAAATGGCCAGCAAGTCAACGAAAATATGCTTTGCGTCTGAAGCACCACTGCAGAACCACAGCTTCAGGTTGTCGTTCTCCAAGGCCTGACGCAGGTCAGGTGCTTCTCAATGCAACTTTAGTCATTAACATTCTCTTACACTTGCTTTGATCTGATCTGCAAATTTCAAGCGGGTGCAGAGGCACGGACGGCTCAGTCCAAGGCAGCGAGATACGAAAAGATGCAGCTGAAGCAGAAAGACGCAGCGGAGAGACCGAGAGAAGCAACGGACCAAACGGTTCAGATTTGGACTGGGCAATCCACCGAACAGAGAAACAAGCGAGACAAAGACGCGGAGATGGCAGCGGAGTTGCAGCTCCACACAGACCGCCTGGTCCAGCCTGTGGAGGCACACGAGACTCCCTCTGATGACTCCGACTTTTCAGGTCTTGTTAGTTCAAGCGCAAAACATGGAGCAGTACGTCTCGATCCCGATCCCGATGAGGCACCGCACGCCTGACAAGCTCCTTGAGAGATGTTCGCAAGCTTCGCGGTGGGTGCTGCAACACCTCGTGCACAAGTCTGGGGTACTGCACTGTCAGGAACACCGGGCCACACTCGCTGAAAGGCTGTGTTCCTCGCCTGCAGTCTGAAGGCAGTAGCTCGCATGTCCGACAGCCGGCAGCTTCACAGCCACCAGCAGCGTCTTGCTGGCCCCTCCTGTGAGCATCTTATGCGACGAACATGCTCCAAAGTCGTTCTCCGGCTCCTGCAGGAGCGCCGTAGTTCGTTACGGACGGCAGCGACTCGACGATCTGGAACTCGACGGCGCCCTGAATTGGAACGTGGGAGAAACTTCCTTGGGGAAGCTCTGCAGCTGGGCGTCGGTGTCGGTGCCACTCACCACTTCCAGCTTCTCCGTACTCACGGGCAGCTCAATGAGCTCCTAAGGCCGAGACGGCCGGGACGGCCGGGACTTCTGAGACTTCTTAGGCTCCTCTCGGGCGTGGCCCAAGCCGTTCCAAAGGGTAAAGCAGCTCCTCAGGAAAGCTCGAAGAAGGGGGCAACGCGAAGGGAACGCCCGCTCCAAGGCTTGCGGCCCTTGCGGCTCTGCTCGCGCCTCTGGGTGGTCCTTCCGACGGCTTGCGTGGGCGCGCAGACGGAGACGTTCCGGAGATCGCAGTAGACGAAGTCCTTGCTGCGTGCTGCATGTGCCTTTCGAGTCCGAAAAAATTCTGTCGCGGCGCTTTGCATGCTGCCAAAGCTTCGGAAGAGGCGGGGGCTTGCGTGAGCTGCCTTAAGGCCGCAGACACGCCTTGAAGAGCAGCTGCCCTCCGAGGGAAGCGGAAATCGCAGTAAGCAAGCGAGCTGCGTCGACACAGCGCCGACCTGGCCTTCCTTTGGCCAAGCGCTTGGCGTAGTCGAAGGTCACGTGCTGCTTGGCAGTGCCACTCGCGGCGTCGTGATGCTGCGCGACTCCCATGGCCTCACACCGTGGCTGGCCGTGGCTTGAAGCAGCGGCGCAAAAACGCGGCTCAGAATCCGAGAACAGCCTCTGCCAAGGCATTCAAGCCTTCCATTTGGGAGGCCGGCTGGTTGCTGATCACGCTGATCTGCTTAACCACCTGCGAGCATCATGTCTGCACAGATCCCTGCTGCCCCGCTGCCTGTCCTGGCCTGGAAGAAAGCGCTGGTGTCTCGAATGTATCGCTTGAGTGTCGGACGGGATGTAAAATAACCGGTCCAGAACTGATGAGGGCCATCCGCATACGGGAAAAAGTCATCTTCCTGTGGACATCACACTGCTGTTATAGCCGTACAACTCCATCACCCTTCCGTCCTGCCTTCGTGGGCCAAGTGATCTTTTCGCTTTTCTTGGCATCGACGTACATCCCAGGTGTCGAATAGAACGCGTGCACGCGACCATCCGCATTCACATGGTGGATGAGCTTGTCCAGGTTGTAGAACCACGTGTACGCATCCTGCAGAGATGCTTAGCGGCTTAGCGACTGGAGACGCGCGGACTGGCTCAACTTGGGAACGTCTGGCTTCAACGGGTCCTCGTATTGGAAATCAGAGCCCATCGTCATCATGATGTGACGGCCCCGAGTTTGATTTGCCTGAACCATTGCAACGGCGACGAAGTCGTCCACCCGCGACTTGACGTTGTAATCCTAAGCGAAGCATGTGAGACAACTGGTTAAGGCGTTCGCGCTTACGCGCACAATCCAAAGTAACTTGAAGCAGGCATCCTCCAGAGCAGGGTCGTCCTACGAAGTGCAACAAGCCCTTCAGCATTGCACAAACTACACTTAAATGCCCTCATCTCGCAGAGATTTCTGCCTGCGATGGTGGAGAGCCTAAACAAACCTTGTTTTTGCTACCATCTTGCCGGCTACAACTCTACTCCGCCTCTATCGTCGACATAACGCTGGTTCGTTGACACAGGAACGTTCACAACAAGAGAACTTACAAGTCAATTGCCCGGTGACTGCGGTGCATCGGGAACATCGGGGAACCGTATGGTCGATGGCTGATGGCCATCGAAACTCATTGTTTCCATACGTACATCCTGACTAATCTGACTATTCCTGACTGATCCACGGAGTTGCATTTGAATCCGATATGGTTCGCTGGTGGACTGATCACGGGGCAGCTTCAACAGCGCATACCTCATTGTGTCTTGGCTGGAGCGCCAGGCCTGAGAATTAATCCGCCGAGGCCAGAGGCCCAGGCGTCTTGGGGGTTACCTCAGGTACCCTCCACCTAATCTTTGTCCCTGCAGTCCAAATGTTTGGAGACACCCGTTTTTTGCGTTCGTTTGCCACCCCCTTGTCCGGCTTCCCCTCATTTTACCTGATTTGTCGGCCTCCCCCCCCCCTCCCAGGCCCCCCCCCCCCCCCCCCCCCCCCCCCCCCCCCCCCCCCCCCCCCCCTCCCCTACCCATTCTCCTCGCACTTCGTATCAACAACCGTGTAAAGGTTGGGGTTTGACAGGCCGCCCTAGCATAAAAAAACATCGACTGCCCCCTCGCCCTGCCGCTACACAGCCGAGGCGGGCGGCGTAGCGTTAAAATTACACCATGTTAGCACACTTCCTGCAGTCTAGTCATGCGATACCAATCCAGAAACTCATGGCCTACTCAGGATTTCGATCTTAATGGCCTCGAAAACAGTTCAACATGACATAAAGTCGAACTCGGCAATCTATATGTATGTCATGGTGTATGTCTGTGTGTGCGTCTTCGTGAGGGGGCAGCACAGTCGTCCTGGATTGTCTCGTCCGAGCTGGTGACATCCCAGTCGAAACCAGCTGGCGGACCATAGTTTCCTCCATACTCGCCTCCCCAGGGGACCCTTCTGTCACATCACGAACTAGTCGAGCTTCGAAGCACGGCAGGAGAAAGGAGCCTGTGAGGCCCGTGAAGACCTGCGCATCTGAACCGAGGGATGGCGAGGCCCGCCAGATGAACTCTGCCTCCTTCTTCTCCCTTCGCAATTCGAGGTCCTCTTGCTTCGTTCGGTTCGACAGACAGACACACAGACAGAGAGAGAGAGAGAGAGACAGAGACAGAGAGCGAGCGGCGGAGTGTACAGCACATCCCTTTCCTGGTAATCGATGCGGCCGAAGAAGAGCCCTTGGAAGCCCACTTCAGCGGAGAGGAGTGCAGCCTGCGTCGCCGAGTGCCCAAAAGGATCCAGCTGCCAGCCGGTCCTTTCTCATCCCCAAGGATTGGACGAGTACAGCGCATCGACCCAACCAAGAAAGACAATGTGAGCTTCTTCTTGGCAGCCGGGATTCCGAGGAGCAGCACTCAACTCGTCCATGAGGAACTTGTGCCCCAAGGTTGTCTGGTCAATCATGTCCTGTGCGGTCAAACAGCAAATACGGTCACGCCGTTTCTAACATCAAGGCGGGCGAAGATCCAGCTCAGTGAAGCTTGCATGCCAGACAAGCAGCCAAGAAGTGGGTCGCTGCTTCATCATGCATACACCAGCCACCGTTGCTGAACTCCAACCTTGCCCAACAGCCAAGCAAGGCCGAGCAACTTCTGGCCTGAAATCATTGAGATGCGGTCAAGCCACTGCCCGGAGCTGACGAGGCGCCTCACAAGCTGCCGGGTAGAGTTATCCTGCTGCCTCCACCATCGCGCGAAGAAGGCCTCACATCCCCCAAAGTGCGGAGCGCACACAACAACGCTTCAAGCGCTTCCATCAAATTTAAACTTTAATCGCATGCCAGGAGAACCGTCTCAACGTAGGTGAACTTCCGGTCCGGGTTCTGCTCCAAACAGCGAACCACTGTGTCAAGGATCAGGCGCACATAGGCACGCCTCACGAAGCATCCGACAGCTCCGCTTGAGAATTCAGCCACATCCTGCAGCTCTTGAAAAGACTCTCGCCAAGGTTCTGAATGGAATTGTTCTGGCCCGTGAAGTATTCATCAACAGTTTTGAGCCAGCCAACATCATCGTGTGTGTGGGGAACAATGTGCACCTCACGGTTCGAACAGACGAACTTGGCTGCGCAAGTTCAATCTACTTCCAGGCGCCTCTACAGCAGGTTCAGCCTGCACAGCCAGTGCACTGCAGAGCATCAAAGCCCACCGCATCCTGCACACCGTTCCACCGAGTGCTGAGAAGATTTGCACATTTGCGTGCTGTGGGGCTCCTGGCCATATTGTGTACAGCCATTCAGCGCTCAAGCCTCTCTATACTTGAGCCTAATGGGCTGCAGTCCGTCGCGTGTGGCATTGCACATGTCAAAACATTTCAGAGTAATCAAAAACGCATGGCAAACGAAGCGTGCAGAGTTGCCTCAGCATGGAACACCATAAATCGATCCATAAATCGCAAGTTGAAGCCTCGGCTACTGAGCACCTGGTGGCTCCGTGCCCTTGGAATAAGCAAGCGGGTGCCCAGGAGCGGGCTATCAACATCTTGAAATGTTTGTCCACCGACGACGCGCTGCTTGGCCTGTACAAAGTACCCATTCGACACTCCTAAGGTGGGTTGGAAGCACACACACACACACACCGGAGCCGAGCTTGCGATATCAACTGTACTGATCGACTTCACCGCACGAGGCCTCTCGAAGGACGAAATAGGTTTCGAACATGTTCCTGATCTCAGCATTCCGTCACTGCAGCATCGTCAAGTGCATCGTGAACTGCAAAATGCATCCAAGCCGCGCATATCGCATTATCGACAGCTGCCTGGCTTACTTCTCTCGTTCGTTAAACACCGGCACTTTCTCGCTTTGCATTGCCCCACTTAGCCATGGCTGATGAGGCACAATTCTGCAGAGACATGTCAGGAGCGCATTGGCTGCGGTTCCCAAACAGGCTCGAAAATGAGGCTCTGTTCCGGCCACCTTAAAGCAAGTGAGCGAAGGTAAGGAAGAAATCTGCAAGGACCCTCGGGGCCGCCACCGGCTGCGAGCACCAACAGCCTGGGCACATCGAAGCCTCTGCCTCCACCCCATCCAAAATCGGAACTCCCTGCTTGGCGCGGCTCCGCAGCATGACGTGCGAACCCAGACGGCAACCTGCGCAACTTAAGCCTAGGCATGACGTGGGACCTAAGGACCTACCAGTTGCTCCAGGCCTGCTTTCTCGCAGCACTCTCAAGATCCCGGCGGCCAGCATCGCACGAATCGCACATGCCAAAGCCGTCCGTCTGTGTTAAAGCAGTTCCTGAAATGAACTAGACTGGGCTGCCAGGCTTTATGAAATTTAAAGCTCTGGCTCTGCATGCCACGCTGACAAGCTTCCAAACTATGGGCCTTCGCATGACGACAGGGACGCAGTCTTGAATCCAAAGTGCATTCTGACATTCTCAGTCTCAGAGCACGGTCGCAGAGTGGGGAGAAGCAAGGTCAGCTCCATCACAGCGTGCTGCCTCCAACTCCTTTGCCAAAGCATCTGCTCGCGCCGCCTCAAAGGGCAAAAAGTTGTCTGCTAGCACGGGCTTCACGCCGCTGCGCCTCGCTGGCTCTGGCGCTTTGCATCTCCTGGCATCTCGCACAACAAGAGCACGGCCTGGCTTCGTCTCTTAGGCACACCTCGAGGTTGGCGGACTTTGCGGTCGCAAGGCGCTCGGCGGATTGCATGCGCTCCAGTGCCTCTGCGACGGCAAACTTGCCAACTTGCCTTGCAAGACAAAAATGGAAAGAGCTGACGAGCCAGGGCGGCCATGTCTCGGTCCTCAGCTAAGCTCGACCACAATCCCAGGTCCCATCAACACTCTCTGACTGTCCGAACTTATCCTAGACAAGGATCAGATTCCAGCTCCTGGCATACGCGAGACAGCCGCTCGCACCTCGCATCACATGCTGACTCCGCTCCGGAAGAGTGCGGGACTGCCGGTTCCCTCGCAGCACGTTCTCCATAACTTGATCTATACTTACCCTCTCATTGTCCCAACGGCGCATGGATCCGTCCACCGTCTTTGGCTAGCAAGGGCTCTCATGACCCTGACTGACATTCTTCGAACAGCAAGACTGCTGCTACGCAGAGTCTGCCCTGACTTTTTTCGCAGTGCCAACTTCACTGCTATCAGACCTGTCCGGGCCCATCTAGGCCGCTTGCTCTGCCCCATCTGCCTGTACAGCACCAGAGCATGGCCACCAAAAGTGCGAAGTTCATAAAATCTCTTTCACGCGGCCTTTCGCTCTGCACGCGACTTCTCCAGGGCATCGTCCAGATCATCGCGGGCCCTGCAAAGCAATGGGATGCTGAAGCCACACCGCGAACGGTCGGGCTTAACTCCGCCTTCGGAGATCCTGAAGCTCCGTTTCGAGGCCTGGGCTAGGGGGCATTTCGCTCCGAAGCGGATGTTCTTGGGCAATCGGCTCATCTTGGGTCAGCAGCTCTGCCGCTGCTGACGCTCTTGTTCCAGCTCCTGCGAGAACTTGGTCGCTGCTTCGTTTCCGTCAGCTGCCTGACTCTGCGCCTCTCGCAGGTCAGAGTGCTGACGCTCTCCTTCCGCATTGGAGGCCTCGCGCGCCGCACGCATCTCAGCCAAGCCCGCCGATTCCACGCGGGCCGAGGCAGGCACCAGCTGCTCCTGGCCGCTCGGCTGCCCGGCTACTTCTTTGCCAACCTCCTCCCAGCCTCCGGCCTCCAGAGCATCGTTTCGGGCAGTCAGCTCGCGCACCTCTGCTTGCCTCCCACGAACACGCCGACTCGCACAACAACTCCCAAGCAGCAAGCATGCCAACGTCGCAACTTCTCGCTGCGGGCACGCTCATCAGCAAGCGACCTCCACCCGAGCAAAGACCGCTCTGCGCTCTACAGCTGATAAATGCGATGCTGGATATTTATGAGACCCCCACTCAGATGCTGCATCTGCCGCGACAGGACTCGTCACCCCTTCTTGCCTCGATCCGAGGCAGCTGAAACGCAAACTCAGGCAGGTGCAACGGTAGTCGAAAAAGGCGCAGGAATCTATTCAAGGCAGCGGCAGCGCAGCGATTTTTGCCTGGAAAAAGCCATGGGACTCGCTTTTCTGAACTCGTTCGGCACAGCATGTTGGGCGTGCGGCCTCCAAGTCCGCTTTGGAGCTGAGGGCCTCTTGTGGAGCAGTTAGAGTCTGAGGCATAATGGCAAAGCAGCTTCAACCTGTCCTGCTCAAGTTCTTCCTTTGCTGACTGCGCCTGCTTCACCCTGTCAGAGCGACTCAGTCTGCGAATCCGACAGAGCGAAGACACCAAAAACTAAGGGGGGCGCTCAGACTCGTGCCGCGCCTGAGACAGAGAAAGCAGAGGGAATGCTTCTTCAGAGAACGAGCTGAGCCCCTTGGAAGAAATAGAAACAGAAGCGAAACGAGCCTGCAGATCCTCTAGTGCAGCTCTCAGGTCTTCACCTCTGGCAGCCTGCAGCAAGGGCAGTTGCCGACATTGCCACGAGCCTTAACTCTGCCTCCAGCTCCGATTTCAGGCTGTTAACCTGCTCCTCCAGCTCAACCTGTGCAGGTGTTCTGCGCAGCTGGCGCGCTAACGACCACTCCCATGTTCGGGTACAGCCCATGGCGCAAACCCTGACAAAGGTCTCAAAAGATATTTCGGACACACGGACGGACGGACGGACAGACCGACAGACAGACAGACAGACAGACAGACAGACAGACATACACACATACAGACTCCATCCATCCATCCATCTACCCATCCATCCACCCCTCCCATCCCATCCATCCCTCCCATCCCTCCCTACCTCCCTCCCTCCATCCATCCCATCCATCCATACGTACACACGTACACGCGTACACACAGGCACACATACACAGATACGTACATACGTGCGCGCATACATACATACATGACATACATGACATACATACATACATACATACATACAGACAGACATACAGACGTACGTACATTCGTACGTACATACGTACATACATACGTACATACATACATACATATATACATACATTCGTACGTACATACGTACATATGTGCACACATATACACATACAATATGTGTATATGCATACATATACATATATACATACATACATACATACATACATACATACACGTGTATGTATGTGTACATATATATATATATATATATATACGTGTACATGTAGACATCGTGTACATATACATACCTTTGTCTTGGGACTTGTCTTGGGACAAGTCTTCCTGCAGCTGGACCAACGGGAGAGAAACGTGCTGATGAAACTCCTTGGTTTGCTGTAAAGATCACGCATTTGCCATAGTTCAGTTTCAACCCATAGTACGCGCTGTGCCTTTCAATTGCATGCAATAGTTTGTTAATCACTGCATGTTAGCTTCAGATATTGGCGTATCGTTGCAAATAGGATTAAATAGGATTTCGGCGAAGTAAATACCATCGCCTGGCTGGAGTTGTCTTGGGGTGCAAAATTCATTTTTCATGTCTGCCAACAGAGCTCCCATGACTAGCACAAACAAGTACGGCGAAAAAGGACATCCCTGCCTTATGCCAGAATATTGAAATTTCCCTTCAGACTCACGTATACGTATACATAATCTATACATATACGTACACGTATACCTAGACATAGACAAATACAAAGTGTGTCTGGTGTGTGTGTGTGTGCGCAGGCCTGATTCTGAGCTGAGTCCTTCCCAAGCTGCTTGAGTTCTGTCCATCTGTGTGTGTGCTCGTTTCAAGCCATGTCGTGGGCCGTGACTCGGGGAAGCGTTCTCTGTGGCCTTAGCTTCGGTGACTGCATCGAGTTCGTCCTGAGCTCCGCAAGACAGGAGACAACAAAACCGGCACTGCAAACGCCACGACGAGTTCAGACACCTTCTGCGATGTGAATTGAAGTCCCTGTTGCAATGGAGATGGCTACGAAGCACAATTCTTCGTTCGGGTCCTCGAGATCACCCAGCTTCTTGCGCAAGGCCTGTCACACAGGATGCTCGCAGAGCGCAAGCTGTGCGAGTAAGGGGCCTTCAAGGTGGCATCGGCCATCGAGAGGCTGAAAGGGACTCAAGCAGCGTTCAGGGGGTGAGGAAGGGAATGCTTGACTGGGGGTGCTTTTGAGGGGATCCCTGCTGGATTCTCCTTGAACCTGAAGCCAAGGAAGGCCAGGACGGTTTTCCGCGGCACTCTCTAAAAGCAGAGCGAGCGAGGACGGAGGGCGGAGGGCGGAGGGCCTGGCTGCCGATCCTTTTGCCGTATCAGTACGAGAATTCGTGGGCAGAGTCTGCTCATTGGGTCGTATCGGTGCGTGTCCCAACGTCAGTAACTCCAAGGCGAGTCGAAGAGCCAGAAGAGAGTCATTGCACCTCTGGCATGCTTTCTCCGAGATTACATTCGGAAGGCCACACATTGGTATCCTGGATACAGCTCCTGAGAAACAGATCTTGAAATGCAAACCAACGACTGTGGAGTCTGACGAAAAATTGCAGCGAGCTGCATTGCCGAGCTGTTCACTTACCAGTGATGGGTGTCGCGCCTCCCTGCCTCCGCCGCTAGCGACCCCAGCTGGCTTTGAACACCCCTGACTCGCACATACCTACAGAACAAAAAGCACGGGATGCTCGACCACCATCTTACATGCAAGGAGCTCCACTCCCAATATTGGGATGCGGCTTTGAACCGTCCCGTGGCAAGGAATGCAAAGAAAAATCTCAGGTCATCTGCAGGCTGCGTGTGCACTTCACACACTGGGCCCGCCGGGCGAGTTGGAGGCCGCGGGAGCCCCGATTGCGTAAGCTTTCGGAGGCGAGTGCTGCTTGACGTCCATGCCCACTTCTTCCGTGTACTCGTCGATGCGCAGCAGTCCGGTCATCTTCAGGGCGAAGAAAGCCAAACCCGACAGTGCTCCAGCCCAACCGATGATCACGAGGACCATGATGAGCTGTGCGGCAATGGCGGTGCCACCGATGCCGGTCATGCACGACGAGTCGGTGTCGCTCACTGGCTTGCAACCAAAGCCTGACCAGCCATGGTAGTGGTCAACGCCCTTGCCCCAGTCAAAGAGTCCGGCTGCCAGCGCACCCCAGATGCCGCAGAAGCCGTGTACTGGGCTGGCATCCACGGGGTCGTCGATCTTCAGCTTCTGCAGGAGCATGGACGAGCCTTGGTACACGAAGGCACCAATCAAGCCGATGGCGAAGGCGCTGCCGCACTCCACGTTGCCACATCCCGCAGTGATGGACACGAGGCCTGCCAGGATACCATTGCAAAGACCACCCACATCGTACTTCCTCATGATGGCATACCGCAGAATGAAGACCGTGATGCCGCCGGTTGCAGCAGACAGGGTTGTGTTCATGGCCACTTGTGCTGCCATCGCGCCTGTGTCTCCGGTGTGCATGCCCAGCGTGGAGCCCGGGTTGAAGCCATACCATCCGAACCAGAGTGCAAAGGTGCCCAGCACCACCAGGGGCAAGTTGTGGCACTCGAACTCCTCCGGGTTCTCGAAGCGACCCTTGCGCGGGCCGAGCACGACAGTGCCTGCCAGAGCGCTCACGCCACCCGTCAAATGCACAATGGCGCTGCCCGCGAAATCCATGTAGCCTTAGTATTTACGAGGCTGCTGACAACCTGACACAGAGTATCAAATTCAATTCGAGTGCTGAAGGCTCACAAAACCAGCAAAACGAATGGGAAGAAAACTGAAGGGAGGTTGCGCTCCATTTCCGACAGAGCCCCATGGCGATTGAATGGAATCGCTCTTCTCAGAGCTTCGGGGTTTTCAGGGTCGTTTTTGGTTTCCTGGCCCAAGCTGTCAAGAGCACGCGTTGCTACCCACTCATGTTTCAGGATTTCCCAGAGTAGGGTTTAGGGTTTAGGGTGTCTTCTTGCACAAACGGTTGGCAATCCATGCTAGGATCGCGCCACCTCATACCAGGGTTTGTGGGTGGCGGCATATTACGCGTCAAGCGACGTTCCTTGCATGTGTCCTAGAACTCGGCGAAACCGGAAGCTGTCTAAAGCCCGCCTGTTAGGGTTTAGGGTTTACGTCCTCAATTCCCACTCCGCAACAAAGGGGACAGGGCCAGGCAGGCGGCAGGGCAGGCCAGCAGCCCAAAGAAACAGGAGGCCATAGGGGGCCCAAGGGCCAGTCAGCGTGTTCCCCGAAAAGGAGATCAAGGTCTTCGAATGGCAGCTTGGGCTGGCCAGATGGGGCTGTATTCCACCACTCTCCATAGGCTCCACCCATTTTTTGGCCCAGTGCGGGTGTAAAGGCTGCCGGGCAGCTTCAGCGTTTGGGCATCCAGTTACGGGTGGGAACGGCCCACGGGGGCCGGGTGCGAATTTAGGGTTCAGGCGGTTTGGGGTTTAGGTTTTGGGGTTCAGGCTTTGGCTGGCTCGGTCCAACCACGTTGGACGTTCCCTTGCCCTTCGACTTGCTCTTCCCGCCAGGTTTACCGCCTTTGGGTGCCGCCTTCCCTCCGCGTCCTTGCTGACGTGATGGGCTGACCTGGGATCTGGGCTTTGGTAATGTTTCAGGAAAGCGAGAAGCCCTTCTAAGACCTCATCGTCACGACCTCCTCCTCCTCTGCATGCATCAAGCCATGGAATGGCGCGGCCCTCACAATCCGAACAAAGGTGGAATTTGTATCCGCTAGGTCGGTGTCCCGCCCGCGCTGGGGCGCACGGCTTGCTCCACAACCGCGATCCTCCTCCACCGTGCAATGGCACCTGGTGTCCCGCGCACGCTGAGGCGCAAGGCCGCGATCCTCCGCCACCGTGCAATATGGCAACTTCCGCGCTGAGGCGCAGGGCTTTCTCCACAAAAGCGACCCTCCACCGCCGTACAACGGCGGTGGACCGAGCGAAGTCCTGAGCAAGATAACCAAACACGGTCCTCAAAGAGCAGCTTGTCACCGTGAGACCCCATCTCACCACGATACAAGCCAACAGAAATCCGCACCAGAGCTCACTCATCCCGTCCCAGAGACCCCAACTCATCCGTGGAGGTGCACACTAAGCAGCAGAAGGCCCACTGGAAGAACCAGCTCAGCATGGTGCTAGTAGTGTAGTTGAATGGAAAGGCACTGCCAAAACACACTCCAGGGAGTGTGCAAGTGTGTTGTCCGCCCCGCACATTTCGCCAAGTCATCCTGAGATGCAAAAATACATTGCGGGCACAAGGCCTACGAGTTGCATAAACTGCCGTGCAGAGTTAAGGTTGCTGGCAAAAGTGCCACCGGAAGTATCGAAAATCAGTCGCTGTATCGGCAAACACATAAGGGCGCAGCGCTTGCAGATAAAGATGGAAGCATCAAGAATTTACGCAAGAGCTATGCCCGCAGTAGCCACACTAGAGGGTGTGGCCGACCACAAGCACGCACAAGCAAGGTGTCACGTTGCAGCAATCCTCATTCCATAGAACACATGGTCTACCAAATGGGAAAGTGTACTTTCCTTGTAGAAAAATAAAACCCGAGAAAATTTTACACATCCGTAGCCGCAGGGTTTATTGGGTCCGGGACGGCAGGGGAATTAAAGGGCCTAATTTTGCAAAGGGCGTGGCTCTGAACCAACAGAGCATGCGACATCCACTGTCTGCCGAGTTGTGACTGCTGAGATGCCCTCACCAAATCCAAAGCATGGATATTGAGGAGAGCAGTCGCGGCACAGTCAGCAGCCTCATTTACCTGGCGGCAAGCAGTCTCGGAAATGCCTACAGGAGCAAGCCAGCGAGATCTCTTGCCATGCGAAGGGATCCACGACACCAATATGGAGACATGTCGCATGCTCGCATGCATGACTCGCAACTGTTGCCATAGAGCCGGGTGTTCCCAACCCACGATGTTACACGCAGCATCAGAAAGAAGCTTGCGGAGTCTGTCAGCGACATCACAATTATCAATGAGGAGGTGCACATGGCAATGCCTTTGAGGAAGATGCAACTGCAAGGCGCAGAAGCAAGCCACCACTCCCTCGAGCTCTGCACGTGCACTGGACTGATCAAACCCAGCCAATTTGCCGGCAACGGCGCGGTGGAGGGAGGCAACAGCCCACACCCCCCTCGTGTGTACATCAAAATGCTTAGAAGGTACGTGGGGGTGCCATTGTCAGGAGCAGAAATCTGCGCCGACGCGATCAAAGAAGGCAAAGTTTCCAACTCGGCAGGCGAGAGCACATTCTGTAAGTCAAAATGATCAGGCCTTTCGCAAAAAGGAGACACAACCGGCAAGGCTGTGATCAGTAACCCCTCCTCAGCAGATCCAATTCTTGGCGACGCTCGCAGCGACAGGACTTCACGCCTGATGTCACAGGAGGCAGGGCAGTACCAAGTTAGGTGTCGCCGAGAAGGCTTGTCGACACCACAGAGGCACGCAAAACCCCTATTTTCAAGCTTCGCCAACATGCGTCCATCCAAACCTGCTCCAGTGAGCACGCACTCCCGCGACCAGTTGAGTGCATCCAGGTTGCGTCCTTCCTTGCGAACAAGAGAGAGATCAGGAAAGTTTTGGGCCTCTACCTGAGTTACACGTTTTTCTTTCATCCATAAGGATCGCAGCCAGCATGTTTCCGCAAGGGAGTGGAGACTGCTAAAGGCCTCGGCAACAAGATCGATCCGGCCTAGCGCAGTCAGAGCCTGCGTTCCTTCCAAGGCCCAACCCCAATCGTTAAAAGCTGAACGCATGGCCTTGCTTACATAGATACGAGTTTCAGAACCAATCGTCTCAGAAGAGCGCTTGCATTGCCAAATGAAGCATCTTGGCTTGAAGGCTGCTCTCAAAAGCGGGGCTGACACAAGAGCCAAGTAAGGCCCAAGCAAGCGTCCTTGCGCGACCAGGGGCAACATGACCTAACACACATCTCTCGACAGCTGAAGTCCATGCTTGCATGCGTTTCTTGGTAACGCAACACCACGCTCCGGCCCACGACATGAGAGGCAACACCAAAGTGGCAGCGAAGCGTCTTCTGCGATCACGAGAGCGAATAGCAAACTTTATCCGAGACAGCAACAGGGTGATGCGTTCGTCAACTTGCTTCCGATACGCGCCACATTTGCCACTACAGCGGTAAGGGATTCCCAGCAGCACAAAAACGCTGCTGACCTTGCCGAAAGCCCGCAAAGCCTTGCGAACCCACGGGCGGTTGGAAAAGAAAACCTCCTTGTCCGGGCTGTTGATGAAGCCAAACCAGGCAGATGCGCCCGTGGCCATCTGATTTGCATTTCACGGGCCCACACCGTCATTATGCCCGAAAGCAAGACGACACTGAATGGGCATCCTTGAAGTAAGGAGCGAGTAGGTCTCGTCGGGGTAGGCGCTACACATCCCTTAACTTCAATCCACCTTACATGATTGCGGTAAAGGAACAGCCGAACTTTACTCAGGGCCTTAGGGAAACCGAGGTGGGTCAGAATGGCGATGGCCTGAGCAAAGCACGTATTGTCAAAACATTTGAGCAGATCTTGCTTGACTCCTTGAACAGTCGTGCGAGCGCCTCCACCCCTCCTGCAAATCTGCAAACAGACGAGTGTGTACCTCATCCGCTCGTTGCCCCGGCAGCCCTCCAGATAAGCAAGGGTGAGCCCAAGATCGTATCCTAATTTGCGAAGCGTGGCGGACGCGATCAATCGCCAACACAGGGAAGCGATCGACAGAGGGCGTAGGCCGCCATCCTGCTTACTAACAAAGACTGCGCGAGCAGCAGCCCAAGTAAAGGGGATGCGCGAGCGCGTAAGGCATGTCTCCCAAAGTTTGACAAGAGGGATAAATGCGGACATGGGGAGCAGCGCAAACATCGCACCTGCCCAGCCATCTGGGCCGCTGGCCTTGCTTTTTGCTCTTTTGGCGGCTTGAAACAAATCTTCACTAGTGATTTCCGGCAGAGGGTGCTCAGGGATCTCGTCAAGATTACAAAAGACCTCAGGAGGGCTACGCGGGGGGTCCTTAAGCCACCACTTTTCCCGTTTTTTCTGCAAGAAACATGCCTGCGCCGATGGATCGACTGGGGTGTCGTCACTGAGCTCTTGCCTTAGTGCGCTCTTCAAGAAGTCGTTGGCACCACGATGCCAGAAATGTAGCGTCCCATCCTGCAATCGGCGGACGTGCCTCAAGAGCTTGCGCTCGCAACAAGTTTCAACAGTTTTGGAGTGCTTGGAACAGGGGGCTCTTACATGCGGGTCCGGGATTACATCTCTAGGGCTCTAGGGGGAGGCTCCGGCATCTGAGGTCGGGTCTTACTTACGGGATTTTGCAAGATTTTCTCACATGTTCTACTGAGCAGAGACCAGGCTTCATCAACAAGACCCTGGCAGAGCAAGGATCTAAACGCGGTTTCACATGCTTGATTACACCAGACTTTCTCCCAATCTTCCTCCTGCACTTCGTCAGAGCGCAGAGGCAATCTTGAGCAATGAATGTGGGCATCAGGCAAGGGATTACAAGTAATTCTGAAGAAAACCATGTCATGATCGGCCAATCCTTTGGACTGCTTGAGATAGTCCACTTCCTGTCCGTTTATGCCGGCAGCAAAGTCAATGCACCTACCGGACTTGCGCGTAGGAAGTACCCCTGACCCGCCCAACCCGTAAACCCCAGCAGCGATGA